TGACAAACAATAAGAAAGATGGCATGAATGTGTGATCTAACCTTGAGCAGTCCAGATGTTGCAGAAACAGTAGTGGAGTTATCTCATGGATTCAGGAGGAGCTACAGCAGCAGTGTCTGTCATTCTGGGGAGAATAGACAGCGATACAGCGAGCGGACTCCTCCTTATAAAGAGGAACCTGCAGTAGACTAGACCCCTCCTGTTGGCCCTCAGGGCAGGGGTCTGCCGAAACACATACAAATGAACTGAACTGAATAAATAACAGTTAGAATATGGTTTTATTCAGGTTCAGACTAAACATGTCCAGAATCAGGGAAAAAGTTTGCAATAAAACATGAAAATAGGTTTCTATGGTCCAGTGAATTGTGAAAAACTATTTAACACTTGTCTAAATCTGTGGCAGTTGAGACTCTGATTGTGGCAATGTGATCATTAGAATAAATACAAAAGTGAGTACAAAATGAGTACAAAAACAGAAAACAAGGGCTGGACTCAATAATAAACTAACATTTTAAGTTGTATATATTCAAGTGACTCTTTTTAATACCAACAAACAAACAAAATGAGTGTAATTATAATATGAGGTGCACAGCTGTGCTTGTACTGGTACTGGTGCCATATTATAAATACCATAGAAAGATTGTTAAACTTTAGAGCCCACAATGGTAAAAGCTTTGTCACCTTTGGTCTTTGGCCTGGCGCTGGAATGACCATAACTACCTGCCTGAGGTCAAAGAGGCTGACGGGTCGCATTATTGTCATTACACCATCTTGCTTCAGAGAGTAGATACTTGTAATCCCATAGAGTTTGATATTTTTGAAGTTTAAATATTTCACATTGTGTCACTTTTGATGTTTAATAGTCTTATGTAAAACAAGAATATTAACAGAAAACAAAGGGTCAGATACTGATTGTTCAAGCTCTTATTTTAGACATTTGACTCCCTGCAGGGTCTTTATAGAAATAATATCAAAATGAATACAGCATCAGGTCCACTGAATCAGAAGTGTCTTTATACAAACAGCAACACACCAGATGATATGCTGTTGGTATATCACCTAAAGACTGAACAATGAGCACATACGTGACCTTTACCAGACCAGTTTGTTTTAGGATGAGGCCAGTCCTGTGCAGGCATAGTCATGACCATTTCCATTCAGACCAAAAGGTGAAAGGGTTTTGTATTCCAAGGCTCCAGGGAAAATGTAATTAGAGGAGACTTTCTGACATGCAGGAATGTTGCACTAGAATATACTCCAAAGACTACTAAGTGTTTCTGTGACAAATCACAGACACACACTATCTGATGGACTTTTCCCTGATAACCCCCATTGATTAATATATTATTTTTGGGCCAAGCTTGAAAGTAAATGGACAATTAAATTCATTTATTGACTACACCATCTAGTCAGTAAGTGAATTTAGCCCTTTAATTGTATTTTTATAGTTGTATTAATGATAAAATATATACTTGCAATATAATTTTAATCCAATCAAATTTTCAAGCAGGCCCAGTTTCATCTTGAAATTTTTATTGATTTATGCAAATGTCAAAGAGTGAAACCCAAAAGTAAGTAAGAGAAGTAAGTAGTATTCAGTGTGTAAATAAATGGCCAGCGAATGACATGACTTTGTAGAAAAAGCTGTACCTATGACCATACTTAATAATGTAATTTCTTTGTGCTATGTACAATTGTATTTTGATGCTCTTTGTCAAAATGCTGATGTTTCACCCAGTAATCTGCTTTTATGTGGCACACTCACTTCTATAACGTTTTACTGAACTCAATATTTTCATACATTACTAATACATTACTGCTTTAGAGATGTTTAAAGGGTTTATATTACGCTATTTTCTGATCTATGTTATAATGTTGTTATAATGTTGCATATTTAGGTTGTTTTTCTCTCACACAGAAAATACCCTGTTCCACCTTGTGTCATGTGGCAATGTGGTAATGTGTTAGTAACTGTGTTTTCTGACTTTATTTTTCATCATTTCAGCCCCGGATTTGCCAATCTTTACTGAACAAAAGGTAAAAAGTACTTGACATTAACTTGAAAAGCACCACTACATGACAAGTAGACTAATAATAAAGAATTCCTCAGACATGTGTGAATGAAACAAAACACAACTCCACGTACGTTGTTGCAGAGGTAACAACATTCTGACAGTAAACTGTAAACTGTCTATGTAATTAACACAGTATAAGAGGGTTTTACTGCCCTCTAGCGGTGACTTTGCGGTGACTTCAGACTGCGCACGCGCATACCGGTGGCAGCGCTCTCCGGGATCAGACCGTGCCTTCACCTTCAGCCATCTTAACCATGCTGGGAGCTGTAGGACGCTGTTGTTCTGGGGCTCTTCGGGCTTTAAAGCCTGGAGCCAGCACAAAAGTCTTAAATGGGACGCAGGCATCTCTTTCTTCTTGTAAGTACATGGGCCAAATGTCACTTGTGTATTTTCATTGGCGTTTTTTTTTAGTTCAGGCAAAGAGTGAGAGGCCCAAGTTTGACATTCATTTGGGAATGTTCAGCATGTTTTAGTTCCTAGTTCTTTGCACAAATGATTTGTAATTAAATGCTATGCATGATTTACTACACCGAGGGCATTGCTTCGGTTTAAGGACAAAATGACCTTTATGCTTTGGGCAAACTCTGGCTCTTGAAGCAACAACACAGGACAAGGTTAACTATTCCTGTAGTAATTACATGTTCACATAAAGTTTTTATGATGATGCTTATACTATGCATGCATATACTATGATGACCTTGTTATTCTCTCCTTTAGGCAGGGGATATGCGGCCCCGGCGGCCCAGGCTGCTTTAGCCAATGGCCGCATTGTGGCTGTTATTGGTGCTGTGGTAGATGTTCAGTTTGATGAAGGTCTGCCTCCCATTCTCAATGCCCTGGAGGTGGCGGGCCGCGACAGCAGGCTGGTCCTGGAGGTCGCACAGCATCTAGGTGAGAACACTTGGCCTCTGTCAGTGGTAAAGTGGCTAGCTGTTAGGGTTAACCTAACCTGGTTTCTTTAGGTGAAAACACAGTCAGAACAATCGCCATGGATGGTACCGAGGGTCTGGTCAGGGGCCAGCAGGTTCTTGACACTGGAGCCCCCATTAGAATCCCTGTGGGCCCTGAGACTCTGGGTCGGATCATGAATGTCATTGGCGAGCCTATTGATGAGAGGGGCCCCATTAATACCAAACAGTAAGTAAAGATGTAAAATATATTTGTCATATAAGATTTTCAGATGTATAAGTAACTACCTACAACATCGATGACCTTGCAGTTTAACAGCGTCGGCAACACAAACTGTAGCTAATGGCTTTGCTATTTCAGGACTGCTCCTATTCACGCTGAAGCCCCTGAATTCACTGACATGAGCGTGGAACAGGAGATCCTGGTGACTGGGATTAAGGTGGTGGATCTGCTGGCTCCTTATGCCAAGGGGGGAAAAATTGGTTGGTGATCCTGTTAATCTGCAATAACCTTGTTCACATGCAGTTTATACACTCAGCTGTTCTTTCTGTACTCTGTAGGACTGTTTGGTGGTGCGGGTGTGGGCAAGACTGTCCTAATTATGGAACTTATCAACAATGTGGCCAAGGCTCATGGTGGCTACTCAGTGTTTGCTGGTGTTGGAGAACGCACTCGTGAAGGGAACGACTTGTATCATGAAATGATTGAGTCTGGTGTAATCAATCTCAAGGACACCACTTCTAAGGTGAGGTGTGTTAAAGGTTCATCATGGATCTTTCCTCTCCGTGAGATTAAACATAAATGATGTTGCTTTAGGTAGCGTTGGTGTACGGTCAGATGAACGAGCCTCCAGGCGCTCGTGCCAGAGTGGCTCTGACAGGTCTGACTGTGGCCGAATACTTCCGTGATCAGGAAGGGCAAGATGTGCTTCTTTTCATTGACAACATCTTCAGATTCACTCAGGCGGGTTCTGAGGTTGTTACAATGGTCATTTACACATCTATTTATTGCAGGATTTGAGTCTATTTGTAACCACTCTATTGTTTCTAGGTATCTGCCCTTTTGGGTCGTATTCCTTCTGCTGTGGGTTATCAACCCACTCTAGCCACTGACATGGGCACCATGCAGGAAAGGATCACCACTACAAAGAAGGGCTCCATCACCTCTGTGCAGGTACATGAAAGAACATCTCAATCAAAGCTAGTTTATCCTTAATAATATTAATAATTTTCACCTCTTGGCTGTAGGCTATCTATGTGCCAGCTGATGACTTGACTGATCCTGCTCCTGCCACCACCTTTGCCCACTTGGATGCCACCACTGTGCTGTCCCGAGCCATCGCTGAGCTGGGCATCTATCCAGCGGTGGACCCTCTGGACTCAACCTCCCGTATCATGGATCCTAACATAGTCGGGGCAGAACATTATGATGTAGCCCGTGGTGTACAGAAGATTCTTCAGGCATGTTATTGTGTTTCTACTTAATTATCATCTCTGAAGAGCTGAACTAATGTAGTATTTGCATGTTTAGGACTACAAATCCCTGCAGGACATCATTGCCATTTTGGGTATGGATGAGCTGTCTGAGGAAGATAAGCTGACAGTAGCTCGTGCTCGCAAAATCCAGCGCTTCCTGTCTCAGCCTTTCCAGGTAGCAGAAGTCTTCACTGGCCACATGGGCAAGCTCGTGCCTCTGAAAGAGACCATCAAGGGCTTCAAAAGCATTCTAGGAGGTAATTTTAATGCCTCAAAGTTTACATTTTGTAAGCTGAACTTTTTAAACAAAAATGTTTTATTTCTGTCCTAAAGGTGAATATGATGCACTGCCAGAGCAGGCCTTTTACATGGTGGGTCCAATTGAAGAAGTTGTTCAAAAGGCGGAGAAATTGGCAGAGGAACACTCATAAAATTGTAAATGTGGAACAAGGTGGAGAAACCATTTGTACAGTTATTCCCCACAATACAAAATGTTTTTTTCTGTGTGTAAACAAATTAAAGTATGTTGTAATATATTGGATGCGTTTATTTTTCTTTTAACAACAGTGGTGCTTAACTTTAACCTGTCATGAGTAGAAGTTTCTTGTTTAATTCCCGTTCATAAGTGAGGAGATTTGTGCTGTGTTCTTTAAAAGCTTCAAAGTCCTAAAAACAAAAATGAAAGCAGTGTTATGCAAAATTTGCTTATAGCCTTATTTATTTATTTTTTTTACCTTTTTCAGCTTCTCATATTTTGTTGTATTTTCATCACGTGCACTCTGAAGAGACTTTACTCTAGCATCGGCGTTGACCAATTGCGACTCGCGTTTAAACCTGATGTGTTAAAAATATATCTTTTACTCCAAATATAATACAAAGGTTTGTGTTTAAAGGTGCATTGTGTAACTTTTCTGGTGGAGGGCCAATCAAATGCTTTTCTCCATGGAGATTTTATTGCTTTGTGTGGAATGTTTCACAGTATGGCATTAAATCTTCCTATCATCTGTGGAGAGGTAACCCCGCTCAGTCGAAATGCTTTTATTTCTAGGTATTTCTGAGCTATAAAACCACTTGTAATTGAATAAATCTAAGGTAGAGCTGTTTACTGTGATACTGTGGAACATTCCAGGCAGAGCAAAGACATATCCATGGAAACAAGCAGGTGAAGGACCCCCAAGCAAAAAGTTAAATAGTGCACCTTTAATGTCCTTTAATTAATTACCTCTCTTCTGCTTTAGTTCTGAGTTGTTTTTCTTCCCTCACTTTAATTTCCAGTTGCTCCAGTTCTTCTTGTTTCTTCTGCAATCACAATCACATTTAAGTTACTGCTCATTTTTGGTACATGATGAGTTCTAACAAATACCTGTACTACTTTCCCCCTTTCAAGTGACACTTGCAGAAATTTGTCCTTCTCCTTGCGAAGTGCTGCTATAGTCTCTGTCATATTGGTCTCATTTGACATAAACTCCTCTTTAGTGCTTTTGAGCTGCTTTTTCAAATCTAAACAAAGATGACAAAATAACTGAGCTGAGTTGTATGTAAAACTTTAAATGTAGACTGAAAAAGCAACTCACCATCACACATTGCAGCAGTGTTCCTCTGCATTTCTTCCAAAGTTTTCAGTTTCTCAGTAAGTGATGCTTCTTTTTTCTCATAATCACAATGTTTGCTTGAGAAGTTTGGCCTTGAATCCTGCAATTCTCTCACTTAAAGCATATGACAAATGTTAATATAATTATGTTTAAAGGTGCATTGCGTAACTTTTCTGGTGGAGGGTCCGTCAAATCCTTTTCTCCATGGACATGTTTTTGCTTTGTCTGGGATGTTTCATGGTATTATATTAAACTTAAATCTTCATGGAACCCAAACCAGACCAAGTTACAGGTCAGATCTGTGGAGAGGCGATTCCACTCACAGTCAGAATGCCTGTTTTTCAAGTTACTTTTGAGATACAAAACCACCTGTAACTAAATAAATGTAAGGTAGAGCTGTTTAATGTCATACTGTGCAACATTCCAGGCAGAGCAATGAAGTGTCCATAGAAACAAGCAGGTGATGGACCTCCAAACAAAAAGTGACACAGTGCACCTTTAAATGTGAATTTATAGCAAAGATTTAAAATATATACCTGTAATCGTGTTCATTCTGAGCATATTTGTCCTTTAGCTGATTGAGTTCTAGTGTCAGATTTTGCACAGTTGTCTCTTTATCTTGCAGTTTTCTGGAAAAGAGTGATTCATTTTCAGACCGAAGCTCCTGGTTTTTCTCTCTAAGCTCTTCATTTTCACTTTTGTACTCATCTTTAAAAACAATTATGGCGTCAGTCTGGGCTGCCAAAATCATAAATCTCTCTGTCAAAATCTCATATCTTTTTCTCTCCTTCTCCAGTTCTTCGTGATGGTATGTGACTTTGTCCTCTAAGTCTGAGTTGATTTTCTGCAGAGCTTGACATCGCAAAAGGAGCTCATCTGATCTGTGCTTTAGTATATTTATCAGGGCTGACTGTTCATCAATCCTGGACCGCAGCACCTCTGTGTCTGTAGAATCTGCGTCAGAAGACATCTCAAGCTTTTCCAGTGCAAGATATAGACTTTCTATTTTCTGAAAACAAAACCAATGTGTGGGGTTAATGTTTTCAGTAACACTAACATTTAATTGCATTTATATACATTATATATATACACATACATTATATATAAATAAATAAGATAGGGTGACGAGATTTTCAAAATAAAAAACCTGGGACATCCCTGGTTTGTGCTGGCTGGTAATAATAAAATTGTAAAATGAGTGCATAATTAAGGAAAATTGTTATGCACTCGGCCCCTTCATGACGAACATGTGAGTCAGTATAATCACATTTTCTTTGTGCTTTGGTCGTTTTTAAGCAGCTTTTCTGTATTTTACCAAAACAAGTGACAATTTAAGCTTCTCTTTACTGGTGGCAGGGATCAAACTGGTCAAAAATAGGAACATTTCTTGTACAAAACTGGGACAAATCACTGGTTTTGTATAAATACACTGGGACAGGGGACACAGGGCTCAAAACTGGGACTGTCCCGGGTAAATAGGGACATCTGGTCACCTTAAAATAAGCCCAGTGTTTTAGGTCATCATTTGGAAAACAGTTTTAAAGTTGATCACTCGTTAAGTTGATGTGTAGCTAGTTTGGGTTTATGAGCAAGCTAACGTTAATGTTAAAGTTAACTAACAACTAATATTAATAAGTTCATTTTAAATAGCTAACTAACTCATAAATATACAACCTTACCTCCACTGACTTGAACGCCACAAGGTTACAGTCGCTCATCTCTGCTTCCTCCATTTTCCAGTTTGTAGTTTGTGCTGAGTGTTTTTACTTTCTCTGTTTGTCCACGTTAAAGTTTAGAGGTTGCTAGTGGCAACCGCGTGCTTTGATTTTTGTGCCGCTGTGCTGCTGTTACAGGACACAACCACAAGATGGCGCCGTCGGACGTCTTTTAGCTTTGCCAGTCCATGTTCTGCACTAATATCGCTCCGGTCATTGATTGTATAAATCAGACCCACCGACTAGAAAAGGTACGGTCCCCAACAGGTCTGTCTCTAGTCTATGGTCTCACTTGAACGACTACAGAGCCAAACGACATCAGCGAGCAAGTCCTTCGTACCGAGGGTGACCAGACACCCCTATTTACCTGGGACAGTCCTAGTTTTGAGCCCTATGTCCTCTGTCCCAGCAAATTGATAGAAAACCAGTGATTTGTCCCAGTTTTATGTCCCAGGTGTCTTTATTTTTGACCAGTTTAAACCAGAACTAAATTAAGACTAAACCAGGACTAAAACATGACTTTTTTTTGGGTTGTTTTTTTTTTTTGTTGACTAATCTGATCCCTACCAACAGCGTAAATTATCATTTGTTCAGCCAAAATACAAAAAAAAAAAACGTGTTTGCTATTAAGTATCTAGCAAAAAAAAAGTCCCTCCGATCATGACTGACAGGAGAACGCGCAATGTTACATGCTCTTATCACGATTTTATTTATACCAAATTTTGTCCCAGCTTTGAATTCTGAAACTCTAAGCATTTTATTCATACCACATTGACACTAGTTCAGTTCCTTATTGGATTTAAGTAAACTATATTATTTCTATCTTACATATGAACAAGGCTATATAACTTCATAGCCAATTACGGTCACTTTTGTGCATTTATTTCACATAAACCTACTTAGTATAGGCTATTAAAAATAACTTATGAGTCGTAATTACTGCACAACATTTCCCTCTGTGTGCATGTACATGAAGTGAACTACCAGCCTTGACAGCCATATGCCTTTTCGCAGTCATCTTAAGCATGGCTCTCAGCAGCATTATGCAGGTTCCCGGGTCGCGGGGATTTATTCGGAGGGCCCAGGGTGGGTTGGGGGAGCGGCCTTTGTGCACGCCCCTTTTCATCAACTAGCGGGCCAAGAAAGACAGACAGGGGAAAGCAACAGCATCCCAGCCCCAGTCCTTACAGCTCCTCCATCTGCTGCTGAGCGGAGCTGGACGGGCCGGCCAGAATGTGGAGAGCACTGCTACTTAAACTCCTTGTCGTCTTCATTTGCTGTGTTAGTTGGAGCCACTGTGAGGGTAAGTTGTTTGATTCTTTTGTTCATACACTGTCACCTAAATGATTCATGAGACAAGTCACTCTTGTGGGCACTTGTTGCTTTCCAAAAACACTCTTGGCATTAGGGTACAAAAGCTGCTCCTTTAAACGTCTAACCTACTTTTTTAGATTAACTACTTTTTTAATCACATGTTTATTTCTCATGTAAAGGTGCAGTCATGTGAGCTGGCTTAAATAAGTTTTTACTAATACCACCACATGGCCACTCATTGTTTGTGTCAGTTTGCCTAAAGTGCACGTTCCAGGCTCTAGTGTGACTCTAAAGGTTGCACACAAAGCTTCCTCAGACAGATTGGAAGTTCTCTTGAGGAACTTTTGCCTGAGCTTTACTGTTGCTAGGTAACGGAAAAGAGCATGTGACTTGCAGACAATCTGTAAGGACTGAGGGCTACTGGTACAAATCTCGTTCAGTGTACCAGATCCTAACACAGAGTCCGCTCCTAAACTGTGTCAAAGCCCCTCACATACTTCCTGCACATGGATAAAAAGTAATTCTTACATTAGCTACTGTATTTATGCATGACTGTTGTATTTGTCGTTTATGTTTGTACCACTGCTAGATCCTATTCTCAAATTGTAATCTGCTTTCTTTTTGCTCAACCCTTAGTACGTAAGCTCCTTAGTGTGAATCAAGCAACTAATTACGCTGCAGCTGTTGTAGAATGGAGACATTTCCACCTAAGGAGTGGACTCAAGTTAGGAGAAAACACTCTGACTGGAAGGGTCATTAAAGCTGCACTGTGTAACCTTTCTACTAGAGGGTCCAACAACCGCTTGTTTCTAAGGAGATGTTACAGTTTTCCCTTGATTATTTATATTCTACAGTACGGAAATAAACTTGCTAATCACAGTTGAGACAGGTTAATGGTCAGATATTTGGAGAAGCAAGCCTGCACATAGTAAGAATTCATGTTTTTGAGATTTTTTTGAGCTATAAAACACTTTTAATTTAACAAACGCAAGGGAGATATGTTTAATGCCCTGCTGTGGAACATTCCAGGCAAAGAAATACCAAGCAGCGGACCCACCACCTTAGAAGTTACATAGTGTACCTTTAAGTTACACAAAAAATTTACTGTATATTATTATTATTATTATATTGATGATTATTATAACTTAAATTTAAAATGGGAATAAAAAGCAGAAACACAACATAAATACTGTGTCTACTCTACCAGTAATATTTTTGGTGAAACTTTGACCAGAAAATATTTTAAAACGTATAAAAAGTATTTTAAAAAAAGGTTTACTGTAAAACATAAAATTTCTTTGCGCTGAAAAAAAGCAAGCCTCTGTCAGTATTTTGCAAGTCTGAAGGGGTAGTAGTTAAACAGTTATAGTATTGTGAACTCCAAAATACTGGGTTTCTGCTCTGTCTACACTTTTTTTTTTTCAGAAATCAGGTGTACAAAGTGATGACACCGTGAAACCTACATCAGTTCTGTCAGCAAATATGTGTTAATAATTCATTTTAATAACTGCAGTTAGTTTAGTAGTACAAAGAAATCACCTAATGTAACCTAATCTCAAATTTGTATTTGCAATTTAGTGATGGACTAAATGTAATTAGGCATGCCTTATTTTATTTCTTTATAGTGGCATGCTTTTTCTAATCCCCAAGAAATCCTTAAAGGTGCACTATGTAATTTATTGATTCAGGGTCCATCACCTGCTTGTTTCTGCCTGGAATGTTCCGCAGTATGACTTTAAACAGCTCTACCTTACATTTACATTTATTACAAGTTGTTTAACAGCTCAAATGTACCTACAAAAACATGCATTCTGACTGTGAGCGGGGTCGCCTTTCCACAGATCTGACCTGTAACTTGGTCTGGTTTGTTCTCCATGAAGATAGAAAGGTTTAATGCCATACTGTGAAACATTCCAGACAAAGCAATAACATCTCTATAAAGAAAAGCATTTGACGGACCCTCCACCAGAAAAGTTACATGATGCACCTTTAAGTTAGATTATAGCTTTTCGTCCATGACTTTCTGTTACATAGTGAGAGCTCCATAATGCTTACGCTGACATTAATAGCTAATATAGGTTGATTTATTAACAATTTAAATTTGCTGTGGTCAGATGCTGATAGTAAAAAGAATCATAATCATTACCAAAATGCCATCCTAGTGACCTATTTATTTAAAGGTCCTATATTACACAAAACTGACTCATGTGCGCTTTTAGTCATGTTATAACACTGTTACCTCCTCAGAAACATACCTGGAGTTATTTTTTTATTTTATTCACACATGTTTGAGTAGTAATGCTTTATTATTAGTCTGTCTACATTAAGGCTTGGTATCATTAAGAAGTTGACGAAGTTGACATACCTCAATATATAAGCCACAGTACGATACATATCTCGATACAGTGAGCTTTCGATTAAATACGATTAAATACGATAGGATATATTTCAAATCGATTTGATATGGTTCAATAAAAAATAATGGCAAAATCATGGTTGTGACACTAAAAGTCTTTGTTAAACTACTTCTTGAACAGTGAAAATGTCAAATGTGTCACGTAAATGAGTTTCCTTCTTCTAAAGAAACAACAAAACTGTAGCTGTACAAAAAGAATTTAGTAAAATATACAAAAAAATACTCTTGGCGATATATCGATACAGCAGCCCACGATATTGATAAGGTATCATCACATTAAACGATAAGATATATCGATATTTCAAATATTTTTGCACACCCCTAGTCTACATCTCCAAAGCTCAAAATGCTCTGTTCCACCTTGTGATGTCATGAAGTGGTAGTTTTCAATTCAACAGCTGCCTTTTACCTTTTGTTTAGTAGAGATTCGAAATTCCAGGACTGAAATGATCCAAATGATGGTATATGCAGTGTAAAAACACAGTGGAGCACTTCCTGTATTACCACATGACATCACAAGGTGGACGGTTTTCTTTTTGAGGGAAGAACTGAGCCTAAATCTGTGCACTAAACATGTGTGGAATAAAATGAAACATAACACAACTCACTTTAATGTAAAAAAAACTATTCCCACTAGTACCCACAATCCCCTGCCAGCACGTGCATTCTAAGCCCCACACATGCCAACTGCTTTCCGGTGGTGCTGCCTTGTGCAACAATAATACTGCGTTAGCGACAGGAAAACAGTTGGCACAGATTGACAGCCAATTCTTTCTTTTCTCGTAACTCACCCAGTGTAGATTTCAGACTCTGGATGGGGCCTCCAGCGTAGCATTTTTACCTCAGTAAGGACAAATTAAAGGACCCATATTACGCTATTTTCTCATCTATGTTGCTTCTTTATCGCAAACAGACCTGGAGTTGTGTTTTGTTTCATTCACAAATGTTTAAGACACATATTCTGCATATTTAGACTGAGTTCTTCTCTTAAACAGAAAACCTTCTGCTGCACCTTGTGATGTCATTTGGTGACAAGAAGTGCTTCACTGTGTTTTTAAACTTCACACACCTTCACTAGAGTCATTTGAATCATTTCAGCCCTGGAATTGCCAATTTCTATTGAACAAAAGGTGAAAGGAGCTGTTAACTTGAAAATTACAACAATTAATTAATTAATTAAAACAATTTTGAGCTTTGCAGATATAGACACATTAGTAATAAAGGGTTACTCAAACATGTGAATGAAACAAAATGCAACTCTAGATATGTTTTTGATGAGGTAACAGCATTATAACATGATCAATTTTGTGCAATATAGGACCTTTAAGCAGTTTACAATCCCCAAATTCTTGCAGTGTATTGAAAAATGATGGCTGCTTCACGTTGTTCTTAATTTAATTTATTCTCAGACTTCATTCATAATCTGTTTTCGTGTTCACTGTAACTATAAAGAGCCAAAGTCGCTTGTTTGCCAATTGACTGCATTCTGTTACATTGATTTCCATATGAAACAGGCCGCGGCACCCCTCACTGACAGCGCAGACAAGTCCAGCGTTTCAAGCTGCCAATGGCCGGTCACTTTACTTTGTCCACACATAAAGAACTGCATCAGGACACTATAGAATTAAAGACATCTTATTTTGTTCCACCACCTGGTAAAAGACAGGTGTTCAAATGATGTAGGCAAGAGTGAGTTACAAAAACTCAAATCTAGTGAACTAGGAAAGTTTCATCATGATTTGGATACTTTCTCTTAACAAGTAACATGAGCTACCAATGGAGCAAGACTTTTTGTACCTAAAATATGAAAGTACATCTTGCTACACTTAAATAAAAGATAAAAAATAACAACTCCATGCACTTAAAATAAGAAAGAAAATCTACTGTTGCTAGTTAAGTTGAATATACTCAAATAAAATAAAATGTTCTTAATTTAAGTCATTCTAACTTACCTAGATATAATTTTTTGCAGTGTAGCCCTGTCACTGTAATACATTTTGAAGCGCAATATATAGCTGAAGAAAATATAGAAGATAAACTATAAATAGCATTGAAACTAAATTATAGCACTGACACAATAAACCTGAAGTAGAATAAACCCAGCAAAAATATTTTAAATGTAAATTATGGTTAAACTGCAAATAAATATATAGCAGAAGGAAACTGTAGTAATTAGCTGGTATCTGTAATGAGTCACAGAAGTTATTTATTCCACTTTCTACAGCTCAAATCTAACTGTAGTAGAGAAGAATAGCAAAAAATGTCCCAATAGCACAAAGAAGAAGTACACATGATGAACACTGACCCACAAAAATGATTGTTCCGTCTATCATATACTGAACGACAAGTCCATATAGTATTTATCGTGACAGGCCTAGTTAAGAGTTTTGTTGTTGTTGAAATCTAACTTTATTTCACTTTACAAAGGTGGTGTGTCTTCCAGTTATGAGTTCACATCCCTGCTGGCAGCTCTTTTGTATGGCTGTAGCTCCTCAGCGTGGTTTAAAGTGTTGGCATGGCTTCTTTCTAATGAAAATTTCTCTGCTTACTGGCCTGCTTTGTTGGCTAACTAGAGCATCCTTGTCTTCCTAAGGGATCGTGCAACAGTGCTCTCCTGCTGAGGGTTTAAGTTGCTAATTAGAAAAGGCAATAAAATGGGAAGGCAGTAATCACAAAAAACACTGATAGAAAGAGAGAAATTTGAAGAAGCAAAAATCGAGAAACATTCAGATCACACCTCTCCAGTCTGGATAAATGGGAGTTTGAGTTTTGAAGCATGATATATCTCTACAGAGAACTACTGCTATAAATGATCATATTGAAACTACTTTATGCCACTGACACAAAGCAGGATAATCCTAGTAAACACATTTTAAATATACACTTACATTAAAAAACCTGAGCTGCAAGAAATAAATGGCATAATTAACCAATATTTATCCATAGAAGTTATTTATTCAGCCCTCTACAGATCATATCTTGCATTATTACATAAAAATGACATAAATCTCAGTACACAGGAGAAATACTGAGACCCAAAATATATAGTTCCAGCTTTCACATACTGAACGATAAGTCGATATTGTAATTATCATGACGGGCCTAGCTTGAACTTAAATGGGGGAAAAGTGTTTCAAATAGAAGCTCCTTTTGTGGGCTGTAAGATGAGCCAGTTGAGGATAGTGCAGAGAGTTTTGCTCTGAGTGCGTCTGTCACCTTTCCCAGAAGTAATACTGTCAGGAAACACTGACTTCACCTCGGCTTCAGGTTAGGATTCAAACAATCTCAACAGATCCAAGTGAATGAGAGTCCACACATTCCTTTCACATGTATTTCTCCCTACTTGATTTTGTTTTCATAAATGTTGGCCTATATTTATTTATTAATACTAAATAACCAGTAGAGACCTGTATAAGATCAGGAGATATATCTGTAAGTTAACATTGTTTTCATCATTAGAAACACTCACACTTTTGTGCATTGGAACATAATTTGTCAGCATTGTCTTTTAAAGTTTAGAGAAAACCAACTGCAAAAACATCGTCTTTGTAATTTAATTCTTTTTTCTTTATTATGGCTGCCTTAGAAGTTTAATTGAAAAACCTGTGGTACCACTCAGTACCACTATTTAGTCTAATTACATTTCCCATCATTAATCAGGCTGTCAGTGAGACAATCAGAATAGTACATTCCTATTAGGAGAGCTCTGATGGAGTGCTGTGCTCCTCAACTATGCCTCTGAATCAATCTCCTGGAGAGCGTCAGGGAAGGTAGCGCCGTGGTACCTTATCTCCACAGATGCCACTCAGAGCACACATCAAAAGGAGCTGGACAGGGTTGTGTAAGTCAGTCTGGGGGGTGGCTGGCACGCCTGTCTCCGGGCATGTCCGAGCTGTTAACAACAGTTTAAGCTCTCTTATCCACATGTGCTCATTAACATCTTTTATTAAGATAGATAGTACCTCAGCATGCTCACAATTTAAGAACTAACCGAGCAGGTCAAAAGGTCAAAAAGAAAAAAGCTCTCATGGTTAATGATTGTGTGCTTTTCTTTTCTGTGTAGGATGTGAGTTGGGACAGTTCCAGTGCGGGTCAGGACGCTGTATCCCAAATGACTGGCACTGTGATGGGACCTCTGACTGTACAGACGACTCTGATGAGCGAGATTGCCGTGAGTCCTCATCTTCATTACCTTTTTAGAACAGAGGTTTACAAAGCTCTAAATACATATGTGTTTACAGCTCCCGTCACGTGTGGGACCCTCTTCCAATGTCTAAGTGATGGAGACTGTATCTCAGAACTGTGGGTGTGCGATGGAGAGGAGGACTGTGAGGATGGCTCTGATGAGAGGCAAAATTGCCGTAAGTATAATTCACATTTAAAATAAAGATTTGATGTGTAGTAAATTTAACTTGTGTCTGTGTAATGCAGCTGGAAGGACGTGCAGCAGTGCCCAGTTCACCTGCAATGATGGGGCTTGCATCCCATCTGAATACCGCTGCGACCGACTGGCTGATTGCTCGGATGCGTCCGATGAGAGAGACTGCCGTGAGTCATCTCGGGGGTGGTTTCCCCTTTTTTATCCTGGGCTCCTGTGGCATTTTAATCAATTTGTTAAGATTAAGAGGCACGCTGACTGACAGAATGGGTCACAATATACTTCTTGTTGTCAGAAGTTGATTGCAGATTCCTTGGTGGATTAGTCAAGCTGAAGTTCAGCTGCTATGCCATTATTATGCCGACATAGGCTCACTGCAAACTGTGGTAATCTTACAATTGTATAAAGAATGCTGTGGTGACTGCTGTTGTTGTGGTAATGTTGTTAGATTCAAGTTTCTTATCCTCACTACTATGTGGGCTTTTCACAGTTTAGAGCTGTAATCATCACAGTTGTCAGGATGATTTACACATGAACTTTTGACCTAATGATGCTCTAAATTTACAGATTACCCAGCATGCCCAGAGCTGAGGTGCACCAATGGGGCCTGCTACAACCGCACTCAGCGCTGTGATCAGATCCTGGACTGTCGTGATGGCTCTGATGAAGCAAACTGCAGTAAGGATCCCATTATGTGGTTTTGGTATCATAGGCTGTATATATAAATGGACATAGCTGCCATGTTCCAGATAAGAAGTGTTCGTGGGGGCACTTCCGGATCCATCAACTCTGGATCCATTGCGTTTACATAGAAAAATTGTCAACTCTTTCTCTGTAACTTCTGCAATGAGCCTTGTTTTTTCATATTCGCCCCTATAACCACTAGCCTTGTCAGCTTCAGTTGACTAGAGCCGAATGGTGGGGTATTTAATTTATTTACAGTTTAAATGTTTTTGGGGTTTTTTATGACTTTCAGCACAGCACTGCAACTCTGGCCTCTTCTCCTGTCACAATGGAGGATGTGTTCCTCAGCGCTACGTCTGTGATCATGATGACGACTGTGGAGACCGAAGCGATGAGCAGAATTGCAGTATGTTGGCTCTCTTTATCACTCGAGGGTTTTAGTTCATACGTGTTTCTCAAAAGTTTAGAATGTAATGATTTTTTCTTTCCTTCACAGCGTATCCAACTTGCAAAGGGAACTACTTCACGTGTCCTAGTGGCCGCTGTATTCACCAAGTGTGGCTTTGTGATGGAGAGGACGACTGTGAGGACAACGCTGATGAAAAAGGCTGTGGTACGAGAAAAACAAACAGATATTCAGATATTATTATGATAACATTATGGTATTTGAAAAGATTTAACCCCTTAACACCTGAATTTATATAGATGTATATAAAAAAAATGTTTTGTGTGTGTTTTGCCTGTGTTTTAAGTAGATGGTAAATTAAATTGAGATTATTAATTTGATTATAGCAAAAAAAAAAAAAAAAAAAAAGAAATTTGGGTATGTTGCCAGAAAGAAGTGCTTGCCAAAGGTTCCTAGGAAGGTCCTGATAAGCACTAACCGGACGGAATTGGGGGAATGCAGCCTCTATCTCAGCTTATATCTTGATCCAAGCAGTTTGTCGCATGTTTGTGACGGTCAGCGTTAAGGGATTAAATAAATCAAACCAGCAACAGAGTTATAAGTTTTGACTAAATTCAAATTTTGCCATCTCCAAAACAACCCTGTGAATATTTTTCTGTACATCTTATCTTGGTACTTAGCCATAACATCATGCTGGGGGTGTTCCACATGTATCTGTATGATGAAATGTTTAGGAGTTACCATGGTGACACAATGAACACTTTAGCAAACATGCACAAAATGTATTAAGATTGTCTGAAAAGAAAAAGAAAAATACAAAATGGATTAAAACAACACATTTTCAGAAGCCTGTGATCCATACAAGTGTGATTAGTACTGTTTAGGTGTTTGATTTTCAACCAAAATTTGTGGGCATGATTAACTGAAAAAACAGTCGCTTGTGACTGTAATTTTATCTGTGAGAGACTTGTTTAACAGCTCACATCAGCTCACCTATTAGAGTTTAGTTCTTTATTGTCATATTGTATCAAAATAGACTTATAAATCCTCAGACAGAGCAGTGCCTACAGTTAGCATCACACCCCACAGGGAATGTAGATGACATCAGCTGCAAAGTATCAATAGTATCTCTCGGGTCCCAAACATGTTTTCCGTTCCAACCTGGTTTACATCCAGTTTCCATGGATGGATTGGGCTTTCAAGACGCTATGCCTGTGCTCTTTTAAATGTTTTATTCAATTGGCCCTTTGTGGCTCAGGATCGTGCAGCCCCCCAAAGCGCTTTAGAAATCCTCCAGAGGCTGTGAAGAGTGTGTGTTTTTAGAGGATACAGAAGCACTCGGAGCCCCATGTGACCCCCTCAAAGCCACACTCCCCTACATCCATTTAAAGGACCTATATTACACTGTTTTCTAATTTGATCTATTTTGTAATGTTGTTTCTTCATCACAAACACACCTGGAGTTGTGTTTTGTTTCATTCACACATGTTTAACACACAAACCCTGCGTATTTCGGCCTCGTTCTTTTTTCGAACTGGAAAAACTCTGTTTCATCGTGTGATGCCAAGAAGTGCTCCACTGTGTTTTTTAAACTGTATGCTTTCATTTGAATCATTTGGATGATTTCAACCGTAGAATTGCCATTCTCTAATGAACAAAAGGTAAGAGGTTGGTGTTGACTTGAAAACTACCACTTCATGACATCACATTTTGAAATTTGGAGTTGTGTAGACAGACTACAGCATAAAAGTACAAAAAGACAAGACAAAAGCATGCAACTGTTGGTATGTTTTTGAGAAGGTAACAACTAGGGATGTAACAATAACTGAAATATCATGATATCATATCATCAAAAGTCTCACAATAATATCATGGGCTGTCACAGTATATCAAATCACAAGTTCCTTTGCTTAAATGCATGGTTTTACAGTAGTAACATCTTATAAACATAGGGAACTACATATCCCATAATTAATTTCAGTGCAAACAACATGAAGAGGTGTTTTTACTTTACTTACTCGAATTCTTAGGATTATGATTGTAATAATTCAGACCAAAATCTTGTCAAGGTATTTTAAAATTAAAAGTGTCCCATCAACAATTATATTAGCCTCTTTAATAAATATCGTACTGTGAGATTTGGATATTGTTTTATCCCTAGTAACAACAACAGGCAACATTTTAACATGCCCTAAAGCTCACAGAAGTCAATTTTGTGTAATATAGGAGTTACACCAATTTCTCTGTTTGTTACTTTTGTGTCAATAACAAAAACACACTTGGGTAAATTCTGTTGTTTCTACATTCTACAGATAATATACCAAGGGAGTGTTATCCAGGAGAATGGGCTTGTCCTTCATCTGGGCTGTGTATTCCCATGGATCATCTCTGTGACGGGACAATACACTGTCCAGATGGAGAAGATGAAACCAACACTACAGCGGGCCGCAACTGCAGTCAGTATAAGTATAACCAATACATTTTCATATGAATGCCTCAAAGATGAACTTCTGATTTGCTTCTTTGTGCTTTCAGGTATTTGGAAATGTGCCTCTCTGAGCTGTGAGCACCGCTGCCATGCTTCTCCTGATGGGGGGACATGTTCATGTCCCACTGGATTCATTGTCTCCAATAATTCTCGATCTTGTTCAGGTTAAACAATTTTCTGAATTTTTTGCACCTATACTATTACTTTGATATTGAGTAAGAGGAAGTGGCCATACTGGCTTGTCAAAGTCTGATCTCGTCAGATCTCAGAAGCTAAGCAAGGCTGGGCTGGTTAGTACTTTGATAGGAGACCAATGGGAATTCCAGGTGCCACAGTGGGGCGCCAGTGGCAAAAAAGGTTGTTGTGTCCTTAGGCAAGACACTTCACCCACATTGCCTAATAAGAATGTGGTATGTGTGTGAGTGATGGGGGTGGCTGAAGATGCTGATGGTGCAGATTGGCAGCCTCACTTCTATCAGTTTACCCCAGGGCAGCTGTGGCTACAATTATATCTTACCACCACCAGTGGGAGTGAGTGAATAATACTGTAAAGCGCTTAGGGTGTCTTGAAAAGCAGTATATAAATACAATGCTTAATTAATTAATAATTGAATATTGAATTGTGTTTTTTTTTTATTGAAGACTTTGATGACTGCTCGATGTGGGGGGTGTGTGACCAGGTGTGTGAAGACCGGACTGGCTCTCATCACTGTAGCTGCCATCAGGGCTACACACTGGAGCAGCATAGATATTGCAGAGCTAATGTATCAAGTAAGCATTTGTATTTGTGAACAAAACGTATTATATTAGTTTTGTTTGTTTGTCGTTAAATATATGATTTTTATTTTGTTTGCAGCTGGAGCACCATCTCTGTTGTTTTCAAATGGAAGAGACTTGTTAATAGGTGATATCCATGGTAACAACTATCGCACGCTCATTCATTCACAAAATCGCGGAGTTGCAGTGGGAGTGGACTTCCATTACAATCTTCAGAGGATATTCTGGTCGGACACGATTCAAAATAAGGTCATTTGAAATAACAGTTGTATATTTTTGCCTTTGTAAACCTGTGTTGTAGCCAGTTAAACACAAAGAGCAGGATTGGATAGAAGCTACTTGTGATAGGATTCCTTTACTTATCCCTAAAATATCAGCAGTGTTGATACTATAATAATGGGAAAAGCACTTGGCTCCTTTGCGGCGCGCTCTTAATGAAGGGAAGTAGCCGGGAAAGGAATCCAAATGGCCTAATCTTGAAACCCTCCTGATATGCCGGTATGATGTTCACATACCAAGGCTTAATTTTTGAAACTCTATCTTGTTCAAAGTAATCATGTGCTGCGTTTATTTCCAATCACTACCTATGCATTCTTGGCTTTCTGAAAAGTCTTTGTTTGGCTCTTGCACTGGTTTCTTAGTGGAGCTTTTTCAAATGCAGTCACTGTGCAATTGGCAGGTGAGCTTTTAAAAGTAGGGTGAGTGCAAAAGGGCATGTGAATGCTCCAAAAAGGTGGCACTACTGCTCTTTAGTTACCTGCTTGTTTTTATACATCTATATCACCTTTCAAATTAAACAATGCTCTTCTAGCTAGTTTTGGAAGCCAACACTTCCATTTTGGTAAAACAAGTACTTCTTAAGTACTTCTTTTTAAACCTTTAATTGAGGCGACATCCAGCGTCCTGAATGTTTTATTATTGCTTGGTCCAAGTTCACTGTGTCCTTAGGTGAGACACTTCACCCACTTTGCCTGGTATGAATAAGTGTGTGGAGGATTAGTGGTGGTCAGAGGGGCCGATGGCACAGATTGGCTGCCTTACTTCCATTAGTTTGCCCCAGGGCAGCTGTGGTTATATGAGTATTTCACAACTGCCAAGTGTGGAGTGAATGAATAACAATACATACATTATATACATTATGGTGCTTTGACAGGCTAAAAGTGTATTTCAGGCACAAGGCATAATTATTATTAAAGATGACATGGATTGGATTTTTACATTTTCTCTTCAGTGTAAATATGATTAAGTCCAACTGCCATTTCCCAAAAATAATTACATGTTATCTAACGCACCTGCATCCTATGTCCTCACAACAATGATGTCTTTTGTATGCAGGTGTTTTCGGTGGATATGGACGGTTCCAATGTGCAGGTGGTTTTAAATGTATCAGTTGACTACCCCGAGAACCTGGCGGTGGATTGGGTGAACAATAAACTGTATGTGGTGGAGGCCAGTGTCAACAGGATTGACATGGTGGACTTTGATGGGAGGAACCGGGTCACGCTCATCACTGAAAACCTTGGAAATCCGAGAGGCCTGGCACTGGACCCCACAGTCGGGTAAAGCACATCTTCTGCCATTCCCGGTCTCCATGTACTGTATCTGTGTCGTGCTTCATTGGTGTGGAATAATGGCTATGTGTGGGAGATTAGCAGATTGGCCTGGGTGGATTAGAGAGGAGCAATGTAAGTGATGACCCCCCCATTGTAATCCAATAGTATAGTTCAAGGGGGCGGAAAGCCAGGTGGTTACAGATAAATTGTTGGACTTAAATTAATGTCTCTTTGGTGTGAGCAGTAGCCACCCAACTGGAAACTAATTTGAAATTTGAAGTGATATTAATACTCTGATGGGAAGAAAACTTTGAAAATGTATTTAGTTACAAAATTCTGAATACCCGCATTAAAAAGCGTTTTGTAATGTATGGATGGACCAATCAGAGTACTGTATCCAGAATACTTAGAATACTTTCACGCAGTTGCAATTAAATTATAAAGTAAAAACACAATTATGTGCAATTTGAAACCTAAAGTGTGACCAACCTACTGAAGACAAACTACTACTTTGTAACTTCATTCAGACATTCATACACACAGGCAAGTGCATCCAACAGAAAAATTGCTTAGAAGGCCCATAAAATACAGATAGTGGAGATAATGAATGAAGACCTGCTTTGATTTTTTTCCCCCTCCACCTCAAGTTAAATAAGTTATGTAAATGAACCTAGCATATTTCACATATCCACCTGCCATCTTAGGACAATATTTAGAATAGACATATGCAATGAACACCACCATGTATGCCTTTGATTTTAGAAAAGTAACTGGATTCTGAATACCACCAAATGAAAAATTAACTGTACTGGTACATGTATTCAGTTACTTCCCAACACTGTATTCCTCCTTGTATTGTTGCAGGTATATGTTCTTCTCTGATTGGGAGGCACTACATGGACAGCCAGGTCTTGAACGGGCCTACATGGATGGAACGAACCGCTATGGTATAATAAGGAGCAAACTGGGCTGGCCCGCTGGTATCACCGTGGATATTGAGGCTCAACGCATTTACTGGGCTGATAGCCGCTATGACTACATTGAGACTGTAACATATGATGGTCTTTATAGGTAAAGAAATCACACATAACAAATGAACAGTTCAAAAGCAAAAACAGATAGCTCTGTTTTGAAAAACTGCCAAAAAAGTTATTTTCCTTATGTTACCATCTTGTAGATTTTATGAATGGGGAGGAAGGTGTTTTAGGGGCCCAAGGGTCTTATGAACACAGAATTGGACACTTTCTATTTCTAGTTCTATTAATTTATTTACAGGGTGGGAACGTGTTAAACTTCTTGCCCCAGCCCCCCAAATTTCTGTCAACGGGCCTGCGAAAGACAATAATGTATAGTGGATTTTAGCAAGAAGGGATGGAATAGTATTTTGATAGCAGTAAAATACATCTGGCTTTTGGAAAATTTATGAAAAATTATACTAATCTGTTTTTGCAAATGAACTCTTCAAACACTTGCCTTGTTTTTTTATTGTAAATTAAATATGTTTTTAATTTAAAGGAAAACTGTGGTTCATGGAGGAGCGGCAGTCCCCCACCCGTTTGGCATCAGTCTGTTTGAACACACTGTCTACTTCACAGACTGGACAAAGATGGCTGTGATGAAAGCAAACAAGTTCACTGACTCAAACCCTCAAGTGGTCTACCGCACATCTCAAACTCCCCATGGTGTAGCTGTCATCCATCCGCTCAAACAGCCCTATGGTAGGAAGTGTTCAAAACAGATCACCAGATTTGAGAACTACAGACTCAAAACTTTCAGATGGCTAGTTTTATGTAGTGTGGTATTGAATATTCAGAATGTACAAGTGCATATTTACAAAACAGTATACATTTATATATTAAAGGTCATAGATTATGCAAAATTATAATTGTTATAATGTTGTTACCTCATCGAACACAGGCTGAAGTTGTGTTTTGTTTCATTCACACATATCTGAGTGATCTTTTATCATTAGTCTGTCCACATCTCCAAAGCTGAAAATGGTCTTTTCCACCTTGTGATGTCATGCAGAGATAGTTTTCAAGTTAGCAGCTGCTTTTTTACCTTTAGTTCTGTAAAAATTTGAATTTCCAGGACTGGAATGATCCAAATGATTTCAGTGAAGTTGTATGGAGTTTAAAAAGACAGTGGAGCACTTACTGTATTACCACATGACATCAGAAGGTGGAAGAGAGTGTTGTTGTTGTTGTTTTTTTTAGAGAAGAACTAAATATTCAGGATTTGTGTATTAAACATGTGTGAATGAAACAATGCCCAACTCCAGGTATATTTGTGATGAGAGAACATTATAATAAAATCATAAAATTGTGTAATTGCCCCTTTAAACTGGAAGAAAGATATTTCCAGAACAACTTACACTGTTTTTCTCCATCAGTGTCCAACCCATGCAGTGTCAATAGAGGAGGATGTGAGCAGATCTGTGTTCTGAGTCATAGGAGTGACAATGGAGGACTGGGGTACCGCTGTAAATGCAGATTGGGCTTTGATCTGCATAATGATGGAAAGAGATGTGTTGGTTTGTAAAATTCTCTACTTCTTCTTCATCCTCTTCTTCTTCTTCCTCTTTTTAATCAATTGTTTTTTTTAAGGTGTCAGGCAGTTTCTTCTGTTCTCTAGTCAGTTGGCTGTAAGAGGAATCCCCTTTAACCTTTCCTCTCAAGAAGACATCATCCTGCCCATCACCGGGGCACCCTCCTACTTTGTTGGGGTGGACTTTAGTGCAGAAGACGATGCAATATTCTTCTCAGATACTACAAAAGATATTATCTACAAACAAAATGTAGACGGCACTGGTGAGTAACATTAGTTCTGCTTAGTTGTTGTTTAAAGTTGCACTTTGTAACTTTTTGGTTGAGGGTCTGTCACCTGCTTGTTTCTGTGGATTGATTGGAATGGCCTACAGTATGACATTTAACTCTACCTTAGATTTACTCAATCATAGGTGGTTTTATGGCTCAATAATACCTAGAAAAACATAGGCATTCTATATAAAAATGTGATCATTTAACATTTATCAGTTCAGCAAATGTACAAAGAAGCAAACATGACTACATCTTTAATATAAAGTTGAAAAAACTGAGGCACTCAGAAAGTACAAAATAATTAAAAGCCTTTAATACTACTTGGCAGATAAAGTTAAAACGCGTTTCAGCCTTTCGGCCTCATCAGGGCAAACTCGAGATGGCTATAACAGTACAGATTTAAAGTGATAGGTGTAGGTCACATGTTCACAGTGGGCTTGCCCATAGTCCCCTGGTGCATGATGGGACATGTACAGATTTTAGTTACAAGTTATATAAGATAAGATATAACACAAGATACAAGATAGAAATAGTATGATTACCAACAACCAATACACAGAAAAATACATAACATAAAATATATATAGTGCAAAATATACAAAAGTCCTACAGATACAACATGTATAATTTGTAAACAGTTTCATGGAGATGAAGATGTGAAAAATAGGATTGCACATTTAAAGATTGTAGTTTTAAAGGAAGGGGGAGAAATCTAACTCCTGGAAACTGGGTATCCTTGAGAGTGTAGATCCAGTAGGACTCTCTTTGTAGTAGTTTTTTCAGTCTATCTACTCCCCTTATTATTTCTTTAATATGTTCAGTTGCACAAATTTTTAGACTTTTACAGCTGCACTACAGATGACTGCATCTTTTACTGAATTTACAGCATGAAAGTGTAGCCTAAGACAAAGGTCACCACTCAGATTTTCCTGGTTGTTTTTGGAGCAACTTTGGCTCTTTCTATCCTGCACATTTTGTGGAAATGAAATCTGACAGTGTATTTATTATTTAAATCTGCTTCTTTTTCATCTCTGTGGCAAACGGTGGCTTGACGGCTTTGATCTGTGCAGGCAGGGAGGTGCTGGCAGCCAATCGTGTGGAAGGAGTGGAGGACCTGGCTTATGACTGGATCTCCAAAAACCTTTACTGGACAGATCCCCGATACAGAAGCATATCTGTGCTGAAGCTGGCTGACAAGTCCAGGAGGGCTATTGTACAAAACCTTAATAATCCCAGGGCCATTGTGGTACACCCTATCCTCGGGTAAATAATACATCTACTTCTTACAGCCTTGGGGTCATAAAGCCTTGTGTCTAGAATGTGAGATTAGTATGAAGGGAAGCATTGTATGAACTTTGCAAAGTTGGTTCACACGTCAAGCTTTCGTTTAGACAATTATAGTATACATACTCACAAAAAAGAGTTCAACTACAAAAACAGATATGTCCATTTTTTTTTTCTTGTTACCATCTTCTACATGTATCATAATGACAATAATGTATAGGAGATTTAAGCACAAACTGATGGCATTATATTTAAACTGAGGTAAAATCCATTTGGCTTTTTCTATACAAAGAATAAACGGCAAGCCTCTGATCACTGTTTTCTTAATTTGACAACTGTATATTTATTTAATGCTCTAGATAACATAACTATGATTTATATCATTAGGTATATTTTCTGGACTGACTGGTACAGGCCTGCGAAGATTATGAGGGCTTGGGGTGATGGGTCACATGCCATGTCCATTGTAAACACTACTCTTGGTTGGCCCAATGGTCTTGCCATCGACTGGAGGTATGTCAGAAACTCTACACATGAAATACTTGGTTAATGCCATGTTTAACTTGGGTGTTCATTTCAATTTGTAGTGCTATGCGTCTTTATTGGGTGGATGCCTTCTTTGATAAAATTGAGCACAGCAATTTTGATGGGCAGAACAGGCTTTCTTTGGACCGTATCTCTCAGATCTCTCATCCTTTTGGCCTGACTATTTTCGAAGGTAAAGAATGTTATCAGATCATGTACTGACTGTGTGCCTCTTGCTTTAATGAGGCTCATTTAAGGGGCTACTAAAGTTACTGTGAAGTAATGAAAGATTCAATACTAAGGTTTATGGTCTGTTGCACCTGTCATCCAGGCTATGCATACTTCACTGACTGGCGACTGGGTGGCATCGTGCGTGTGCGCAAGACTGACGGTGGAGAGATGGTCATTATTAGACGGGGAGTCAGCCACATCATGCATGTCAAGTCCTTCAACTCCAACACACAGATCGGTCAGTATTTTATCTTTTTTCTTATAGCACACATTATTAACTGTAACCTAAACTCCCACATTTTTCCATCTCATCATACAGGTTCAAATCTTTGCAACAGACCGACCAATCCAAACGGAGACTGCAGCCACTTCTGTTTCCCAGCTCCAGACTCCCGCAGAGTGTGTGGGTGTCCGTATGGAATGAAGCTATCACCTAACCATCAGATATGTGTAGAGGACCCTTCGAATGAGCCCCCCACCCTGCAATGTGGAGTCCATTCTTTCTCCTGTGGCAACGGCAAATGTGTCCCAAACAGCTACAGATGTGATGGTGTTGACGATTGCCATGACAACACAGATGAAGTCAACTGCGGAGTTCACAGTAATATTTCAGATACTGTTTTATTGATACTTTGCAGCTGATGTCATTAATATTCCCTGGGGGTGTGAAGCTATCTTAAAGCACTACTCTGTTAGAAGCTCTGTTACTCAAGTTAGACTTAATCTGGGCATTATTTTAACACAATCTGACTATAAAGAACTGACTTGATTGGCGCTATACCAGGTAGAGGTGGAATCAAGTCGTTGTTTTGCAAGTCTCAAGTAAGTCTCAAGTCTTTGATCTCAAGTCCGAGTCAAGTCCCAAGTCACAGACAGGCAAGTCCAAGTTAAGTCTCGAGTCACTCGCCCATAAGTCCAAGTCAAGTCCAAGTCGTCTGCTTTGAGCTTCAAGTCATTTCAAGTCTTTAAGCCAAAGTACCAAATATAGCTTAGATTTTTGCAATTTATATGACTTTTAAACTAAATTGTGCTTAAGAAATCATGGTATATTTATATATGAGTACTTATATAAGAGTTGTAATCCTTTTTAAATGTCTTGTCAAGATCTTAGAGTGAATCATTATGGTCAGAATAGAAAGAATTAAGTGTAATTAAAAGTGCTAAATTATAGTTATTTTGCCATTAAGGATCATATTTTCTGTAGTTTCCTCTGCATTGTACTGTATATTACTGTAGTACATTTGAGGACACCATCTCACAGTACTTCAGTTACAAAAAGTAAAAAACAGACAAGTGGGAGGAACATTCTCCAGTTTGTTCCTGTAAAATTACTCACGCGTGTATGAACTGTAAAGAGAAAAGTATTTTCTAAAAACATATTTTTTTATGAGAAACATCAAGTCTTCTCAAGTCACAGGCCTCAAGTCTCAGTCAAGTCCCAAGTCATTGAGCTTCAAGTCCATGTTGAGTCCCAAGTCTTAGTCCATTTTATCAAGTCAAGTCTCAAGTCCTAAAAATAGTGACTCAAGCCTGACTTGAATCACGACTTGCAAGTCCCCACCTCTGATAGCAGGTCAGATAATGTGTGCGCTTAAACAGTAACAAACCAGCTATCATAAACCACCCGTACTGATTCATTTTGTATTTTTTCTTGAGTTTTCAGACATTCTTAAAACTTTTTTTTTGACAGTGTTTGTTTTTCTGTGCAGTGTGTCACCATGGTAATGCCTAAACAATCTACCATTAGAGATAGATAAGAACACCCCCAGCATGATGTCTCTGCAAAGTATCAGTACATGTAGCTTTGCTGAATACTGGTTATACAATGTGTTCATACATTTTAGACACCACCTGCTCCCCCTCTGCATTCACCTGTGCAAACCAACGCTGCGTTCCTGCTTCATGGCGCTGTGATGGACACAATGACTGCTTTGATAACAGCGATGAGAGTAACTGCCCTACACGAGTGCCCGGGACCTGCCCTGCCAATCAGTTTGCATGTGCCAACCAGCGCTGCATCCCACATACCTGGCGTTGTGATACAGATAATGATTGTGGAGACAGTTCAGATGAAGAAAATTGCCGTATGTATAGCCTACTATGATCAGCTGTTGTTTTTTTTTTTTTCAAATGATCATCCTTTGACATTGTTTGAGTGTGTTGACAGATATTGGTAGCACCTGTCATCCTGGTCAGTTTCAGTGCCCTGACCATCGCTGTATAGACCCCAATTATGTCTGTGATGGAGACAGGGACTGTGTAGATGGAGCAGATGAGCAAGGATGCAGTAAGTGCTTTTATAGTTGAATATGGCATGTTAACAGGTAGTCTCTGGACTAATTTAAAGACTAAAAAATCTATGTAACCTGTTTGCAAGTAAAATATACGAGAAAAGTTGTACAGGTCAAGTGATCGACTAGAGAAATCCTTTGGGATTTTGTTAAGCCTATTACTTTATTGATCTCATTACTAGTTACATAAGTCAACATATGAATACACATTCATAAACCACTGAAATGTCAGATTTAACATACTTGTGTACTTGCTTTCCCCTGACAGTATATAACTGCACTTTGAATGAGTTCAAGTGTGCTAATGGCCATCAGTGCATCAACTCCTATTATAGATGTGATGGAGTCTTTGACTGTAACGATCGCTCAGACGAAAGAAACTGTCGTGAGTAACTCAATCATTTGGTGTTTAGAGCATCAATTATTAAATAGTGCACTAAACCACATGTTTGACCTAATATATTTGTATTGTTCTCAGCTACAAGGCCTCCAGGGATGTGCCACCACGAGAGTGAGTTTCAGTGCCAGTCAGATGGCAGCTGTGTGCCCTCGACCTGGGAGTGTGATGGACACCCGGACTGTGAAGATGGCAGTGACGAGCACCATGCTTGCCCCCCGCGCACCTGCCCCTCCACACTGTTCCGCTGTGATAACGGCAACTGTGTGCTGCCCAGCTGGGTCTGTGATGGGGACAATGACTGCAGAGACATGAGTGATGAGCGCGACTGTCCCACTCCTCCTTTCAGATGCCCCAGCTGGCAGTGGCAATGCCCTGGACACAGTGTCTGTGTCAACATCACCAGGGTCTGTGACAACACCCCCGACTGCCCCAATGGGGCAGATGAGTCGCCACTCTGCAGTAAGTCCAGTTATAATCTCTTTAATTTAATTTGTTTAATCAAAATTCACGTCATATTCAATATCATATTTATTGATTCAGTGTGGCTTAGTGTCTTTATTTTACTAGTAAAAATATGAAAATGTGTGTGTTAAAATCAAGCATGATTGTGATTTCACCTGTTAATCTAAACACAATCTGTGATCTTCCTTTCTTGCCTTTCTTTCTCAATATCGTCAGATGAGCCCCAACCAGGTAAGAAAACATGTTGAATCTTAATCTGTAATACAACAGTTTGATTTTTTTTACAAACATTTTTCCAACACTTGAATTAATATTATGAACCCTATCAAATATGTGTAAAACATAATTCATTCATCTGACAGAATTATAGGTACAAATATTTTGTGTCATTCATATTGTTTCTAAAATAATTTTAGTTGTGCTATTTTGTTATGAAATAGAAATAGTTATTGTACACTTACATTTAATTGATTCTTTATCCTATTGCACCCAGATCAGGAAAGCTGTTCAGACAACAATGCAGGCTGCACTCATGGTTGTATCCAGGGCCCTTTTGGGGCACAGTGCACGTGCCCTTTAGGCTTCCAACTCAGCAATGACTCTAAGACATGTGAAGACCTGGACGAGTGTAGTCCCCCTGGACTTTGTAGCCAACATTGTTTCAATGAAAGAGGCTCCTTCCGCTGCCACTGCCAAGATGGATACACCCTCGAGGCAGACCAGCGAACCTGCAAAGCCTCAGGTGAGATGGTTTCACATTAGCAAGAAATATAGTAAGTTTGAAAAATAACATTATGTGGATGATTTTTCCCTGTCCTTTCTCATACACATGCACATTTTTGTACTTGCTGGCTTTTGGGCTGGAATGAACTATAATGAGGTTCTACTTGGCCTCTAAACCACAGGCCAGCCATAGTCTCCTCTTCCATCTCTTTGCTGGCAGATCTGATTTCTATAGATAAGACAAATAACATATATGTCACTCAGCACCCATCCCTGGCTAAATTAGTACATAATCACCAACAAAGAGCTGTTTATAGGGAGCGTGGCCGACGTGAGCTCCTCTTCAGAGTTCAGAGCGATAACCTGCTGAAAGACTTTGTGGTACAATAGCACATTATCTGAGCACATTCCCTCAGGACTGTCATCTGAGTCTCCTCTATTTAAATGCGCTGGTGTTTCTTTGTGTCAGACATGCACACACTGATAAAGGATCTGATTGAATGAAAAGATTTGGACACTGTTGTTTTACAGATTCTCGAGAGGCATTCTTGCTGGTGGCCAGTCGAAACCAGATTGTACAGGATGATATTACCAGTCAGCCCAACGTGGTGCGCTCTGTGGTTCGTGATGGACGTAATATTGTGGCCATAGACTTCGATTCGGTAACAGATCGGATATACTGGTCTGATACAAGCCAGGATCGAATCTGGAGTGCTCATAAAAATGGAAGTGACAGGACCGTGGTGAGATATTGATCTATTTCTAAATAAGTAGTAATTAAAATATGGGACTGCTGTTTTTAAATGCATTTTTTGTCTACTAAGATATTTGACAGTGGAGTGACAGTTACAGAGAGCCTTGCCGTAGATTGGGTCGGAAGAAATCTATACTGGACAGACTATGTTTTGGAAACTATTGAAGTATCCAAACTGGATGGCAGCCACCGCACTGTACTAGTGAGTGAAAACGTGACCAACCCACGAGGCCTGGTGCTGGACCCAAGAGACAGGTCAGTGGTGTCTAGTTTTTCCTTTCTTCATTATATTGGACTATGATGCCTACTTTAGTTTTATCTTCTGTTTTTAAAGCAACTGATGTTAAAAGATGAATATCCAACTTGCAGCACTCACCTGATGTTCTGGACCGACTGGGGAAGAAATCCACGCATTGAGAGGGCCAGCATGGATGGGCAGTTGAGGACTACAATTATAAACAACAAGCTCTACTGGCCAAATGGTCTCACTATAGACTACCCAAACAGACTGTTGTACTTTGCGGACGCCTACCTGGATTTTATTGACTATTGTGATTATGAAGGCAACAACAGAAAGCAGGTTCTAGCCAGCGATCTGGTGAGTGCCATTCATTTGTATTCACATTATAAATTGACTGAGAAAGGTGCACCATGTAACTTTGTGGTTTGGGGTCTGTCACCTGCTTGTTTCTATGGATATGTTATTTCTCTGCTTGGAATGTTTCACAGTATGATATTAAAGGGACAGTTCGGGATTTTGGACATAGGACCTCATTTCCTAGTGAGTCAGAGTGTTGGAGACGTGTGGAGACTTTTTAAAATATTCGATCAGTCTCTGTATATCGTCCCACTAAAAACAGTCTTACCCACTACATCGACGTAAATGTTTCTGTCGATAGAATCATTTTAGAAGTAAAACCAACCTTGCATTTGAAGGATTTATGTCTGAGCAGCAGCAGCGAGTTGTACTTCCTGATAGAAAGCTTGGCAGCAGGGTACTGATATCACCTAGTACCTATCTTACTGGTAAAGTAAAATTCTGCTGCTGCTGAGAAAATAGTCCCTCAACATGCGACGATTCATGCGATGCAAGATTAGTTTTATTTCGAACATTTCTCTATCACCACAGACATTTATACTGACAGTCTGGCATAATAATTGTTTTGCTTCGGGTGCTTTGTGGAGTGGGTAAGACTGTTTTTAGTGGCAGGCTAACTATGACCATTGACATGCACTAGGAAATGAGGTCCTATGTCCAAAATTCTAGACTGTCCTTTACAAGTGGCTTTTAGCTCAAAAAAACCTAGAAGAACAGGCATTCTGACTGTGAGTGGGGTTGCCTCTCCACAGCTCTGATCTGTAATGTGGTCAGGTTTGGTCTCCAAGAAGATAAAAAGGTTTAATCCTGTGAAACATTCCAGACAAAGCAACATTTCCATGGAGAAAAGCATTTGATGGGACCTCCACCAGAAAAGTTACACAGTGCACCTTTAACTGTTTGAATGACTTTTGTATTTTTGCCATTCTCCATTAAAAGGTATTACAACACCCTCATGCAATTACCATTTTTGAGGATTTCATGTATTGGACTGACAGATACATTAACCGTGTGATGCGGGCACACAAGTGGCATGGAGAGAATCAGACTGTAATGCTTTTTAACCTGCCACAGCCAATGGGTTTGATAGCTGTGCATCCTGCCAGACAGCCTACAGGTAATGCCCAAAATGTTATCTTGAGAATATTAGGTCTTATTTAAATTAAATTGTCCATATTACACTATTTTTTGTATCTATGTTATAATGTTGTTTCCTCATCACAAACATACATGGAGTTGTGTTTTGTTTCATTCACACATGTTTAGCACTCAAACCCTACCTGTTTAGACTGAGTTTTCAAACAGAAAACACTCTGTCCCATCTTGTGATTTGTTTGGTAATACATGAGGTGCTCCATTGTGACACTGTGATAATTTGGATCATCTTAGACTTGCAGCTCCCAGTCTCTACTGAACAAAAGTTAAAAGATAGATAGATAACAAAGAATTACTCAAACATGTGTGAATTAAACAAAATATAACTCCAGGTTTGTTTTTAAGGAAGTAACAACATTATAATATGGCTTAAAGCTCACAACATTGTATAATATAGGACCTTTAAAATAAAATCTCTTTCATGAGTGCATTTATGATTTACATGGTCATATTTTCTTCAGGTGAAAATCACTGTTTAAGGAGCCGTTGTTCACATATCTGCCTGTTATCATCTGTGGGACCAAATTACTTCTCGTGTGCGTGCCCCTCAGGATGGACCCTGGCACCAGACCAGACCAACTGCTTCAGAGGTACAATATGTTCCAGCCAGATGGATTAATACATTCACTATCTTTTATTAAGTTTAAAGTCATTTGACATGCAGTGATGGGAAGACAATTTTAATTAATTAGTTACAGAATACTGAATATCTGAAGACAGAATACTTTTACATTAAGTTGCATTTAAATTATAGTGTAAAGATTCAACATTGTTTTAATAACAGCTTTATTTTTTTTTTTTTTACTGTTTTAAAACATTTTCTATCACAAATTGGAGATGTAAAAATCATTCACCGCAAGAGCATTTGTTTATTTTCCTCACTGATTTTGTGCAGCATGCAGAATTACATGATCAAATGCCGTAATGTTTTCCTTTGATTTTAGAAAAATAACTGTAGCCAGCAAAAGAAAAAGTAACTGTACCTGAATACAGTTACTCAAAATGAGTATTCTGAATATGTATGCCTGGTTCACTTTCCAACACTGACAGGGGATGACTCATAATACCATTGGTTCAATATTGTCTCATAGATAGAATAATAGTGAAAGCCAGGTGAGACATCCAGATAGTTGTCAACAGCCCCATATTAATTTTAATGCACTCTTCGAGACTTATCAAGGATCATACCTGTTTTTTCATGTTCTTAAGAACCCGGGCAGCCTTTAATTCAAAGTCTCCCTTAGGTCAACAGCTTAAGTCATCTCAGGTTTCAGCTCATTCAAGCCAAGCAGAACCCAGTCTCCCCGAGGGCACTGATTATCCTAGAATGTAAATGGCCCGCAGCCATTCATTGATACTAATCTTTGATGACAATGCAAAGCAGATTTTAGAATGAACTTTCACTAATCAATTCTTCCTATAGATTAAGACCTGGTATCTTAGGTTTGCCAAATCTCATTGACAAAAATGTTGGGTTTTGGATTACTGAGTAATTTCCGAAATCAGGAAGTCTTAACTTGATTATGCTTCTGAATTGCAATGCAATTTCTGCAGGTTTTAGTTGGAAATATGAACCTATTACACTGTAGTTTTGGCACGACTTTTGTCTCATGTTTGCAGATGAGGAGCCATTCCTGATTATTGTAAGAGACAGCATCATCTATGGCATTTCCTTGAATCCCGATGACAAGAGTAATGATGCGATGGTCCCTGTTGCTGGACTCCAAAATGGATATGATGTTGATTTTGATGACAATGAACAGAACATCTACTGGGTGGAGCATCCAGTAAGGCTGAGGACTAAATGAGTGATTGATTATATTCAAATATAGTGCTAAATTAATACATTTATTAAAAAATCTATTTTCTATTTAGGGTGAAATTCATAAAGTGAGATCTGATGGGACAAACAGGTCTGAATTGGCCCCTGCTGCCATCCTTGGCTCTCCAGTCGGCCTGGCCCTGGACTGGATGACTGAGAATCTGTACTATACCAATCCAGCCACACAGTCTATTGAGGTACTGAACATTCTTGGTTATTATAAAGAAGCAATGTTCACAACTGAAGCAAGTGAAAATTGACATTTCTCAACCAGGTTTTGAAGTTGAAAGGGGAGGTGCAGTATAGGAAAACTCTAATCACAAATAACGGCTCTCCGACTGGCGCTGGCACTCCTGTTGGCATCGCAGTGGACCCTGCACGTGGGTAAGCCCCATTTAACACAGTCCTGGCACAGACGCTCTCATTGAGCGTGAACAGCCACCTCAAAGCCATCTGCTTTGCCTCAATAGAGAACTCAACTAGTTTTATTGAAACTTTCATTAGCCTCCTGCAGCAATCAAATAATAAAATAGTGTAACAGATCAAGAGATCAGAGAAAAGCTGGAAGCTGATGGCCATTCAGTTTAAGAGAAAGTAAGGTATTTAATGTTTGCTGTTTTTCTTTTATGTTTTAGCAAACTCTACTGGACAGACCAAGGAACAGAAAGTGGCATCCCTGCTAAGGTGGCATCTGCAGACATGGATGGCCAAAACTCTGTCACTTTGTTCACCAATAATTTAGACCACATTGAATTCCTCACTGTGGACATCAAAGACAATAAGCTGTACTGGGCTGTAACAAGCACGGGGATGGTATGTACAGAATATATATACAGTCATATACAGTCTATGCTACTGACTTATAACTGAGTGGACATAAATTTAACTACTGCATGTTAATGTATTATATTGTTGCAGATTGAACGTGGTGACCCAGATGGCACTAACCGCATCACTATAGTAACAGGTTTGTCTCACCCGTGGGGTGTGACTGTCTACCAGGACCACCTGTACTTCACTGATCGAGATTTTGAGGTCATTGAGCGTGTGGATAAATCCACTGGTGCAAACAGAGTTGTGTTACGTGACAATGTATCTGGACTCAGAGTTTTAAAAGTACATTATCGAGAGAGTAAGTATGAAAAGCATGTTATCATTATAAGGTACAACTGGAAATGTAATATTTTCTTCTTCCTTCCTTTTTAAAAAAAAGCCTCTGCAGGGACATCAAATGGCTGCACAAACAATGCTGGTGTATGTGAGCAGCTCTGCTTGCCTCGGCCCCATGCTCTGTTTACCTGTGCATGCGCCACAGGTTTTAAGCTAAACACAGACAACAGGACCTGTGCTCCCTACCAGTCTTTTGTCGTCATCTCGACTTTGTCTGCCATCAAGGGCTTCAGTATGGAAGGATCTGATCATTCAGAGGCCATGGTGCCTATAGCTGGGAGAGGTGTGTCAAACATATTGTATATTTAATATAGCATTTGTCTATTGTTTATATAAATGGAATCTCCAATCTGCTCTTCAGGTCGTAATGCGCTCCATGTTGATGTCCACATGGCGTCTGGTTTCATTTACTGGTGTGACTTCAGCAGTACAGTAGCTACACAGAATGGGGTCAGACGGGTAAAGCCAGACGGCTCAGGATTACGCAGCCTTGTCACATCTGGTATAGGTCGCAATGGGATTCGAGGCATTGCTGTAGACTGGGCAGCAGGTACAAGGAAACAAAATACATGTTCAGTATCATTACCTAAATCCTAGTTCTGTAGTTCATTACAACTGTGAAAATGCATAAGTATATTTATAAATGTAATTGAAATACATTTTATTTAAAATTTGATTCCCTTTCTTTTCAGGTAACCTATACTTCACAAATGCCTTCCTGACAGAGACATATGTCGAAGTCCTTCGTATCAATACCACGTTCCGCAGAGTTCTTCTGAAGACACAAGTGGACATGCCTCGGCACATTGTGGTTGACCCAAAAAACAGATTTTTGTTCTGGGCTGATTATGGTCAAAATCCCAAAATCGAGCGAGCGCTTTTGGATGGTACCAACCGCACAGTGTTAGTGTCATCAGGAATAATCACTCCTCGAGGGTTAGCGCTGGACTGGCTCACTGGTTATGTGTACTGGGTGGATGATTCACTGGACATGATTGCTCGAGTTAGCCCGAATGGAGGAGATACAGAAATAGTAAGATATGGCAGCCGCTACCCAACTCCTTATGGGATATCAGTGTTTGAGAACAGCATAATGTGGGTGGATAGAAACCTCAAGAAGGTTTTTCAAGCAAGCAAAGAACCAGGAAACACAGAACCGCCTGCTGTCATTAGAGATAATGTAAACATGTTAAGGGACATCACCATTTTTGATCAGAAAACTCAGCCCACAAGTGCGGAGGAGCTCAATCACAACCCATGTATGATGGATAATGGAGGCTGTGCCCACTTCTGCTTTGCCCTGCCGGGGGCTGGCCCAAGTCTCAAGAAATGCAGCTGTGCTTTTGGAGATCTGGCAGCAGATAATGAAAGCTGTGTAGTTTCTAGAGACGATTACCTCATTTACACCACAGAGAGCACAGTACGCAGTTTACGTTTAGATCCTGAGGATCACGCACTGCCTTTTCCTGTGGTCAATGTCCCCCGCACTTCAGTGGCACTAGATTTTGACCTGGCCGATGGAAGGATCTACTTCACACAGAGTGTGGGATCAGGAGCCAGTAAAATAAGCTACATCAGCCTGTCATCTCCAACATCAGCCCCTGTGGAGGTGGCCTCAGGTGAGCCTCAGGTAGTCATCACTCAAACAGTTTCATTGAGATCTGAAACCAATTATTTTTAATGACTTCTCTTACAGACCTTGGGGCTCCTGATGGGATTGCGTATGACTGGATAAACAAAAGAATTTACTACAGTGACTTTGTGAATCAGAGCGTCAGCTCCATGTCTGTGGATGGCTCTCAGAGGACTGTTATTGCTCATGTATCTAGACCAAGAGCTATCATGCTAGATCCCTGCAGGGGGTAAGACTTAGTGCACTGTGGATAATACTAAGATTAAAGTCTTTAAACTGAGTGTTAGTCTGTTCTGTTTCACAGATACATGTACTGGACAGACTGGGGAACACATGCAAAGATTGAACGTGCCACATTGGGAGGAAACTTTAGAGTTGAGATTGTGAACAGCAGTCTGGTCTGGCCTAATGGACTAACACTAGACTATGAGGATGAAAGGCTGTACTGGGCAGATGCCAGCTTGTAAGATCTAACAGTGTTGCATTTAATCTACATGCCTGCCCTTTTTCTTTGCTCTCATAAATGTTTTGCTGTACACCAGACAGAAGATTGAACGATCGTCTCTTACTGGCTCTGACCGCGAGGTCATTGTAAGCACTGCCATCTACCCATTTGCCATGACAATGTTTGGCCAGTTTATCTACTGGACAGACTGGAACACACGCAGCATTTACAGAGCCAACAAGCATGACGGATCTGACCAGGTGGTCATGGTCCAGAACCTTCCATCTCGACCAATGGACATCCATGTTTTAGCCAGCCGTAAACAGCAACAATGCAACAGTCCCTGCCTGCAGTTTAATGGAGGCTGTAGTCACATCTGCACACCAGGTACACCAGCTTCTATCTATTTATGTTTTGTGAATTTATTAAGTTATCCAAATATATATGATGTGTCAAACATACATACTGCAAACATGCTCTCTGTTTGGGTTTCCTTTAGGGCCCAGTGGAGCTGAGTGCCAGTGTCCGTCAGAGGGTCGTTGGTATTTGGCTGATAATAAACATTGCATACCCGACAATGGGACGCGCTGCCAACCAGGCCAGTTCACCTGTATGAATGGGCGCTGTATCCGTGCCCAGTGGAAATGTGATAACGACAATGACTGTGGAGACGGAAGTGATGAATTGGAACGAGTGTGTGGTAAGAAGTTATTTAATTAATCTGCCCGCAGTTGTTTAAAGGTACACTGTGTAACTTTCCTGATGGAGGTTCTATCACATGCTTCTCTCTATGGAGATGTTTCCTGGAATGTTCCACAGTATGGCATTACACTTATTTATTTCTATGAAAACAAAAGACGCCACAGGGCCAAGTGAAATCTGGGGAGAGGCCAGTCCATTCACATAATGCATGAATTTTAGGTTAAGAAAACCCCATGTTTTTGAGTAACTTCAAGAGGGATACATTTATTGCCATACCAGGACATTCCAGACAAAGCAATAGCATTTGATGGACCCATAATGTAAAAGTTATATAGCGCACCTTATATAGTTTTTCTCCTTTGCTTCTTTTTTCCACAAATTATTTACACTAACAATTTTAATTTACCAATCATATTTTTTTGCTGCATAAGGACCCAAGATCTATTTTGAAAACTCTGGTGTGTATGTGTACTTGTCTTGTTAACAATGCATTTCTTACATTTCTAAACTAATGATTAAAACTAACAAATCAAACATATACGTACTTTATTGCATGCAGTCCCTCCGATGCTATCATCTTTTATTAGCTTGTCAGGTAAAGCAGTAAAAATATAACTTCTAAAATTTCCATAGCTCTTTTGTACACACTAACTTATTCCTGTTCACGATTGGCAGCTTTTCACACGTGTGATCCTACGGTCTTCACTTGTGGCAATGGACGCTGTGTGCCCTACCACTACCGCTGCGATCACTATGACGACTGCGGAGACAACAGCGATGAGCAGGGCTGCCTGTTCAGACCGTGTGACCCCAATACTGAGTTCACTTGCGCTAATGGACGCTGCATCGCCAAAGAATATGTGTGCAACGGCATAAACAACTGTTACGACAATGGAACCTCAGATGAACAGAACTGCCGTAAGTTTGGGTATTGAAACTTTGCGGAGAAATCACGTGGAAGTGTTCTGCATGCATGTGTATGGCGGAATGTTCAGAAGTTTCCGTGGTGTCACAATGCACACATTAGCAAACACAGACAAATAAGTTTTACGATGTCTGAAAGCTAAAAAAAAATGCAGATTTAAGTCTAAGAAGCCTCAGAAAGAGCAGTGCCTACAGTTAGCATCATACCACCAAGGAAAGCAGATTATTAGATAAAAGTATAGAACAATTGTATTGATGATGTGTACTTGTTCTACTTCATTTAATTTCTAGCTGAGAGAACATGTCAACCAGAGCAGACTAAATGCCAGTCCACCAACATCTGCATCCCACGGTCCTATTTATGTGATGGAGACAACGACTGTGGAGATATGAGCGATGAAAGCCCTACACACTGCGGTAAGTTCACATTCAACAAGTAGGTTTTTAAATACTGGCACTATGCTGCCTAAATAGCTCTCACAGCAAGATGTGTGGAACCTTTCACTACAGTTTCCACCATCAGTCTAAAACAGACTTTATACTATGTCTGTCTATGTCTGTACTATACTACATACTTTTTTGATTTAGCCAATCGCTGCTATTTGGTTGTGACGTATGTAATTCGTCAAATCCCGTAGGAAGAAGGACAATAACGGCTTTCCCCTTGAAAAAATTCACCTAACATTCTCTTTGTTCCGGCTTTAAATCCTCGATCTCTGGAATCGTTGCCAAAACAGAATGTATCGCTTCGTCTACATTCATCTCGACCACTTTGTTTACTGTTGTGCTGTACCACAAAAGGGACCGAGACAGACGCTTGAGTTTGATGTCATGGCTTCACAGCTCTTCTCCGATTGGCCAGTGTGAGGTCTACAACTTCCAGGGTTCTTGCAAACCGTCTAGTGTATTCCGATTCCTGACCTAGTCACTGGAGAGAAATGAAATTGAGTGGAGGCACTAGTTGGCACCAGCCTGGCTAGTCTTCCACATCCGCATCTTGAAATCTGTCTCCAGGCATGGCACTGTAACTGTGGCTGTCCATTGTTCCTGGCAGGATGCCCCAAATACATTGAAGGATGGATCAAATCATAGACTGTATAAATGGACATAGCTAACCTGCTAGACGCTGCATTCTAAATAGGAAGTCTGCATGGAGGCACTTCCAGCTCCATTGACTTTACATCTCTCTGACTCCTCTCTCTCTCTGTAAATTTTTTATATTAACCTGCTCTACATGATCCTTGTGTTTTTATTTCACTGTTTTGGCCGTAAATTGCTCCAAATTCAACCTATAACTGCTTGCATCGTGAGCTTCAGTTGACTGGACACACTCCTTCAGTTCGCTTCTTTATACAGCCTATGGCCCTGATTTATGTTTTTGTCACACTACAGCTGCAGCCACATGTTCCCAGAGTGAGTTCCGTTGCTCTAGTGGCCGGTGCATCCCCGCTCACTGGTTCTGTGATGGAGGAGCCGACTGTGCCGATGGATCTGATGAACCCCAGTCCTGCAGTGAGTAGTCCACCTCGGCTTGTCACAATAATTACAATCGACATATTGTTCAATATATGAAAGCTGGAACAGTATATTTTGGGGCTCAGTATTTATTGTGTGCACATTTTCTTTGTAAAATTAGGGAGATTTGAGATATTTTTGTTGTAATACAATAAAACTGGAGTTTTAGAGAGTTAAATAAAATACTTCTGTGGCTATTTTGGTTCATTCTGGTATTTATCTGTTGCACCTTAGGCTTTCTATACAGTATTTTTAAAGGTGCATTGTGCAACTTTTCTATTTGAGGGTCCATCAAAGTCTTTTGGAGATGTCATTGCTTTCTGGAAATTTTCACATTACAGTATTAAACCATTCTATGTTCATGGAGACCAAATAAGGCCAAGTTACAGGTCAGATTTGTGGAGAGACAACCTCGCTGACAGTCAGAATACCTGTTTTTCTAGGTATTTTTGAGCTATAAAACCATCTGTAATTTAAAATATGACCAACCCCAACAAGAAAAGTTACATAGTGCACCTTTAAGTACGAAAAGTCTTGTTCCATTGGCAGATAATTTTACTTATCATGCAAAATATACTCAAATCAACATGATATTTTAACTTAAAATCATTTTAACTTGAAGCCATTTTAACTTGGCAAGATTTTAGTTTTCGCAGTGTATCGTGTTTCAAAATTTGTTATCGTGACAGGCTTAAGTCAACTCCCATCTGCCCCCTCCCCCATTATCAGCTGCTCTGTCTTTGGGCCTGTCTCGCCTCTTGTGTGGTGGCAGAGAAGAGATGCGCCCAGGAGTGACTCAGTGGTGTATGGCTTTGTTTGGGGATGTGGTCAGTCAGTCCTCCCTATTGTGGTCCACATTCCTCCCCAGTGACGCCCCCTCCGAGTGCGGTGACAAACAGCTCCTCCCCCTCCCTTTGTCCAGCAGTTACCCAGCCTCACTTTGGCTTTTGTTTAGACAACTCACCATGCATGGGAATGTGGAGTTGCCATGACAATAAGGAAAGCCCTGCCAAAGTTTAATTGCACCCCGTTTATTAGGTTGAAAAGTTGTGGGGGATGCGCCAAGATATTTACTAAGACTTAATTAAAAACTGTTCACAAGCCACAATATGCGCATTTATACAAGACTTACACAAACTTTATTGATCAACAAGGGAAATTATTTGGACACAGTAGCTCACACATCACAATATAATATCATAACAAAGAGCAAAAATATAAATAGTAATAAGAAATTCAGAAGAGACTAGTGTTAAATGAGGCATAATTATATAAATGTATATGTACAAGTAAAAATAAAATACAGAAACATAGTTATTCTATTTTCTAGTTCCTATATATTACTTTTACTTGTACATATACATTACTTTTGTTACATATTTCAAATTAATTATTAGCATTTATATTTTGGCTCTATTTACTGTGATGTGCGAGTTACTACAAACTGTTTCCCTTAAATTTGATGCTAATTTCATGCAATTTTTCTACTTATTTTGTCTATATTATTACCGTATATATATTTAATTTATTTAAAGTATATGTACATTTTAAACATTTTTAAATGCAAGATTATAGGTCCAAAACATAACAAGACATACTAATCCAAATGACAAGACAGAAGACTATTATTGTTATTACCATTTACACAGTTTGGTAATTATGAGTTTGTGTGTTAGTTTGTGTCTGAGTTTGTATTTTGATTTGTTTTGCAGCTACTCTCACTCGAACTTGTAACTCTGACCAGTTTCGCTGTGATGATGGGAGGTGCATTGCGTCATCTTGGATTTGTGATGGGGACAATGACTGCGGAGACATGAGCGATGAGGACCAGCGGCACAACTGTGGTACAGCCTTTAAAACACCACTTTATTTTACTGGGCATTGTCACTTGACTTTCACCCCAGACTAGACACCATTACAAAGCTGTGATGTGGCGTCTGTCTGGTTTGTCACCTGCACGCCTCTTAAGGCTCCTCTTACAGATGTTAAGAGGAAGTAGTTGGCATTCCTGATTTCTCCTGCTTCACTTGTTGCATTGTAGCTTTTTTTCTTTTTAACAATAAGAAGCCAGAAGTTAAAATCATTGGTTTAAAGGGGACGCATTGCACAAAATCAACTTAAGAGCTTTGAAAGGGCCTATATTATGCAAAATTGACTCTTGTGATCTTTAAGCCATGTTATAATGTTAAAAATATAGCTTGAGTTGGAGTTTTGTTTCATTCACACATGTTTAGGTAACCCTTTATTATTAGTCTGTCTACATCTCCAAAGCTCAAAATGCTCTGTTCCACCTTTTGTGTTAAAGAAACAGTCTGGAATTTTGGACATAGGACCTCATTTCCTAGTTAACCAGAGTGTTGGAGATGTGTGGAGACGCTTTTTTAAATATTCCATCCAGTCCTTGTATTTGCAGAGGTCGCAGGTGCTAGACTAGGCTGGAGTGGGTAACAGTCTTACCCACTCCACAAAGCACCCGAAGCAAATCTATTATTACGCCAGACTGTCGATGTGAATGTTTGTGTCAATAGAATCATTTTAGAAGTAAAACCAACCTTGCATTTGAAGGATTTATGTCTGAACAGCAGCAGCAGCAAGTTGTATTTCCTGATAGAAAGCAATCCAGGTCCATCATCTGCTTGTTTTTATGTTTATGTCTTTGCTCTGCTTATAATGTTCTACAGTATAACATTAAATTGCTCTAATTTACATTTATTACATTTTATAGTTTTAAAGTTCCAAAATACTTCGAAAAACAGGCATTCTGACTGTGAGCTCAGATGCCTCTCCACAATTCTTATCTGTGACTTGGTTTGGTCTGCCTGAAGATAGAAAGATTTAATGCCATACTGTGAAACATTCCAGATAAAACAATAACATCTCCATGGAGAAAAGCATTTTACAGACAATGCGACTTTAAGCTGTTATAGAGCAATTTTGCAGTTTACAATGAACAAAATGTAAATGAATGATGAACAGTAAATACTCAAAAAAGCATAATATGTTAACCCACTTCTTTCTCTTTGAAACACTGACCTATTTCCTTTACTTGCTAAAATCTATCCGCAGCAAATCGCACATGCTCAAACTTAGAGTTTACCTGCGTGAACAACCAGCCGCCCCAAAGGAAGTGCATTCCTCGTGACTGGGTCTGTGACGGTGACGCAGACTGTGCCGATGCACTGGACGAGCATCAGAACTGTTCACGGAGATCCTGTGGGGTCAATGAGTTCACTTGCAGCAACGGACTCTGTATACGCAGTTCATACAGGTAAAACGAAAATTCTGTTACTTTTTTTTTGACTTAGACTTAGACTTAGACTTAGACAAACTTTATTCCACAAGGGAAATTATTTGGGTGCGCAGTAGCTCACACATCAGAATAAATTTAATAACAAAGAACAAACAATATAAATAGTAAAATAAATTCTAAATCAGTAGGAAAGAAACAGATGTGAAATAAGAGATAATTATATAAATGTAAATATACAAGTAAAAATAAAATAGAATGATATGATATGATGATTGACAGGACATAGGGTTATTCGTTACATAAGGGTGAGTTGTTGTACAGTTGTAAGGAGTATTATAGTATGAATGTAGTCCTGTATCACTTGTTGTTTGAGCAGAGCTGTAGGAGCCTGTTGGAGAAAGCGCTCCTCTGTCCCTCTATAGTCTGGTGCAGTGGGTGAATTGTTGTAAGGTTGTAGGGAGTATTTTCTGTCCCTCTATAGTCTGGTGCAGTGGGTGAGCAGAAGTGCCCATAATGGAGAGCGGTTTGTCCAGTGTCCTCCTGTCCTTCACTGTGACAAATGTCTCGAGCTCACAGCCAATCACGTGACTCAGTAAAGTTGTCAGTCCTTTAGAGTTAGACAACAATTGCCTGGCCAGCCTGTCCCTTCTACATTCTATTTGAATCCAGACGAGACTAGAACCAGAACACAGAGCTTGAAAATCCTCTGTCCTAATTTGAGACGATTCAACCACAGCCACTAATTTGTATCACGTGTCCCACAAATGGAGAAGCTATGTTTATTTTCTGTCAATTACGGCCTCTGAAATCAGGGAGACAGGATACAGCTCCAGATCCACTCGTATTTGTGAAGTTGTCAAAGTGTGTGGTTCTGGTTGGACTGGTAAAGAAAACTTGCTATTATTACTTAAATATGTGTTTGTTTGTTTGTTTTTTTAACTTCAGATGTGATCGACGCAATGATTGTGGAGACAGCAGTGATGAGCAAGGCTGCACCTACCAGCCCTGTCAGCAGCACCAGTTCACCTGTCAAAATGGCCGTTGTGTGTCCCGTGATTTTGTCTGTGATGGAGATAACGATTGTGGCGATGAATCCGATGAACAGGACCACATGTGTCATACCCCAGCCCCCACCTGTGCCCCAGGACAATTCAGGTGTGAAAACGGACACTGTATCCCGATTCAGCAGGTGTGCAACAGAAATGATGACTGCAACGATAACAGTGACGAGAAGGGATGTGGTGAGTATTTTTACAGAAATATATAATGTACTGCTTGGAAACAGCTCTTCTAAAACAAATGTGTAAATAAGTTGTCAGTAATTCTCAAAATGTCTTTATGTCCAAGTAACTACTGATTAAATTATCACTACTTTTACGTTGTACCCATAGACTGTACGACAAAAAGGTGATCCCAAATTATTTGACTTTGCTACAACAAATTATTTCTACTATTTTTACTACAGGTATCAATGAATGCACAGATCTATCCACTCACAACTGTGACCACAACTGCACGGACACGCCGACCAGCTTCATCTGCACCTGTCGCCCGGGCTACCGCCTCATGTCCGACGGCCGTACGTGTGACGACGTGAACGAGTGCGCTGAAACCCCTCACGTCTGCAGTCAAATCTGCGAAAACACTGTGGGCTCCTACGTGTGTAAATGCGCCCCGGGATACCTGCGAGAACCCGACGGACGCAGCTGCCGTCAAAATAGCAACATCGCTCCGTACCTCATCTTCAGCAATCGTTACTACCTGAGAAATCTGTCCACCGACGGGGAAGCCTACTCCCTCATCCTGCAGGGTCTGACCAGTGTGGTGGCTTTGGACTTTGATCGTGTGGAGAAGCGTTTGTACTGGATCGATGTAAACCGCAGAGTGATTGAAAGAATGTATTTCAACGGTAGTAACAGAGAAGTGGTGGTGAATGGGGTGCTGCACGGAGAGGGGCTTGCTGTGGACTGGGTGGCCAGGAAACTCTACTGGGTGGACAGCTTCTTGGACTGCCTCAAAGTCAGCGAGCTGGATGGGCGCTTTGTGAGGAAGCTTGCTGAACACTGTGTGGATGCTAATAATACATATTGCTTTGAAAACCCAAGGGCACTAGTTTTGCATCCAAAATATGGGTAGGTTAATATTTGGAATTATCATGTTCTGTGTCGGTGTTTAATGAGTAGTCTCTCAATGCATGTTCAGATCACAGTTTTAAAGTAACTAAAAAAAAGAAATATAGAACATAAATGGTTATGTAAATAGTGCAAGTATGACCAGGGGTGTAGTGGGCCTGTTACATGGGGGTATGCCGTCCACACACTTCTCCCGATGTGAAATTTAAAAAATGACAAATATAAAATGTATGAATGTAATCTAAACTTTATATTTTATTTTTACTTTTACATAGATTTGTGTACTGGACAGACTGGGGAAACAAAGCATTTATTGGTCGTGTTGGGATGGATGGAACCAACAAAACAGCCGTTATCACCACAAAGTTAGCCTGGCCTAATGGGATCACTATTGACTACACTAACGACATGCTCTACTGGTCTGACGCCCATCTGAACTACATTGAGTAAGTCCGCTGAACTTTAAAACTCTTATATCACACAAAATTGACTCTTGTGAGACATGTTTTAATGTTTTTGCGAAGGTAATGACCTTCTCAAAAACATAACATTGTTTTTGTTTCATTCACACATATTTATTATTAGTCTGTCTACATCTCCAAAGCTCAAAATGCTCTCCTCCACCTTGTGATGTCATGTAGTGATAGTTTTCAAGTTAGCAACTACCTTTTCCCTTTTGTTCAGTAGAGACAGGCAAATCTAGGGCTGAAATCATCCAAAGGATTCGAGTGAAAGTGTATGGAGTTTAAAAACACAGTGTAGCAGAGTGTTTTCTGTTTGAAAGACGAACTCTAGCCAGGCTGGCACCACCTACTGCCTCCGCTCAATTTCATTTCTCTCAGCGACTAGTTCAGGAATCAGAATACACTAGACGGTTTGCAAGAACCCCGAAAGTTGTGGACCGTGCACCGGCCAATCAGTGAAGAGCTGTGAAGCTATGACTGGGTCCCTTTTTGTGGTACAGCACAACAGTAAACAAAGCTGTCGAGATTAATGTAGACAAAATCATACATTCAGTGTTGGCAACAATTCCCGAGATCGAAGATTTAAAGCCGGAACAAAGAGAATATTTGGTGAATTTTATCAAGGGGAAAGACATTATTGCCCTTCTTCCTACAGGATTTGGGAAAAGCTTAATATACCAGTTGCCCCGTTAGCAGCACATTACATATGTCTCAACCAAATAGCAGTAATTGGTTAAATAAAAAAAAAGTACCCGCCTACCGTCAAGCGAACGAATCCTAATGCTGTGAGGTCGGACAGTTTCAATGAAGTGAAACCGGCGGATGAATCAGGCTAAAAGAACTCAGCCTAAATATCCAAATCCAAATCCACTTTATTTCTATAGCATATTTTACAAACAAAGCAGTTTCCAGTGCTGCACAGAGATCATAAACTGAAGACAACAAAAAGGTAAATTGCTAAAATTTTGTCATACCAGTCCTAAAACAATAACACTAGTGAAATAAAAATAAAAGCAAAAACCATAAAATCATAAAAATTGCAGTAAATAAGTAAAAAGCTAAATAAAATAAATAAAAGACGCAGAGGACCGCACAACTCATGCAGTGTTAAAAAACAGTGAATAAAAGTGGGTTTTAAGACAAGACTGTGGGGGCTGTTTGGAGGTGGGGGGGCAGAGCGTTCCAGAGCTTGGGGCTGGTCACAGAGAAGGCCATGTCTCCCCTGGTTTTAAGTTTTGTAGAATTTGTCTGTTAAACATGTGTGAATGAAACAACACAATACCAGGTATGTTTGGGATGAGGAAACAACATTATAACAGATCAGAAAATTGTGGGACCTTTAAGACATCACTCTCTGTTGACTGCCCATAAATCTGTAGCTAATTTTCATTTATTCTTTCAGATACTCAGATTTGGATGGTCACCACAGGCACACGGTCTATAATGGGAATTTGCCACATCCCTTTGCACTGACTGTGTTTGAGGACACCGTGTACTGGACAGACTGGAACACACGGACTGTAGAGAAAGGAAACAAATATGATGGATCTGGACGTGAAGCTTTAGTTAATACCACACACAGACCATTTGATATCCACGTATGCCATCCCTATAGACAGCCCATTGGTACGTATGCTCGCAATTAAGGTTGCATTCAGGCTGGTCCTGGTTTAGTCCTAATGTAGACATGGTTTTGTCTTGTTCTAGTCATGGTTTAGTAGGGATGTAACAATAACTGAAATATCTTGATATCGTATCGTCAGAGTTCTCACAATAATATCGTGGACCATCACAATATATCAAATTACAAGTCTCTTTTCTTAAATTAAGAGTTATGGTGCAGCAATACCTAAAAAAAGACAGAGGGAACTACATAGACCATGATCCTTTGCTCCATTTCAGCGTAGATTACAAGAAGAAATAACAATCCTAAACACTTTTAAGTCTTAGTTCTTTGGATTAAATTTTGTCAAGAACAAAACATGCAGTATTTTGTAGAAAAAAAATTTGTACTTGTAAGGTCAGACTTTTACAAAAATTAAATTTATGGGATTCTTGTAATAGTATCAGCTCAGATTTCTTTCAGATGTTAAAGTGTTGTTAACAATGTGAACAGAATTATACATTTTAAACATATCTCCCCAAAACTCAGAAAAACTCCAATGTTTTTTTCAAAATTGTGCATCCCTGATGGTGTGTACGCAACGGTAAACACAACCAAAATCCTACGGTTATGTTGAGACATGTTCAAGTCAAACAATGCCTTTGTTATCTTTGCTTGGTGATGATGACTTGAGATTGATTGACCTCTAACCTTTCCTCTCGTAGTAAACAACCCCTGCTCCGTGAACAATGGCGGCTGTTCTCACCTGTGCTTGATCAGTCACGGGGGGCAAGAACACACCTGTGAATGCCCCGACCACTTCCTCAGCGTTCAGATCGGAAGTGGGACCCGCTGTCTCCCAATGTGCTCCAGCACCCAGTACAGATGCTCCAACAATGAACGGTCTGTCACCTTTTCTTTATGGCCGCTTTACTTACAAAGGCCATTATCTGTTCCAGAAAGTACCTTAACAATGAAACCCCTTTTGATTTCAATGAATTTTTGCATACAGTATTATTACCAAACCATTGCCATATTTTATAATCCTGAAAAACCTTCAGTGGTATATGTGTGTTAATTAATATGCTTTGTTTTAACAGTAATGTAAAATAGATCTTACTATTTTAGTTATAGTAAAAACAATTACATATGTCCATTTGGTATTACTTACTCAGGGGTGTTAAACTCAAATTCACAGAGGGCCAAAATTAAAAACTGGGACTAAGCCATGGGCCAAACTAAATATTTATTGAAAAATTTCAGCAACATCTGCATGTTTTCTCTTCTTTCGAGATATGTAATGTTAAACCTTTTCTTATTAAAATAAATGTTTAATAATAGTTTTGCTTAAACATTGAGTCCAGAACAAACATAATATAAAACTAGAAAAGCACTCAGAGAGCGCAGACCTCCGCCAAGGACTACCCCCATTTTTTATATAAATTGCGATAAAATCAGTCTTCTGGATCAGATCCAGATCAGCCTTTGGAATATGAAAGAGGATCTCATTGTCCATCCCTGGGTCAAATTTCATGGGGTTTGGTCAATAATTAACCAAGAAATTGAGAAACAAAATTTTTGGCCCCATTTACCACAATGTTAACTAAAATTTCAAAGTGATCTAGAATCCAGGATTTCTTCCGGATCACCCCCAAAATGAAATCAGTTCTTCCTTTTCACATTTCCAACAAATCCTGAAAATTTCATCAAAATCGGTCCATAACTTTTTGAGTTATGTTGCTAACAGACAAACAAACAAACAAACAAACAGACAAACGCCGGCAAAAACATAACCTCCTTGGCGGAGGTAAAAACAACACAATTTTAAATAAAAAACTCACTATAGCCAATCTGTAGCTAGTGGGCCAACTCAAATACATACGTGATATGATCTCACGGGACCTGAGTCTGACATGTCTGACTTACATAATGACTATACTTAATATGAAAATGAACAAAGAAAGTCAGTCTTAGTAACTACTTAATTATGAAGTTAGATATTAATTAAGTACTTACTAAGCCTAAATAATTCTTAATAAACTATTTATTCATTATGAATTAAGCCTTTGATCATGCTATATTGAAGGTGCAATGTGTAGCTTTTCTGGAGAAGGGGCCATCAAATACTTTTCTCCATGGAAATGTTGTTGCGTTATCTGTAATGTTTCACAGTGGGATATTAAACCTTTCTATCTTCATGAAGACTAAACCAGACCAAGTTACAGGTCAGCTCTGTGAAGAGACGACCCCAATTACAGTCACAATGCCTGTTTTTCTTGGTATTTTTGAGCTATAAAACCATCTGTAATTGAATAAATGTACCAACCAAAAAGTAGGGTACAGGTTATATGGTGTAAAAGTGTCACCAAACACTATTATTGTGAAAACTATTATTATACTAAAGTTCTGTAGTGATTATTGATGCCTACACATGTATTTTCTTTCACAGGTGTATTCCTATCTGGTGGAAATGTGATGGGCAGGCAGACTGTAGAGACGGTTCAGATGAGCCCCCAACCTGCCCCCCTCGCCACTGCAGACTCGGACAGTTTCAGTGCAACGATGGAAACTGCACCAGCCCCCACTTCCTGTGCAACACTTACTCTGACTGCCCCGATGGCTCTGATGAGGACCAAGTGCTCTGTGGTAGGCTATGGAAGAATAACCGTACAGGACAAACTAAACACATAACCTAACAGAGATTTACAGTAAAGGTGTCTTATTATGGTTTAATCAAGATTTAATCCTGATGTGGTCTTGGTTTGGTTCTGTTGTAGTTTTGGTTTTCTCATGGTCTAGTCCAGTGGTGGAAGGTAATGAAGTTCAAAAGTAAGAAATACAATATTAAGTAAAATTTTAAGTGTTTTTACTTTATTTAAGTCAATTTTACAATGGATATTTTTTTACGTTTACGTTTACGTTGAGAGCAGGTATCTGTACTTTCTACTCCACTACATGTTAGATCTGCACTGAAAAGTAAAAAAGTACTGATTGAAAAGTATGATTTGAGATCTGCTGATATGGATGAAATTTATTTTTAGCACATTTAATTAGAGGGAACAGCCCAACTTTGAGCAAAAGCAGTTTAATCATTTTAACTCAGCTAAATTCTCGACTCTAAATATGAAAATCACTACAATTCATGCTTTAATTGTTCTAAAAATCTCTAAAATACGTGTACTTTTTACTCTTAAAGTACATCTTTTCAACAGGTACTTTAATAGTTTTACTTAAGTAGATTTTTTCATGTGATACTTTTACTTTTATAGTATTTTTTTGCCCCTGTATCTATATTTTTACTTAAGTAAAAAAACTTAGTACTTCATCCACCACTGTTCTAGTCTAGTCCAGGTTTAGCTCCACATTTAGTCCCAGTTTAGTTACAATTGTGATGTTATGTGTAGAGCTGCACAATATTTCACAATTTAAGTTGGTGCATTTATCAAATCACAAAAGCTGCAGTTATTTTGGTAATATAATGTCTTAAGAATGAAATTTCCTGCTTTTTACTGACAAAAACACTTGGTGTTCCTGTAGTTAAGAAGTTTTTAAAAAATTAAATTAATGGGATTCTTGTATTAGTTAACAGTTCAGATTTCATTTTCTTTCACAGAACTATAGAAGAATTACATGACAACCTGAACAACACAAAAAATAACTATAAAGATTTACAGTAAAGCTGTTTTTTATCTAGCAACCCACCAGTGTGAAGCTTATCAATGGCAATGTGCAAACAAGCGCTGCATCCCTGAGTCCTGGCAGTGTGATGGTGAGGATGACTGCGGAGATCAGTCTGATGAAGATCCAGCCCACTGCTCCACCAGGACATGCCGACCAGGACAGTTCAAGTGCCGTAATGGACGCTGTATCCCCCAGAGCTTCAAGTGTGACGTAGATGACGACTGCGGAGACAGCTCTGATGAACCACTGGAGGAGTGCAGTAAGTACATACAAACTATACACCCATTTCTGCTCTAAAACAGTTTATTATGTGCATAAGAATAAACACATTATACTGTATAACCATATAAACACAAGCACATGTCCCCATCCTAACTTTGAACTTGGTGAGACTTTACACCTTCCTGTGATTTTCCATTTTACAGTGGGGCCATCGTATCGCTGTGACAACCACACTGAGTTTGACTGTAAAACCAACTACCGCTGTGTGCCCCTTTGGTCTGTGTGTAATGGTCACAACGACTGCAGAGACAACAGTGATGAGCAGGGATGTGGTGAGTGAACTAGAAGCTCAATCTTTTAATTTGCTAAAGGAATTAGCAAATTAAATGTGTTTTTATGGTCAGAAAGTTATAATGAAATAAAATGTTGTAATAGTGAGTAAAGGTTGCCCCATGAAAGACTTTGCAGAGACCAGAGTGAGAGCTTTAAGTCTGAGTGAAGGGCAATTAGCTGCACCTCAGCCTCCTGCGGACGTTGCACAGTGAGGAGGTGGGAGGTGCTGATGGAGATGTCTCACGTCTCTCCCTCCCCCGACACTGGCCACTCCCTTCCTCTGAGCAGATTTATGATGTGTCCAGTGTATGGCTCTACGTGTTGGGGTGTGTGTGCGTGTGTGTGTGTGTGTTTGTGTGTGTGCTGGTGCTCTGTCCTTGCATGGGGCCAGGGTTCACACAAGTCTCTTTGTACTTTGGTACGACCCAAACACACTCACCGTGACCCTCCCGTTTCTTATCAGAGGCCCTGCTCCATTAGTGCCATGCTGGAGCAGGAGGGGAGATCCGTGCTAATCTTCCCATAAGAATGCAGCAGATGGGCCAGGTGGACTGGCTAACACCGCTCTATCTCTGACCCCCAGCACCGTGTGGTAGAGACAGCTCTCCTCCGCTCCTCTCCCGTCTGCGCTCCTCATCCATGAGCTCTTATCCTGTGCACTGAATAGTGCAGGAGAAGGAGGTCACCCATCTGTCTTAGGCATGCAGCTTCACTCCCTCCGATGATTACACTTTAATTAAAAAGCAAGATGCCTGACATTTTCACCATTATTGAAACATCCCATAATCCCTTCAGAGATGTTTCCTTGAGCGATGTTTGAATACCTGCTTATATCAGTGTATACTGTCGTTGTGTCTTTGGGCAAGACGCCTGACCATTCTTGGCTTACACACTGGTGTATCAGGTGCTTATGTGTGCGAATGAGTCAATGATTACCTTGGGAATACTCTTAAGCCCTTAATGAGATTACAGTAACAATTTTATTTCCACTCTATAAAAAGTAACATACCATCCTACTTTCTTTTCAAAAGCAGGATGATCTGGGGCCAGCATCATATTACATTATAGCTCATTATGTTTTTTATTGAACCATTCACAGTTATTTATCTGCATTATCTCATTCAAATGCCAAAATGAACATACTTTCCTCTTTTTGATGTTTTCTGTTTCCTCAGGTGAGTTGACCTGTGACCCCAGAGGAGACTTTCGCTGTGACAACCACCGCTGCATCCCGCTGAGGTGGAAGTGTGACGGAGACGACGACTGTGGAGACAACTCTGATGAACGGAGCTGCAGTGAGTGTTTCTTACACTGATCCAATATTTTATTTGTTTTGTACACTACAAACATTAGCTCTTACTGTAAAGGTGCACTATGTAACTTTTTGGTTTTGAGTCAAGAGCGATAACTCTTACTGCCATTTCATTAGCATACATGTGAACAAGTGCAGTCCTTTTAGCTTTTGTTCAGTAGAAATCTATAACTCCAGAGCTGAAATTATCAAAATGCTGCTAGTGAAGGTGTCTGGAGTTTAAAATCAGAGTGGAGCACTTCCTGTATTACTACATGACATCACAAGGTGGAAGAGAGTGATTTCAGTTTGAGAGAATAACTCCTAAAATGTTCAGGGTTTCTGTGTTAAACATGTGTGAATGAAACAAAACACAATTCCAGGTATGTGTTTGATGAAGAAACATTATAATAGATCAAAAAATGGCGTAATAATAGCCCCTTTAAATAGATTACAGACACATGTTGATATAGTGTAAGTATACGTAAGTAGATGTAGAGTGCGATGTGGATGTGGACTTGTGCGTATGTTCAAATAAAAAGGAGTGTAGATGGTGAAGGATAGACCTGCTACGGCTTTATCAGATGGTTTTGTAAGGGGCTCAACACTTTGGTGGACAGTGGAGAGCGTTATCAGCTGCCAGAAACAGCCTGTCCTCAGTGCATCAGAAAATAGGAGTGAGGGAGTCTGTCACCCTTTGCCCCGGAGAATTTAAACAAGTCTGAGAACATGCCAGTTAAAAGGATCATTTAGTCTCTATAAGGAGAAAGTGGAATGGTGTAAATCACGATGGGAAGCTATGACCTCATGGTAATCGCAGATAATACTTAGTTTAGTGTGAGAGTTCAAAATATGTGAGAAATATGAACATGTCTCCTTACTGCAAGACCCTCTACAGTGTTTCCCAACCAGGAGCAGTAAGCACTAGGGGGATTCAGATCTAAAAGAAATGTGAAATGTAATAATATATGGATTTAAAATATTCTTTATAATGCATTTTACATCCTTAGAATATTTTGGAGTTTGGACAATATGCTATAGTAATCAGATGTTGTTGAAGATTTCTAGGAGGACAGCAAACTGTGTACTAGGACACTTCATCCAAACAATACTCCGGTCAGAGAGTAAAACGGACACAGGAACTTTTTTTTATTTTCTAAGCTTTAATGTCCTGTCTTCAATCTTTTAGCTGATTTGGTTTGATTTTGTCTGAACTATCCTTTCATTTGGTAATTTATAGGAACATTTAATCAGTCTATGAGTAAGAGTTAAACAGCTTACATCAACAATGAGGTAAATTAATTAGGCTAATAAAGTTAATAAGCATCTGTTATGACCCAGCTCGTTGGGGTCAGGGAAGTAACAAAATAACCAAGATATTAAATGGAATAAATTAAATAATGTTTAATCAACAGGGATGTAAAAGGTAAATGAACAAAGCAGACTAAAATATATACAGAATATAACCTAAACTAAGAAAGAAAACAACAGGGTTAACATACAAGTTTTGTGCCACAAAATGGGTCACTGAGGCTTTCACAAAAATGAGTGATTAAACTAAGGGACACAGAAAACCAAAACACAAGTGTCCCAAAGTAAAACCACATAAACCCACAAAACAGAATTGAGTGACAAATTAAAAAAGGCACAAAACAGAACTAAACTAGTGTCTCAACAAAATACAAAGTCAGACATGTACTAGTACAAAACAAGAGACTGACATGAACGAACATGGCATACAAAGTCCAACAGTCACTAACAAGTGCTGGCAATCTCCTTAAATAGGGGGAGGAGGCTGGCGATGATGCAGGATTGGCCAGGTGTAAAAGTGCTCCACCAATCACAAACAAGGACTCCCACAGCAGGATCCAGGGCAGAAAGCAAAACAATTTAAAGCACACAAAACAAATTAGAACTGAAGGCCTCGAGCCGTAAGAGCATCAGAACATTACATAGCAATTAAAGAAACAATTAGAGCAGCAGCAGTTAGTCCACATGTAACTGTTTCTGAACTGTTACTGGGGAATTTACAAAAGATTAATTTATTTATATATATATATATATATATATTTTTATAGAGACAGATACAAAATGCATAGATGCAGATGCAGGTATCACAGTGTACATTTTGTACCTTGATAAAAAGTAGTATTCTAAACATCAACATTTTATTTGCAGAAAAAAATGTTTAGCTTATTTATTTACACTGTGTAACACACAAACAAAGCTTAGGGGGGTACTCAAAACAAAAAATAGACAACACTTTAAGTAAAAGTAGTATTTTTGTACTACCGGTCAAAAGTTTTAGAGCATCCTAATTTTTCCAGTTGTTGGAATTCAAGTCGCGCAAGTCCAATGAATAACTTGAAATGGTACAAAGGTAAACCAGCCAAAGGTTAAAAAAAAAAGATTAACGATAACAAAATACAAGTCCAAGTACCTCAGGAAAAAAGAATAAGATGGTGAACTTGAAAACATGGAGTGGCCAGCTCAGTCTCCAGAAGTGCCACACATTTATGGGAACTTCTGCAACAGACTTGGGAAAAACTTTCTGAAGAATATTTGTTTTCTATTGTAAAAAGAACAAGCCTCGACTGTGTTCAGCTGTTATATCTGCCAAAGGTGGACACTTTCATGAATCAAAAATTTTGAATACGTTTTGGTCAACAGTAAACAGTAAAAAAATGGAAAAAGTGTGGTGTTCTAAAACTTTTGACCAGTAGTGTACATCAAAATTACTTGCAGAAAAAAAATTCTAGCATCCTAAGGGTCGAGTAGTAATATTCATTTGTGTTCAAGGAGAATACATTCAAATTACTTCATAAAGACAAAAAATGTTAGCAGCCATTCCCCTCTAATAATAATTTACACTACATATAAAAGCATATGCAAAATTTTCTCCTTACGTTAAGCTAATAGGTCAAGTGGTAGTACTCATTTGTGTATTTTGTGTTTTTCTCAGCTCCGCGCAGTTGCACTGAGAGTGAGTTTCGCTGTGACAATCTTCGGTGCATTCCTGGCCGTTGGGTCTGTGACCATGACAACGACTGTGAGGACAATTCAGATGAGAGAGACTGTGGTGAGTGGGACCTTTTTGTTGGGGCCTGTGTTTTTAGAGTAAGAGAGGCTGCACAAAACAACGACGTAATAAAGCCCATGCATGCAGCCACAGCCATTGATTTGAAACGGCCGTCATAAATTACTGCTGTCACAATGCAAAAACTAACTCACAGATAATTAACTGAGCACTTGAAGCGGAAACAATGAGATTTTGAATAAATATGGATAACTTTTTTAATATGTTGAGAAATATGCACTAATGATTGTTTTGTAGTTTTGTGTATTGTAGAAAGAGGTTGGGGTGTAGGAGGGTTTTGTTTTTGTTAGTTGTTTTTTTATTTTTTATTTTTATTTAAAAATTCTAATGATAATGAACTGAAGAAAAATAATGGAGTGTTGTCACGATATTACAAACACTTTCACCATTAAGAGAAAGACTCGATACTGCTTTTGATACCACTGTGATTTCAAAAATGCTCTTTAACATTCAACTCAACACAAAATAAATGTTAATATATGTTTATATTAATATGTTACCTTATATTAGTTCTGATATGGCTCAAGATTCTTATAAAACTAATCAGGAAAGGGCCATTTTTGTTCTGTTAATTGGATTTTTTGGATCTAGTTTTGATAGTTTTTGTATCAAGGGTATCAATACTTTTTTGGATTTTTATATTTTTCATAACAAAAACAAAAATAAACAAAAAACTAAAAAACTAAAACCCTCCCACACTCCACCCTTTCACTACACTCCGCAGAGTCCAATAGAGTATCAGTACTTTTGACAACCTTATTAACAGAAATTACAGTTTGCCTTGTGGTGTTTATGTGTTTGTGTTTCAGAGTTGCGTTCGTGTCTGTCTGGGTATTTCCAGTGCGACAGTGGACACTGCATCGCCGAACGATTCAAATGTGACGGAAACGCCGACTGTATGGACTCTACAGATGAAGTGTCCTGCCGTAAGTAGATTTTATTGAGTTATTAGACGCCGTCCATGTCAGTGTCTGTTGCAAAACCATTGTATTTTTGGTCTAGTTCTCCAGTTTTACATTATAAAATATCTTTTAATAATTCTGTGTTTCAGCGACACGTTATCCCAACGGCACATACTGCCCTCCTTTCCTGTTTGAATGTAAAAACCACGTGTGCGTCCAGCCTCAGTGGAAATGTGACGGAGACAACGACTGTGGGGATGGATCAGATGAGGAGCTCCACCTTTGCTGTAAGGAACAACATTAGTCACAAATCAGAACCAAAACAAGATATTTACGTTAAATGTAAAAACACACCAGTCCATATGCTCACAGAAGACATACAGCACAAATGATTTTACAAGGATAACAATATTTTACACTGCATATAAAAGATTATGCAATGTTTTCCTTAGATGTTAGAAGTTAAAACAACACATTCTTGTGGGCTTAATATTAATATAAATCTATATTCAGCTAAATCTATATAAACAAATATCTAGGCACACTGCAATGTCCCTAGACCTCACTTTAAGAACCACTGATATAGCTCAAATTCTTATTGATCTTGTATTTTTCTCCTTTAGCTACCATTCAGTGTGAGACTCCTTTCCGTTTCCGGTGTGACAATAACCGCTGCATCTACAGTCATGAGCTGTGTAACTCTGTCGACGACTGCGGTGACGGCTCTGATGAGAGACAAGAAAACTGTACGTCTTTCTGAAGCTAATCTTAAAACCATCTGTAGTAACTCACACGTAATATCCTGTTCATGTTTAGGCCTGACGCCGACACATGGCCCCTGCTCAGAGGAGGAGTACAAATGTGGTAATGGGCAGTGCATCCCTCTGCAGTACGCCTGTGATGAGTACGACGACTGTGGGGACCAGTCAGATGAGCTGGGCTGTCGTAAGTGCACAGACCTGGTACATAAAATCCAGTATTACTATTATATTCTGCGTTTCTCAGCTGTTTGTCTGATTTAGACCAGGGCAGTGGACACACGTGCGGAGACAATATCTGTGAGCACAACTGCACTGACTTGACAGAAGGGGGCTTCCTGTGCTCCTGCAGATCAGGGTATAAACCCAAAGAAACTGAAAGGCACAACTGTGAAGGTAACAAAGGTTTCCTCAGTAATCATGACAATGGCTTGAATTTGCTTTGCTTTTCTCAAATGTATCAATACAGTTAACTCATTGACATATCATAATTTCTTTTTTCCCATAGATATAAATGAGTGTGAAGTCTATGGCACATGTCCACAGGAGTGTAAGAACACAAAAGGCAGTTATGAATGTTTCTGCACTGAAGGATTTGAGTCGTTTGGTGAACCTCGGGGGACTGAGTGTGCTGCCCAGGGTAAGACCACAGACTCTTTTAAGAAGTAGACTAAAGGAGTGATGCCGTCTGGGTTTGCACTGTATGTGAGATTAAGATCCACTTCTTTCACAGGGTTGTTGCAGTGGTCTTTGAAAGTGGTCATATAGTGTTCAGCTCCAGTCAAATGAAACTCACAAGGCTAGCGGTTATAGGAGCAAATTTGTGGCTAGACTATGAATTTATTTACAGACAAAAAAGCAAAATAAAAACACCATTATCTTGTAGAGCAGGTTAATACGAACATTTTAAAACCGAAACGATGAGGTTCACAGCAGCAGTTACAGAGAAAGGAGTGACAATTATTTAATACCACATTAATTTGTTGGTTTGATCCTTTAACACTTGATACTTTATATCAGGAGTCACCAAACGTTGTTTCTCTGAGGGCCTCTGACTGTGATGGGGGCCAGTGTCAGGTCAGCCATATAACAGAATTGTACGATCCTGACGACCAGATTATATTCTTTGAAAACCGCCACACTTTCTTTACATATCAGACAAACTGCACGGTCCTTACGTTGAACAAAAAAATAATCAGTCATCCATTGTTCTTTGAAAACTCGGCACTCTCTGTCAAGTTTTCGTACAGCACGAGCCATTTTGCTGTCCTTAACTGGATTACAGTACTTTGCACGTGTGTTGACTGTCACTGTTTGATCTCAAGCTTCATAAATCATATAATTATTTAAATATAAATATAAATACTTCATATAAATATTATTTTTTTAATAAAAAAAATCAACAAAATACAAGATGCAGATGTGTTATTATTTGCCACAAAGTAATTAAAAAAAAAAAAGGCCATTACAACTTTTGAGGATGTGGATGATATCTATGTATACATTTTTTTTTTTTACAGGAAATCCACCAGTGTTACTTTTGCCAGACAATGTTCGAATCCGCCGTTTCAACCTTTCCAATGAGGAGTATTCAGACTATGTGGACAATGCAGAACACATTCAAGCTTTGGACTATCTGTGGGACCCAGAAGGACAAGGCCTGAGTAAGTCTAGTAAAGATGCCATATTACTCTATTTTCTGATCTATGTTATAATGTTGTTTTCTCATCACAGACATACTTGGAGCTGTATTTTGTTTGATGTGAATAAAGATTTTGTGATTCGCTGTAGGTGTGGTTTACTGGACGGTACTTGGACGGGGATCTCAGTTTGGCACGATCAAAAGGGCTTATATGACCACTTTCAATGACCACGGCAACAATCCTGTGAAAGAAGTGGATCTTAATCTCAGATACATCGCAAACCCAGATGGCATCGCTGTGGACTGGGTTGGCAGGTAAAAAAAAGTCTCTTAAATTAGTTACTTCTTTAGTGTAGTTTTGATTTTTTTATTACTTCTCATTACGTATTTATCTTATAGGCACATTTACTGGACAGATTCAGGGACCAATCGCATTGAAGTGGCCATGTTGGACGGGCGATACCGCAAATGGCTGATTCACACAGATCTTGATCAGCCTGCTGCTATTGTTGTCAATCCATCACTTGGGTATGGCATGATTTATGTCTATTTTTATTTATTTATTTTTCATGGGGTATTAATGATGGAAAGAAAGTTATTTGGTAGCATGATTAGGGATCCACTGGTCTTGTTTTTTTCTGTTCCAGTACCAATGCCGATACTTTGGCTTTAAGTATCTGCCATTTGCTGATATCAGCTGATACCAGGGCTGAGACTGAAAATATAATGTATTTCCTTTAAAAACAAACAGCATATATTAAACAATGATTTTGGTTTTGTAACGACAGTTTATATTCTGAGATGTTTTGGGACAGCAGTGGCTTATTACACTACAGTCTTATTACAATTACACCAATTTATACACCAAAATCGGAAATTGGCTAAACCGATATTTTGGAAGCCAATATCTGATTTTGATCCACCAAAATGTTCAATATCGGTGTCGATATCCGATACAGAATACTGCTATGTATTCTGTTACATGGTCCAGTCAAAGTACTGTGTTCTGAATACTTACAATACCTTCACATTGAGTTGCAGTATGTTATAGTTATAGTAAAAATGACATAAGATTAAAACGGCTTTAAGTTTGTTTCATTGTTTTTTCTTTTCTAAAAAGACATGCAAGCAAGTAGTGTTTTCTTTTTTTTTTCTAATATTGTGCAGTTTAAATGATGAAATAGGAAAGTACGTGTATCCTGAATCCCACCAAATAACAGAGTAACTGTACTGAAATATATTTTTACAATACTCCGCGACAGTAGATCTGTTGGTTGAGCGTTTGTCCACTGATTCGATGGTTGATTGCATAAACTCTCAGCATAAACGTCATTGGTTTAGTGGTCAGGTTTGTGGATGCTTTTCCAGCTCCACAGATGAATGTCGTTATGTCCTCGGGCAAGACACTTAACCCTGTGTCTGTGTTCACTGCTGTATAAATGTATGTGTGAATGTGTCAGTGTAAAACGTGCCTTGAAGGTGTAAAAGCATTATATAAAGATGTCACCATTTAGCATAGAATAAAGTTACTCAAAATTAGCATTCTTAAAACATGTTTTTGGTACATGCATTTAGATTCTTCCAACTTTGGGCATTAACTGTTTTTGTTTTTTGTTGGGACAGCATGATGTACTGGACAGACAGAGGCAGAAGTCCAAAGATCGAGTCAGCGTGGATGGATGGACAGCACAGAGAGGTGCTTGTGGGTCAGGAGGACTTGGGCTGGCCCACTGGACTGGCTGTGGACTATACCAACGGAAACAGGATCTACTGGTGTGACTCAAAAGAAAACATAATTGAATCTATGAAACCAGATGGCACAGACAGAAGAATTGTCACATCTGGAGGTAAAAACATCTACGCACTCAAGCAAAATGTTAAAGGGCTCGTGTTACGCTATTTTCTGATCTATGTTGTATAATATAAAACCTTTCACATTGTTTGGTTCTCTCTTTTCAGATATTGGGAACCCGTACAGTTTAGATGTTTTTGAAGGCCACGTGTACTGGACCACCAAGGACAAGGGCGAAGTATGGCGGACGAACAAATTTGGGAACGGTCACAAAGTGAAGGTTCTAACCATCAACCCCTGGCTCACTCAAGTCCGCATTTATCAGGAGCATCGGCACAACCTCACAGGTAATCACAGGAGATCACATGTAATATTCATAGACTGAATAAAGAAGTGGACTAACATAGTGTGACATCACCCGGGCTATTGTTCTCCGCCAGTTTCTTCTTCTCTATTATTATTTTTCCTTGCAAATGATCTTGATTTTGAGGGTCTTAAGATCGCCGAAAAGTCTCTAAACCGGGTATGAGATTGATTGGTCTGGTGAAAAATTTGATAAAATGGGCATCACGACAATGCCCAAAGTGACTCAACTGAACAGAACCGCCTAGAAGTAGACCCCTATGCAAATGAACCATTAAAAGTAAAAGCATTTTTTTAATCAGAATTTTTAATATTCTTTTTTTTTTTTTTTCCTTTTCACTTCTTCATCACTGTGAGTGGTTTTAATTGTCTTTTAGTATTGTTTTTCAAAAGGGGACATAGTATTATTACAATTATTTAAAAATTTAGACTTCAAGTTTTGCAGTTTTTAACACGAAATTAACAAAACTGTTTCTAATATCAAGCCAATATTGTTTTTTACAGTTTAATACTTAATACTTACTTACTTACTTAATACTTACTCAGAAAAATAGCGTCTTATGTCTTCTTTAAAGCCTACATGACAAATTGTCCTTATATTGTCTCCTTTTTTTAGTGACCAACCCCTGTAAGAGCGTGTGCAGTCACCTGTGCCTCCTGCGTCCTGGGGGTTACACCTGCAGCTGTCCACAAGGCTCCTCTCCAGTTCAGTTTGACTCCAATATCTGTGATGCAGGTATTTCATCATTGGCCAATTTCTCCATCAGTGTCTGTGTTGCATTTTATCCACTCCTGGTATCTGCATGGCTGCTATGTTTGATTTTTGGTTCTGTTTCATGACCAGTGGTGGAACATAACAAAGTAAAAGTTGTAAAGCACTGTACTCAAGTTTAAATTTCAGGTATCTAGGCATCTTTACAGTGGATACTTTTTATTTTTACTTCACTACATTTGAGAGCAAGTATCTGTACTTTCTACTCCAATACTTTTATGAACAGTCCTGAAACGTAAAAGTATTATTTATTATAGTTTGAGACCTGCTGAAAAGGCTGAAGGTTTATTTATAACGCTTTCATAATTCAAGCAAGAAACAATTGAGTATTTTTTTTATTCCAATATCTGTACTTTTACTTAAAGGTGCACTGTGTAACTTTTCCAGTAGAGGGTCTGTCAACTGCTTGTTTCTATGGATATGTTATTGCTCTGCCTGGAATCTTCCACAGTGTGACATTAAATAATTCTACCTTACAAGTATTCAGTTACAAGTGGTTTTATAGCTGGTATTGTGACTATGAGCAGGATCACCTCTCCACAGATCTGACCTGTGACTTGATCTACTTTGATCTCCATGATAATAGAAAGGTTTAATATCACACTGTGAAACATTCCAGACAAAGCGATAACATTTTCATGGAGAAAAGCATTTCACGGGCCCTCCACCAGAAAAGTTACACAATGCACCTTTAAGTAATAAAATGTAGTACTTCTTCCACCACTGTATGTGACGTGAGACGTGTGTGTTAGTTTTATTTTATTGTTTCTGTTTTGTTAATGCTTGGCTTTCACTCTTGCAGCCAGTGAGCCTCCTGTCACGATGCCCCCTGCATGTAGGTGCAGGAATGGTGGAACCTGCTACTTTGATGAGGAGGCTCTTCCAAAGTGCAAGTGAGTCTGGCTGCAGGGGTCTTCATCAGGAAAAGTCATCACATCTCTGTGTTTTGTTTTTTTGTTTACATTTACTCTTGGTTTGAGCATTTTGAGATGATTATTGTGTGTATTTTGCAGATGTCCTTATGGTTATCTGGGCAGTTATTGTGAAAAGGGGAAAATGACAAGTGCTCCAGCTGGGACAGGTATGTTCACATACAGGGGTGAAAGGTAAAGAGGTACAAGTAGTAAAGTACTGTACTTAAGTAGAATTTTTCGGTGACTGAACTTTACTTAAGTAAATTTTACAGTGGGTAGTTTTTTGCTTTTACTTCACTACATTTGAAAGTAAGTACTCCACACAAGAACTTCTACATTTTTAACTGGACTAAAAAGTAAAAAGTAATTTTCATATGATTTTAGAGAGTATTTTTTACCATGTTTGTGGCAACATCTTGACTAACAGTTTTGAATTTAATCAGCTTAGAGCAAACAAAACTAAATACACAAAATTCATAAGAAAAATTAAGAAATTGATTCATATTGCAGCTGTTGATCAAACAAATTAACAAAACTTGTGTGTAATACTTTTACTTATACTTGAGTAATTTTTTTACCTCTCCTTTTACTTAAGTAACAAACTTGAGTGCTTCTTCATTCACCATTTTACACATACGACACAACTAAATTAGATACATTTCTGCAACTAAGTAAGCAGTATGGAGGATGTATCCCTTAAATACATAGCTGTTATTATTATTATTGTTATAATATCATTACTTTTATGATTTGCAGCCGTGGCAGTTCTACTTGCAGTCCTTATCATCATCATTACTGGTGCTCTGGCTGTTGGGGTTTTCCTCAACTACAAAAGGACAGGATCCTTTATTCCATCAATGCCCAAGTTACCAAGGTATGGGCTTTTATCTATCTATCTAATTCTATCAATATGAAGGACATTATTGTGTTATTTTGTTTTTATTTGTATATGTTTAAGTAATTTTTATTTTTTAGCCTATTTGTGTTGTAAAATATTAAAATAAATAAAAAATATCTGCAGGACATACAATACACATGCATAAAACCCTTGAGCTGATTAAAGTTTCCGCTTGCTTTTTCCCCATATGCAGCCTGAGCAGTCTGGTGAAATCTGCGGACACGGGGAATGGCGTGACTTTTCGTTCAGGTGAAAACGTGGACCTTGGGCCGACCCATATTGGAGTGTCATTTATTGACACAGCCATGCAGATGGTGAGTTCAGGACTTGACCTTTATCCTATTCAGTAACTTAAAATGTAACATCAGCAGTTTAATTAAAAACAAGAGTTAGGTTCATAATTTATTAACTGATGCCAGCTGCTCAGTCAGATTAAGGTGCACTGTGTAACTTTCTTGGTGGAGGGCCCATTAAATTATTTTCTCCATGGAGATGTTATTGCTTTGTCTGGAATGTTTCACACACAGTATGGCATTAAAACTTTCTGTCTTCATGTAGACTAAACCAGACCAAGTTACAGGTCAGATCTGTTGAGAGGTGACTCCACTCACAGTCAGAATACCTGTTTTTGTAGGTATTCTGAGCTATAAAACCACTTGTAATTGAGTAAATGTAAAGTATAGCTGTTTAATGTCATACTGTGGAACATTCCAGGCAGAGCAGTGACATATCCATAGAAACAAGCAGGTGACAGACACCCATCCACAAAGTTACATAGTGCAGTGTTTTAATTAAGGTGACATCCTTTATCAAATGTAAAACGTTACTACTTTTGTACAGGATGATAATTTTGCACTGGAAGATGGAAGGCAACCAATGACCTTTGAGAATCCTTTATACGCCAATGCAGCAGGAGACCCAGCTGTTATTCATGCCACACAGGTACTTTTTTAAAATTGTTACAGCAATTTCTTATAGGACCTAATCTTAAAGGTCCTATATTATGGAAAAATGTACTCTTGTGAGCTTTAAACCATGTTAGAATGTTGTTATCTCATCATAAACATACCTGGAGTTATGTTTTGTTTGTGTAATCCTTTATTATTAGTCTGTCTACATGTCCAAAGCTCAAAATGCTCTGTTCCACCTTGTGATGTCATATAATTGTGGTTTTCAGATTAACAGCTATCTCTTACCTTTTGTTTAGTAGAGACTGGCAATTCTGTGCTGAAATTATCCAATGATTCTAGTGAAGGTGTATGGAGTTTAAAAACACAGTGGAGCACTTCCTGTATTACCACATGACATCACAAGGTGGAACAAAGTGATTTCAGTTTAAGAAAATAATTCAGGTTAAATATACAGGATTTGTGTGTTAAACATGTGTGAATGAAACAAAACACAACTCCGGGACTGTTTGTGAAGAAGAAACAACATTATAACATAGCTCAGAAAATACTGTAATATGGGCACTTTAAAGCGAGCTCAGATTATTCTCTCTCTCTCTCTTGTTTACAGGTCACAGTCAATGTGAGCAGTGATCCACTGGCAAACAACTTTGTGAACCCAGTGTATCACGGAGAACGAGGTGTGGCTGTGGTGAATACTGCTGAAAGCTCTGCATCTGAAAAGGTACTGTTAATAAGAGTGTGACATTGTTTATTCCATGTACATGTTATAGACTGGATATATAAATGGACATAGATAACGTGTTTCAAAAAGGAAGTGAACATGGGGGCGCCTCTGGCTCCATCAACTCTGGCTCCAATTGACTTGACATTGAAAAACTGTCGCCTCGCTGCAGTGAGCCTCCTCATTTTGGTCTTAAAATGTGTTGTATTAACCCCCTCTACAAAATCCTGGTGTTCACAAACAGCAGAGGCAGGGAGCTGCTGGTATCCATGTGACTAAGGGTGCACTTCAAAAAGAAAAATATCAGGCACTCACTTAGTTACAAAAATATTTAAAACGTTTATTGTGAAAGTACGTGGCATTGAAGTGATCACACTGGACGCCAGAGGTGGGGACATGATCCAGCGCCTTGTTCTCAAGGCCACGGAGTACCCAGACCTAAATGAAGACTTCAATCTCTCCTGCTACCTATAACTTCAATTTGCATGGAAATGTTAAACAAAAAATCTGCTCTAAGTAAAAACAGTCCAATTTGACTGCCCTTGAATGCTCTCCCTAAAAACGGTCCCTTTTAAAATTAAAAATAAATTAAAAAAGTGACTGCCCTCTAGTGCCCTCAATGAAACTGTCCTGAAATGAAGAAGTTACTACTCCATGTGCCCAATCAGAAGTGAAGCCTCCACCCTGCATACCTGGAGTGTGTGCACTTAAACTTGTCACCTCTCATTCACTATTACACCCTGAAGGAGGCACAAGCCGACACATCACGCTTCCTGCCTGCTCACAATAAAGGCTTTTAAATATTTTGTAACAAAATTCCTGGTGTTTTTTGCAATTTTGTCCATACATAAATTCCTATTATAATATTGAACTATTCTTAATATAGAACTCAAATTCGCTCCTATAACTGCAAGCCTCGGTGAGCTTCATTTGACTGGAGCCAAAAGCTATGGNCAACTGAAATGTCTCAAACTGCCTGATTGTGGGGTCTGCTGTAAAATATATACAACCTATAGATTTTGTATTTCATTTAAAGGTGAACTGTGTAATTTTTCTGGTGAAGGGTCTGTCACCTGCTTGTTTCTATGGAGATATTTCTGTTTTTCCATAATTATAACACATTATGGACATAAACTTGGAGAAGCAAGCCTGCACATGGTAAAAAAAATCATGTTTTTAAGGTATTTATGAGCTATAAACACCTGTGATTGAATGAAAACAAGGGGGATATGTTTAATGCCATACTGTGGAACTTTCCAGGCAAAGAAATAAGATCTCCATGGAGACAAGCAAGTTACACCACCATCTTAAAAGTTACATAGTGCACCTTTAATTTATTTAAGTAATTTGAGTGAAAAAACATGTTTTGTCTTACATTGACGGCACTGACTAGTGACTCGACCCTTCATCTGGGACGCACTGGATTGAAACGTATGGATTTATTTTATTACTTAACATTACTTAAAGGTTTTTTAATGCAAGGTCAACAGAAGAACCGTAAATATCTAGAAAATAGATTTTAAAAAGTACTGAGCAGAACACACATACTTTGCAGAATAGTACTTAGTGACTGGAGCAATACATTAACTGGCCACAATGGGGTGCCCTAAGATAAAGATTTCTCATACAGACCATCAAAGTTAAGCTGTTTCTTCTTATTCCAGGGCAGCTGTGGCTACAAAAGCAGTTTACCACTTCAGAATATCAAAAAGACGTCCTGGGATTTTAGACTATGGACTGAATAATAATAATAATGAAATGCACTATATTAATCTCAAGCATCCACACATTTTACATTTTGCATAATATACATAGATTCTGTACACATGTCTGTATTTTATATTCTGTGTAATTCTCAAGTAAAATTTTATATTCTGTGCACAGGTCTGTGGGGTCTGGTCAATAATGCCGTATTTCCATCCCCGCTGGTCCAACCGAGTGGATGAAGCTCGAGGATTTCACCAAGATTCTGGATGTGAATCTTTTGGGTGTTATTGATGTAACTCTTCACTTTCTGCCCCTCCTGAAAAAGCCAAGGCAGAGTGGTCAACGTGGCCAGCATTTTTGGCCGACTGTCTCTCATAGGAGGAGGTACTGTCTGTCCAAGTACGGTGTGGAGGCTTTTTCTGACAGTCTCAGGTACCCAAACTATGACTTATTTATTTAGTTTAATCACAGGTATATTCTGACATTATTCCACAAACCGTCATATTTAAATGTGCATTATATTGTGTAACTTCTCTGGTGGAGGGTCCACCACCGTCTTGTTTCTGTGGATATGTCATTGCTTCGCCTAGAATGTTTCACAGTACGACATTAAACAGCTCTACCTTACATTTATCAAATTACAGGTGGTTTTATAGCTCAAAAATACCTTAAAAAGCAGGCATTCTGACTGTGGGTGGGGTTACCTCTTCGCAGATCTGACCTGTAACTTGGTCTGGTTTGATCTGTATGAAGATAAAAAGGTTTAATGTCATACTGTGAGACATTCCAGACAAAGCAATGAAGACAAGCATTTGACAGACCCTCCACCAGTGGAAGTCAGTGGTGCAAAATTTAAGGTTTTCTGTACAATTGTTCCAGAGGCCCACCCCTTTAAAAGATATAAACAATTTCATAATGTTTGTTCTGATTTTCTTTTTTTATAAACATGTCCGTATCTCTGAGCTCATATTAGCTTTTTGGGATTTTAAACATGTTCTGTAATGATTTCAGTCACCGTGGCGACGATACATAAACCAGAAATTTTAAAATGTTTTCTTTTCCAGGTTAGATATGCATCACTTCGGCATAAAAGTGAGCATTATTGAGCCAGGATTTTTCAAAACCGCTGTGACCAGTTCCGAAGCTATTAAGAGTGATGTCCAAAGACTGTGGAATCGCCTGCCACAAGAAGTCAAGGACAGCTATGGGGAAGATTACATGCAAAGATGTAAGCAAAACTGTCTACAAATGATTAAAGGTGCACTGTGTAACTTTTCTGATGGAGGGTCCACCATGCTACTGCCTTATCCCGGTAGGGCATTAAACACATCCATCTTGCATTTGCTCAATTACATGGATTTTACTGACCTAAAATTTTGGATTCTTACTATGAGTGGGCTCGCTTCTCCACAGATCTGAAATGCAACTTGACCCTGTCTCCATAGAGATAATCAGCTCAGTTTTATTTCTTTACAATATTACTTCACTTTATTTAACAACTTCACTTCACTTTACTTTACTTTACAATTTACTTCAATTTACTTTACAACTTTACTTCACTTCACTTTACAACTTTACTTCACTTTACAACTTTACTTCACTTTACAACTTTACTTCTCTTTACAACTTCACTTTACTTTACAACTTTACTTACAACTTAAATTCACTTTACTTTACAACTTTACTTCACTTTTCAACTTTACCAATTTACTTCACTTTACTTTACAAATGTACTTCACTTTACAACTTTACTTCACTTTACAATTTACTTCACTTTACTTTACAATTTACTTTCTTTACTTTACTTACTTACAATTTTACTTCACTTTAACTTTACTTACTTACTTTACAACTTTACTTCACTTTACCAATTGATTTCACTTTACTTTACAAATTTACTTCACTTTACCAATTTATTTCACTTTACTTTACAACTTTACTTCACTTTACTGTACAACTTTACTTCATTTTACTTTACATCTTTACTTCACTTTACTGTACAACTTTACTTCACTTACCAATTTATTTAACTTAACTTTACAAATTTACTTCACTTTACTGTACAACTTTATTTCACTTTACTTTATAACTTTACTTCACTTTTCTTCACAATTTTACTTAACAACTTTACTTCACTTTGCAACTTTACTTAATTTTACTTAACAACTTTACTTCACTTTATTTTACAACTTTACTTCACTTTACTTAACAATTTTACTTAACAACTTAACTTCATTTTACTTTACAACTTTACTTTACTTGTCGACAAAAGTACTGCACACAGATTAAAGAGAACACAAAACAACTTCAAACTAAGTTAAAAGCCAAGGAAAAAGTGAGTCTTTAGGAGGGACTTAAAAGAATTATTATATATAAATAAATGACGGACCCTTCAACAGAAAAGTTAAAGGGTGCATCTTTAAATGGCCCATATTACGCTATTTTTTGAGTTGTTATAATGTAGTTCATCATAAACAGACCTGGAGTTGTGTTTTGTTTCATTCACACACATCCTACATATTTAGCTTTATTGAATATTTTTGTCTTCCATTTTAGATTCAAAATCCCAGGACTTCACTTTGGACCTCCTTTGTAGTTCAGACCTCTCTAAAGTGACTAACTGTATGGAGCACGCCCTGACTGCGTACTACCCTAGGACCAGATATGGGGCAGGCTGGGATGCAAAGTTCGTCTGGATTCCTCTGTCCTACCTCCCATCTTTTATGGCAGATTTTGTGGTTAAAGTACTTGTTCCTGCGCCCAAAGGTTTATGAAAAAGTGACAGTGGAAGCAAACAAGGCAGGAAAGTGTTTAAGTTCCTGAATAAAATAAATATTCTACTTGTACTAGTTGTATTTTAATCAACCCATATTACACAATTTTATAATGTTGTTTCTTCATCACAAACAGACCTGGATTTATGTTTGGTTTCAGTCACACATTTAACTCATAAACCCCACATATTTAGTCTGAGTTCTTCTCCTAAACAGAAAATGCTCTGTTCCACTGTTCCACCTTGTGATGTCAGAAAGTGCTCCACTGTGTCTTTAAACTCCACACACCTTCACTAGAATCACTTGGATCTTTTTTTTTTTTTTTTAATTGCCAATCTCTACGGAACTAAAGGTAAATGTAGCTGTTAACTTGAAAACTACCTCATTATGACATCGCAAGGTGGAACAGAGTATTTAGAGGTTTGTAGATGTAGACAGACTAATAAAAAATATATTAACATGATTAAAAGCTCACAAGAATCAATTTTGTGCAATATAGGACCTTTAAGTCTAAGAATAAGTACTGTAAAAGTACTAGTGTAAGTTGCCTATACCTTGAAATAGAATATATGTTGTGATAATAACTGCAGTAGTAGTATTAGGAGTAGTAGTAGATACATCAGAGGTGGGACCAAGTCATCGTTTTACAAGTCTCAAGTAAGTCTCAAGTCTTTGACCTCAAGTCCCAGGTCAATGACAAGAAAGTCCAAGTCAAGTTTCGAGTCACTGGCTTATAAGTCCAAGTCGTCTGCTTTGAGCTTCAAGTCATTTCAAGTCTTTAAACCAAAATACCAAATATAGATTAGATTTTTGCAATTTACATGACTTTTATGATAAATTGTACTTAAAAAGTCATAGTATATTTATGTATGAGTATTTATAGAGTAAATAAGAGTTGTAGAAATGCAATTTTTTCCTTTTTAAATGTTTTGACAAGATCTTAGAGTGAATCATTGGTCAGAATAGAAGAAATTCAGATTTAAAAGTGGTTCTCAAGTCTTCTCAAGTCACAGGCCTCAAGTCTGAGTCAAGTCCCAAGTCACTGACCTACAAATCCAAATCGAGTCCCAAGTCTTAGTCCATTTTATCAAGTCAAGTCTCAAGTGATAAAAACAGTCTGTCAAACAAGGTCTGTCTCAAGTCCAAGTCACGACTTGCAAGTCCCCACCTTTGGGATTCATACTTTTTACCTCATGTGAAAAGTTGACATTTTGTCCTTTAACTCCATGTAATGATGTGTAAAAAGTTCAAACTACTTTACAAAATAAGAAATTTATTCATTCAGTTTCAGCAGCAGCGATTTACAAATGGAATAATTCTGGGATGATCAGAGAGTTGTTCTTATTCAGATACAAAACAATCATTGCAAAAACATCTAAAAACGAACTTTTAACAATGTTTTTTTTTTTTAACAAACATATATGTAAATTTGTTTTTTTTTAATGCAAAACATTCAAGTATTTTTGGCCAGAGTAAATGTCAATATGAACAGTTAGTGATTTTTAAGCCCTGATATGAGGTATATATATATATATATATATATGTATAGATAAACGTTTTATGCAAAAAAAATGTATCTAGATTTCTTCATGGCAACTTCATTATAAGTACTGTACAAATTTCAGTAGAACTATTCATATAAATCTATATGAAACAGGACTTCAAACTTACATCTTCAAATTTACAAATATACAACATATTAACAAATCTATGAGCAGCGTCAGTGCAAAGATATACATAAAGTACATCAGAATAAAGGACACAAAAAAAACAAAAATTGGCATAAGACATTTTCGAAGGCATAGTCATTCATACAAGAAACCTCTCATTTATAGAAACATATTTCTCTCCAACAATAATTTGAGTTTTGTACACAGGCTGCATAAAAAAATAAATTCTGTGCAAAGTGTGTGTTTTTATTTGTTCCCATGGTCCAGACAAGTGTTATACATCACTGTCCTCTTTGACCAGAGTGGCCGTGTCCTTGAAAGTGTCCTCAGTGGGAGAGAAGGTCATGGGACGGTCCTTCTTCTGCAGTTTGGCTGGAGGTGCAAATGGAGATGGCTCAGAGGACTCAACGCTGCCCCCCACAGGCTTCTCATCTTTCATCTACAACACAAACAGACCAATATGTTAAAGGAGCACTATGTAACTTTTTGATTGAGGGTCCTAAAGCAAAGCAATAACAACATCCATGGAGAAAATAGTTTGACGGGCCCTCCACCAGGAAAGTTACACAATGCACCTTTAACAAATGTAGGACAAAATATATTTATATAAACATAAATATATAAATCTACCTCTGAATATGAAGGGTTTTCAAATGTGGTTCCCGGCCTCAGTTTTCTTTTGAATTGGCTCCACTTTGACTCCTACAAACAGACAATAGACGGTGTAAAGAAGTGGACTAAGCGAAAGTCACCCATAGCTTTTAGCTCCAGTCAAATGAAGCTCACCGAGGCTTGCAGTTATAGGAGCGAATTTGAGTTCTATATTAAGAATAGTTCAATATTATAATAGGAATTTATGTATGGACAAAATTTCAAAAAACACCAGGAATTTTGTTACAAAATATTTAAAAGCCTTTATTGTGAGCAGGCAGGAAGCGTGATGTGTCGGCTTGTGCCTCCTTCAGGGTGTAATAGTGAATGAGAGGTGACAAGTTTAAGTGCACACACTCCAGGTATGCAGGGTGGAGGCTTCACTTCTGATTGGGCACATGGAGTAGTAACTTCTTCATTTCAGGACAGTTTCATTGAGGGCACTAGAGGGCAGTCACTTTTTTAATTTATTTTTAATTTTAAAAGGGACCGTTTTTAGGGAGAGCATTCAAGGGCAGTCAAATTGGACTGTTTTTTACTTAGGAGCAGATTTTTTGTTTAACATTTCCATGCAAATTGAAGTTATAGGTAGCAGGAGAGATTGAAGTCTTCATTTAGGTCTGGGTACTCCGTGGCCTTGAGAACAAGGCGCTGGATCATGTCCCCACCTCTGGCGTCCAGTGTGATCACTTCAATGCCACGTACTTTCACAATAAACGTTTTAAATATTTTGTAACTAAGTGAGTGCCTGATATTTTTCTTTTTGAAGTGCACCCTTAGTCACATGGATACCAGCAGCTCCCTGCCTCTGCTGTTTGTGAACACCAGGATTTTGTAGAGGGGGTTAATACAACACATTTTAAGACCAAAATGAGGAGGCTCACTGCAGCGAGGCGACAGTTTTTCAATGTCAAGTCAATTGGAGCCAGAGTTGATGGAGCCAGAGGCGCCCCCATGTTCACTTCCTTTTTGAAACACGTTATCTATGTCCATTTATATATCCAGTCTATAACATGTACATGGAATAAACAATGTCACACTGTTATTAACAGTACCTTTTCAGATGCAGAGCTTTCAGCAGTATTCACCACAGCCACACCTCGTTCTCCGTGATACACTGGGTTCACAAAGTTGTTTGCCAGTGGATCACTGCTCACATTGACTGTGACCTGTAAACAAGAGAGAGAGAGAGAATAATCTGAGCTCGCTTTAAAGTGCCCATATTACAGTATTTTCTGAGCTATGTTATAATGTTGTTTCTTCTTCACAAACAGTCCCGGAGTTGTGTTTTGTTTCATTCACACATGTTTAACACACAAATCCTGTATATTTAACCTGAATTATTTTCTTAAACTGAAATCACTTTGTTCCACCTTGTGATGTCATGTGGTAATACAGGAAGTGCTCCACTGTGTTTTTAAACTCCATACACCTTCACTAGAATCATTGGATAATTTCAGCACAGAATTGCCAGTCTCTACTAAACAAAAGGTAAGAGATAGCTGTTAATCTGAAAACCACAATTATATGACATCACAAGGTGGAACAGAGCATTTTGAGCTTTGGACATGTAGACAGACTAATAATAAAGGATTACACAAACAAAACATAACTCCAGGTATGTTTATGATGAGATAACAACATTCTAACATGGTTTAAAGCTCACAAGAGTACATTTTTCCATAATATAGGACCTTTAAGATTAGGTCCTATAAGAAATTGCTGTAACAATTTTAAAAAGTACCTGTGTGGCATGAATAACAGCTGGGTCTCCTGCTGCATTGGCGTATAAAGGATTCTCAAAGGTCATTGGTTGCCTTCCATCTTCCAGTGCAAAATTATCATCCTGTACAAAAGTAGTAACGTTTTACATTTGATAAAGGATGTCACCTTAATTAAAACACTGCACTATGTAACTTTGTGGATGGGTGTCTGTCACCTGCTTGTTTCTATGGATATGTCACTGCTCTGCCTGGAATGTTCCACAGTATGACATTAAACAGCTATACTTTACATTTACTCAATTACAAGTGGTTTTATAGCTCAGAATACCTACAAAAACAGGTATTCTGACTGTGAGTGGAGTCACCTCTCAACAGATCTGACCTGTAACTTGGTCTGGTTTAGTCTACATGAAGACAGAAAGTTTTAATGCCATACTGTGTGTGAAACATTCCAGACAAAGCAATAACATCTCCATGGAGAAAATAATTTAATGGGCCCTCCACCAAGAAAGTTACACAGTGCACCTTAATCTGACTGAGCAGCTGGCATCAGTTAATAAATTATGAACCTAACTCTTGTTTTTAATTAAACTGCTGATGTTACATTTTAAGTTACTGAATAGGATAAAGGTCAAGTCCTGAACTCACCATCTGCATGGCTGTGTCAATAAATGACACTCCAATATGGGTCGGCCCAAGGTCCACGTTTTCACCTGAACGAAAAGTCACGCCATTCCCCGTGTCCGCAGATTTCACCAGACTGCTCAGGCTGCATATGGGGAAAAACAAGCGGAAACTTTAATCAGCTCAAGGGTTTTATGCATGTGTATTGTATGTCCTGCAGATATTTTTTATTTATTTTAATATTTTACAACACAAATAGGCTAAAAAATAAAAATTACTTAAACATATACAAATAAAAACAAAATAACACAATAATGTCCTTCATATTGATAGAATTAGATAGATAGATAAAAGCCCATACCTTGGTAACTTGGGCATTGATGGAATAAAGGATCCTGTCCTTTTGTAGTTGAGGAAAACCCCAACAGCCAGAGCACCAGTAATGATGATGATAAGGACTGCAAGTAGAACTGCCACGGCTGCAAATCATAAAAGTAATGATATTATAACAATAATAATAATAACAGCTATGTATTTAAGGGATACATCCTCCATACTGCTTACTTAGTTGCAGAAATGTATCTAATTTAGTTGTGTCGTATGTGTAAAATGGTGAATGAAGAAGCACTCAAGTTTGTTACTTAAGTAAAAGGAGAGGTAAAAAAATTACTCAAGTATAAGTAAAAGTATTACACACAAGTTTTGTTAATTTGTTTGATCAACAGCTGCAATATGAATCAATTTCTTAATTTTTCTTATGAATTTTGTGTATTTAGTTTTGTTTGCTCTAAGCTGATTAAATTCAAAACTGTTAGTCAAGATGTTGCCACAAACATGGTAAAAAATACTCTCTAAAATCATATGAAAATTACTTTTTACTTTTGAGTCCAGTTAAAAATGTAGAAGTTCTTGTGTGGAGTACTTACTTTCAAATGTAGTGAAGTAAAAGCAAAAAACTACCCACTGTAAAATTTACTTAAGTAAAGTTCAGTCACCGAAAAATTCTACTTAAGTACAGTACTTTACTACTTGTACCTCTTTACCTTTCACCCCTGTATGTGAACATACCTGTCCCAGCTGGAGCACTTGTCATTTTCCCCTTTTCACAATAACTGCCCAGATAACCATAAGGACATCTGCAAAATACACACAATAATCATCTCAAAATGCTCAAACCAAGAGTAAATGTAAAAACAAAAAAACAAAACACAGAGATGTGATGACTTTTCCTGATGAAGACCCCTGCAGCCAGACTCACTTGCACTTTGGAAGAGCCTCCTCATCAAAGTAGCAGGTTCCACCATTCCTGCACCTACATGCAGGGGGCATCGTGACAGGAGGCTCACTGGCTGCAAGAGTGAAAGCCAAGCATTAACAAAACAGAAACAATAAAATAAAACTAACACACACGTCTCACGTCACATACAGTGGTGGAAGAAGTACTACATTTTATTACTTAAAGGTGCATTGTGTAACTTTTCTGGTGGAGGGCCCGTGAAATGCTTTTCTCCATGAAAATGTTATCGCTTTGTCTGGAATGTTTCACAGTGTGATATTAAACCTTTCTATTATCATGGAGATCAAAGTAGATCAAGTCACAGGTCAGATCTGTGGAGAGGTGATCCTGCTCATAGTCACAATACCAGCTATAAAACCACTTGTAACTGAATACTTGTAAGGTAGAATTATTTAATGTCACACTGTGGAAGATTCCAGGCAGAGCAATAACATATCCATAGAAACAAGCAGTTGACAGACCCTCTACTGGAAAAGTTACACAGTGCACCTTTAAGATACACAAACAAAACATAACTCCAGGTATTTATGATGAGATAACAACATTCTAGACATGGCTTTATTTTTTTGGGACAGGTATGTTCACATACAGGGGTGAAAGGTAAAGAGGTACAAGTAGTAAAGTACTGTACGTTAAGTAGAATTTTTCGGTGATGAACTTTACTTAAGTAAATTTTACAGTGGGTAGTTTTTTTGCTTTTACTTCACTACATTTGAAAGTAAGTACTCCACACAAGAACTTCTACATTTTTTAACTGGACTCAAAAGTAAAAAGTAATTTTCATATGATTTTAGAGAGTATTTTTTACCATGTTTTGTGGCAACATCTTGACTAACAGTTTGAATTTAATCAGCTTAGAGCAAACAAAACTAAATACACAAAATTCATAAGAAAAATTAAGAAATTGATTCATATTGCAGCTGTTGATCAAACAAATTAACAAAACTTGTGTGTAATACTTTTACTTTATACTTGAGTAATTTTTTTACCTCTCCTTTTACTTAAGTAACAAACTTGAGTGCTTCTTCATTCACCATTTTACACATACGACACAACTAAATTAGATACATTTCTGCAACTAAGTAAGCAGTATGGAGGATGTATCCCTTAAATACATAGCTGTTATTATTATTATTGTTTATAATATCATTACTTTTATGATTTGCAGCCGTGGCAGTTCTACTTGCAGTCCTTATCATCATCATTACTGGTGCTCTGGCTGTTGGGGTTTTCCTCAACTACAAAAGGACAGGATCCTTTATTCCATCAATGCCCAAGTTACCAAGGTATGGGCTTTTTATCTATCTATTATCTATCTAATTCTATCAATATGAAGGACATTATTGTGTTATTTTGTTTTTATTTGTATTATGTTTAAGTAAATTTTTATTTTTTAGCCTATTTGTGTTGTAAAATATTAAAATAAATAAAAAATATCTGCAGGACATACAATACACATGCATAAAACCCTTGAGCTGATTAAAGTTTCCGCTTGTTTTTCCCACATATGCAGCCTGAGCAGTCTGGTGAAATCTGCGGACACGGGGAATGGCGTGACTTTTCGTTCAGGTGAAAAACGTGGACCTTGGGCCGACCCATATTGGAGTGTCATTTATTGACACAGCCATGCAGATGGTGAGTTCAGGACTTGACCTTTATCCTATTCAGTAACTTAAAATGTAACATCAGCAGTTTAATTAAAAAACAAGAGTTAGGTTCATAATTTATTAACTGATGCCAGCTGCTCAGTCAGATTAAGGTGCACTGTGTAACTTTCTTGTGGAGGGCCCATTAAATTATTTTCTCCATGGAGATGTTATTGCTTTGTCTGGAATGTTTCACACACAGTATGGCATTAAAACTTTCTGTCTTCATGTAGACTAAACCAGACCAAGTTACAGGTCAGATCTGTTGAGAGGTGACTGCACTCACAGTCAGAATACCTGTTTTTGTAGGTATTCTGAGCTAAAACCACTTGTAATTGAGTAAATGTAAAGTATAGCTGTTTAATGTCATACTGTGGAACATTCCAGGCAGAGCAGTGACATATCCATAGAAACAAGCAGGTGACAGACACCCATCCACAAAGTTACATAGTGCAGTGTTTTAATTAAGGTGACATCCTTTATCAAATGTAAAACGTTACTACTTTTGTACAGGATGATAATTTTGCACTGGAAGATGGAAGGCAACCAATGACCTTTGAGAATCCTTTATACGCCAATGCAGCAGGAGACCCAGCTGTTATTCATGCCACACAGGTACTTTTTAAAATTGTTACAGCAATTTCTTATAGGACCTAATCTTAAAGGTCCTATATTATGGAAAAAATGTACTCTTGTGAGCTTTAAACCATGTTAGAATGTTGTTATCTCATCATAAACATACCTGGAGTTATGTTTTGTTTGTGTAATCCTTTATTATTAGTCTGTCTACATGTCCAAAGCTCAAAATGCTCTGTTCCACCTTGTGATGTCATATAATTGTGGTTTTCAGATTAACAGCTATCTCTTACCTTTTGTTTAGTAGAGACTGGCAATTCTGTGCTGAAATTTATCCAATGATTCTAGTGAAGGTGTATGGATTTTAAAAACACAGTGGAGCACTTCCTGTATTACCACATGACATCACAAGGTGGAACAAAGTGATTTCAGTTTAAGAAAATAATTCAGGTTAAATATACAGGATTTGTGTGTGTTAAACATGTGTGAATGAAACAAAACACAACTCCGGGACTGTTTGTGAAGAAGAAACAACATTATAACATAGCTCAGAAAATACTGTAATATGGGCACTTTAAAGCGAGCTCAGATTATTCTCTCTCTCTCTCTTGTTTACAGGTCACAGTCAATGTGAGCAGTGATCCACTGGCAAACAACTTTGTGAACCCAGTGTATCACGGAGAACGAGGTGTGGCTGTGGTGAATACTGCTGAAAGCTCTGCATCTGAAAAGGTACTGTTAATAAGAGTGTGACATTGTTTATTCCATGTACATGTTATAGACTGGATATATAAATGGACATAGATAACGTGTTTCAAAAAGGAAAGTGAACATGGGGGCGCCTCTGGCTCCATCAACTCTGGCTCCAATTGACTTGACATTGAAAAACTGTCGCCTCGCTGCAGTGAGCCTCCTCATTTTGGTCTTAAAATGTGTTGTATTAACCCCCTCTACAAAATCCTGGTGTTCACAAACAGCAGAGGCAGGGAGCTGCTGGTATCCATGTGACTAAGGGTGCACTTCAAAAAGAAAAAAAATATCAGGCACTCACTTAGTTACAAAATATTTAAAAACGTTTATTGTGAAAGTACGTGGCATTGAAGTGATCACACTGGACGCCAGAGGTGGGGACATGATCCAGCGCCTTGTTCTCAAGGCCACGGAGTACCCAGACCTAAATGAAGACTTCAATCTCTCCTGCTACCTATAACTTCAATTTGCATGGAAATGTTAAACAAAAAATCTGCTCTAAGTAAAAACAGTCCAATTTGACTGCCCTTGAATGCTCTCCCTAAAAACGGTCCCTTTTAAAATAAAAAATAAATTAAAAAAGTGACTGCCCTCTAGTGCCCTCAATGAAACTGTCCTGAAATGAAGAAGTTACTACTCCATGTGCCCAATCAGAAGTGAAGCCTCCACCCTGCATACCTGGAGTGTGTGCACTTAAACTTGTCACCTCTCATTCACTATTACACCCTGAAGGAGGCACAAGCCGACACATCACGCTTCCTGCCTGCTCACAATAAAGGCTTTTAAATATTTTGAAACAAAATTCCTGGTGTTTTTTGCAATTTTGTCCATACATAAATTCCTATTATAATATTGAACTGTTCTTAATATAGAACTCAAATTCGCTCCTATAACTGCAAGCCTCGGTGAGCTTCATTTGACTGGAGCCAAAAGCTATGGGTGACTTTCGCTTAGTCCACTTCTTTACACCGTCTATTGTCTGTTTGTAGGAGTCAAAGTGGAGCCAATTCAAAAGAAAACTGAGGCCGGGAACCACATTTGAAAACCCTTCATATTCAGAGGTAGATTTATATATTTATGTTTATATAAATATATTTTGTCCTACATTTGTTAAAGGTGCATTGTGTAACTTTCCTGGTGGAGGGCCCGTCAAACTATTTTCTCCATGGATGTTGTTATTGCTTTGCTTTAGGACCCTCAATCAAAAAGTTACATAGTGCTCCTTGAACATATTGGTCTGTTTGTGTTGTAGATGAAAGATGAGAAGCCTGTGGGGGGCAGCGTTGAGTCCTCTGAGCCATCTCCATTTGCACCTCCAGCCAAACTGCAGAAGAAGGACCGTCCCATGACCTTCTCTCCCACTGAGGACACTTTCAAGGACACGGCCACTCTGGTCAAAGAGGACAGTGATGTATAACACTTGTCTGGACCATGGGAACAATAAAAAACACACACTTTGCACAGAATTTATTTTTTTATGCAGCCTGTGTACAAAACTCAAATTATTGTTGGAGAGAAATATGTTTCTATAAATGAGAGGTTTCTTGTATGACTGACTATGCCTTCGAATATGTCTTATGCCAATTTTTGTTTTTTTTGTGTCCTTTATTCTGATGTACTTTATGTATATCTTTGCACTGACGCTGCTCATAGATTTGTTAATATGTTGTATATTTGTAAATTTGAAGATGTAAGTTTGAAGTCCTGTTTCATATAGATTTATATGAATAGTTCTACTGAAATTTGTACAGTACTTATAATGAAGTTGCCATGAAGAAATCTAGATACATTTTTTTTGCATAAAACGTTTATCTATACATATATATATATATATATATATATACCTCATATCAGGGCTTAAAAATCACTAACTGTTCATATTGACATTTACTCTGGCCAAAAATACTTGAATGTTTTGCATTAAAAAAAAAACAAATTTACATATATGTTTGTTAAAAAAAAAAAAACATTGTTAAAAGTTCATTTTTAGATGTTTTTGCAATGATTGTTTTGTATCTGAATAAGAACAACTCTCTGATCATCCCAGAATTATTCCATTTGTAAATCGCTGCTGCTGAAACTGAATGAATAAATTTCTTATTTTGTATAGTAGTTTGAACTTTTTACACATCATTACATGGAGTTAAAGGACAAAATGTCAACTTTTCACATGAGGTAAAAAGTATGAATCCCAAAGGTGGGGACTTGCAAGTCGTGACTTGGACTTGAGACAGACTTGTTTGACAGACTGTTTTTATCACTTGAGACTTGACTTGATAAAATGGACTAAGACTTGGGACTCGATTTGGATTTGTAGGTCAGTGACTTGGGACTTGACTCAGACTTGAGGCCTGTGACTTGAGAAGACTTGAGAACCACTTTTAAATCTGAATTTCTTCTATTCTGACCAATGATTCACTCTAAGATCTTGTCAAAACATTTAAAAAGGAAAAAAATTGCATTTCTACAACTCTTATTTACTCTATAAATACTCATACATAAATATACTATGACTTTTTAAGTACAATTTATCATAAAAGTCATGTAAATTGCAAAAATCTAATCTATATTTGGTATTTTGGTTTAAAGACTTGAAATGACTTGAAGCTCAAAGCAGACGACTTGGACTTATAAGCCAGTGACTCGAAACTTGACTTGGACTTTCTTGTCATTGACCTGGGACTTGAGGTCAAAGACTTGAGACTTACTTGAGACTTGTAAAACGATGACTTGGTCCCACCTCTGATGTATCTACTACTACTCCTAATACTACTACTGCAGTTATTATCACAACATATATTCTATTTCAAGGTATAGGCAACTTACACTAGTACTTTTACAGTACTTATTCTTAGACTTAAAGGTCCTATATTGCACAAAATTGATTCTTGTGAGCTTTTAATCATGTTAATATATTTTTTATTAGTCTGTCTACATCTACAAACCTCTAAATACTCTGTTCCACCTTGCGATGTCATAATGAGGTAGTTTTCAAGTTAACAGCTACATTTACCTTTAGTTCCGTAGAGATTGGCAATTTAAAAAAAAAAAAAAAAGATCCAAGTGATTCTAGTGAAGGTGTGTGGAGTTTAAAGACACAGTGGAAGCACTTTCTGACATCACAAGGTGGAACAGTGGAACAGAGCATTTTCTGTTTAGGAGAAGAACTCAGACTAAATATGTGGGGTTTATGAGTTAAATGTGTGTGACTGAAACCAAACATAAATCCAGGTCTGTTTGTGATGAAGAAACAACATTATAAAATTGTGTAATATGGGTTGATTAAAATACAACTAGTACAAGTAGAATATTTATTTTATTCAGGAACTTAAACACTTTCCTGCCTTGTTTGCTTCCACTGTCACTTTTTCATAAACCTTTGGGCGCAGGAACAAGTACTTTAACCACAAAATCTGCCATAAAAGATGGGAGGTAGGACAGAGGAATCCAGACGAACTTTGCATCCCAGCCTGCCCCATATCTGGTCCTAGGGTAGTACGCAGTCAGGGCGTGCTCCATACAGTTAGTCACTTTAGAGAGGTCTGAACTACAAAGGAGGTCCAAAGTGAAGTCCTGGGATTTTGAATCTAAAATGGAAGACAAAAATATTCAATAAAGCTAAATATGTAGGATGTGTGTGGATGAAACAAAACACAACTCCAGGTCTGTTTATGATGAACTACATTATAACAACTCAAAAAAATAGCGTAATATGGGCCATTTAAAGATGCACCCTTTAACTTTTCTGTTGAAGGGTCTGTCATTTATTTATATATAATAATTCTTTTAAGTCCCTCCTAAAGACTCACTTTTTCCTTGGCTTTTAACTTAGTTTGAAGTTGTTTTGTGTTCTCTTTAATCTGTGTGCAGTATTTTTGTCGACTGTTTTTCAAGTAAAGTAAAGTTGTAAAGTAAAATGAAGTTAAGTTGTTAAGTAAAATTGTTAAGTAAAGTGAAGTAAAGTTGTAAAATAAAGTGAAGTAAAGTTGTTAAGTAAAATTAAGTATAGTTGCAAAGTGAAGTAAAGTTGTTAAGTAAAATTGTTAAGTATAGTGATGTAAAATTGTGAAGAAAAGTGAAGTAAAGTTATAAAGTAAAGTGAAATAAAGTTGTACAGTAAAGTGAAGTAAATTTGTAAAGTTAAGTTAAATAAATTGGTGAAGTGAAGTAAAGTTGTACAGTAAAGTGAAGTAAAGATGTAAAGTAAAATGAAGTAAAGTTGTACAGTAAAGTGAAGTAAAGTTGTAAAGTAAAGTGAAATAAATTGGTAAAGTGAAGTAAATTTGTAAAGTAAAGTGAAATCAATTGGTAAAGTGAAGTAAAGTTGTAAAGTGAAGTAAATTGGTAAAGTTGTAAAGTGAAGTAAAATTGTCAAGTGAAGTAAACTTGTAAAGTAAAGAGAAGTTAAATTGGTAAAGTTGTAAAGTGAAGTAAAATTGTAAAGTGAAGTAAAGTTGTAAAGTGAAGTACATTTGTAAAGTAAAGTGAAGTAAATTGGTAAAGTTGAAAAGTGAAGTAAAGTTGTAAAGTAAAGTGAATTTAAGTTGTAAAGTAAAGTTGTAAAGTAAAGTGAAGTTGTAAAGAGAAGTAAAGTTGTAAAATGAAGTAAAGTTGTAAAGTGAAGTAAAGTTGTAAAGTGAAGTGAAGTAAAGTTGTAAAGTAAATTGAAGTAAATTGTAAAGTAAAGTGAAGTGAAGTGAAGTTGTTAAATAAAGTGAAGTAATATTGAAAAGAAATAAAACTGAGCTGATTATCTCTATGGAGACAGGGTCAAGTTGCATTTCAGATCTGGGGAGAAGCGAGCCCACTCATAATAAGAATCCAAAATTTTAGGTCAGTAAAATCCATGTAATTGAGCAAATGCAAGATGGATGTGTTTAATGCCCTACCGGGACATTCCAGATAAGGCAGTAGCATGGTGGACCCTCCATCAGAAAAGTTACACAGTGCACCTTTAATCATTTGTAGACAGTTTTGCTTACATCTTTGCATGTAATCTTCCCCATAGCTGTCCTTGACTTCTTGTGGCAGGCGATTCCACAGTCTTTGGACATCACTCTTAATAGCTTCGGAACTGGTCACAGCGGTTTTGAAAAATCCTGGCTCAATAATGCTCACTTTTATGCCGAAGTGATGCATATCTAACCTGGAAAAGAAAACATTTTAAAATTTCTGGTTTATGTATCGCCGCCACGGTGACTGAAATCATTACAGAACATGTTTAAAATCCCAAAAAGCTAATATGAGCTCAGAGATACGGACATGTTTATAAAAAAAGAAAATCAGAACAAACATTATGAAATTGTTTATATCTTTTAAAGGGGTGGGCCTCTGGAACAATTGTACAGAAAACCTTAAATTTTGCACCACTGACTTCCACTGGTGGAGGGTCTGTCAAATGCTTGTCTTCATTGCTTTGTCTGGAATGTCTCACAGTATGACATTAAACCTTTTTATCTTCATACAGATCAAACCAGACCAAGTTACAGGTCAGATCTGCGAAGAGGTAACCCCACCCACAGTCAGAATGCCTGCTTTTTAAGGTATTTTTGAGCTATAAAACCACCTGTAATTTGATAAATGTAAGGTAGAGCTGTTTAATGTCATACTGTGAAACATTCTAGGCGAAGCAATGACATATCCATAGAAACAAGACGGTGGTGGACCCTCCACCAGAGAAGTTACACAATATAATGCACATTTAAATATGACGGTTTGTGGAATAATGTCAGAATATACCTGTGATTAAACTAAATAAATAAGTCATAGTTTGGGTACCTGAGACTGTCAGAAAAAGCCTCCACACCGTACTTGGACAGACAGTACCCTCCTCCTATGAGAGACAGTCGGCCAAAAATGCTGGCCACGTTGACCACTCTGCCCTTGGCCTTTTTCAGGAGGGGCAGAAAGTGAAGAGTTACATCAATAACACCCAAAAGATTCACATCCAGAATCTTGGTGAAATCCTCGAGCTTCATCCACTCGGTTGGACCAGCGGGGATGGAAATACCGGCATTATTGACCAGACCCCACAGACCTGTGCACAGAATATAAAATTTTACTTGAGAATTACACAGAATATAAAATACAGACATGTGTACAGAATCTATGTATATTATGCAAAATGTAAAATGTGTGGATGCTTGAGATTAATATAGTGCATTTCATTATTATTATTTATTCAGTCCATAGTCTAAAATCCCAGGACGTCTTTTGATATTCTGAAGTGGTAAACTGCTTTCGTAGCCACAGCTGCCCTGGAATAAGAAGAAACAGCTTAACTTTGATGGTCTGTATGAGAAATCTTTATCTTAGGGCACCCCATTGTGGCCAGTTAATGTATTGCTCCAGTCACTAAGTACTATTCTGCAAAGTATGTGTGTTCTGCTCAGTACTTTTTAAAATCTATTTTCTAGATATTTACGGTTCTTCTGTTGACCTTGCATTAAAAAACCTTTAAGTAATGTTAAGTAATAAAATTAATTCATACGTTTCAATCCAGTGCGTCCCAGATGAAGGGTCGAGTCACTAGTCAGTGCCGTCAATGTAAGACAAAACATGTTTTTTTCACTCAAATTACTTAAATAAATTAAAGGTGCACTATGTAACTTTTAAGATGGTGGTGTAACTTGCTTGTCTCCATGGAGATCTTATTTCTTTGCCTGGAAAGTTCCACAGTATGGCATTAAACATATCCCCCTTGTTTTCATTCAATCACAGGTGTTTATAGCTCATAAATACCTTAAAAACATGATTTTTTTTACCATGTGCAGGCTTGCTTCTCCAAGTTTATGTCCATAATGTGTTATAATTATGGAAAAACAGAAATATCTCCATAGAAACAAGCAGGTGACAGACCCTTCACCAGAAAAATTACACAGTTCACCTTTAAATGAAATACAAAATCTATAGGTTGTATATATTTTACACAATCCCCCACAATCAGGCCAGTTTAGAGACATTTTCAGTTGTTTTCTCTATAAAATGTGGTGTTATGTACAATGTTCTGTTAGTGAAATTATTTGTGAAAGTAGCTTTGACTTATTTCTGGGAGCACTACACATTTATGCCAGGAAAATTCGGTATCTCCTTTACTGTCCAAATAAGAAAGCATGTTAATCCCACATGACAAAACAAATTCTCACATGTAAATTGCGGTCTCTGGGAACCGACGTTTTCTGTAATAAATGAGGTATGCTCTAGAATCAGTAGGAGGATGATGTGTTGGTGATGGGGTGGTCCAGGTTTGCCTTTATCTTAACGGTGCTTCACTCGGACTGGCACCCTATCGGAGCGAGTACCCCCCTGCAGTCAGTGGTGGAAGAAGTACTCCATTTTTGTTACTTAAGTAAAAGTACAGATACCGGTGCAGAAAAATACTCAAGTAAAAGTAAAAATATCACATGAAAAATCCACTTAAGTAAAAGTATTAAAGTTCCCAGTAAAAAATGTAGTCTACTTTAAGAGAAAAAAGTAAAAGTAAGCCTATTTCATGCAGATTTTGAGGTCTTCAGATGTACTGATTTATACAGATTTACGCTCAGTTTTCTTCAACAGAAACAACTGAATAAATATTTTTTTCTAGCTGTTTTAATTTGTATATTTTGGTTGCTCAAATTAGAAATTTGTTCAAACAAACTCTAAGCCTTTTCAGTAGGCCTCAGACAGTAATGAAAATACTTTTACTTTTCAGTTCTTTTCAAAAATGTAGTAGAGTAGAAAAAACACTTAAGTAAAATACAGATTAAAAACATGCTTACTTAAAGGGTCTGTCACCTGCTTGTTTCCATGGAGATACTGCTTTGTCTAGAATGTTCCAGAGGGGGGACCAAGTCGTTGTTTTGCAAGTCTGAAGTAAGTCTCAAGTCTTTGACCTCAAGTCCGAGTCAAGTCCCAAGTCAAAGACAGGCAAGTCCAAGTCAGGTCACTGGCCCATAAGTCCAAGTCAAGTCTAAGTCCAAGTCATTTCACGTCTTTAAAACGAAATACCAAATATATCTTACAGTTTAGCAATTTATATGACTTTGAAACTAAATTATACTTAGAAAGTCATGGAATATTTATACACAAGTATTTACATAAGAGCTGTAGAAATGCAAATTTTTCTTTTTAAATGTTTTGACAAGATCTTATTATGAATCATTACAGTCAGAACAGAAAGAATTCAGATTTAAAAATGGAGTTATTTTGTCTGCACTGAAATGGGAGGATCATGTTCTTTGTAGTTCCCTCTGTTTTACTTTATTGTTCTGTATATTACTGTAGTACATTTGATGATACTACATCACAGTACTTCAGTTACATCCAAAGTAACAAACTGAAGTGGGATAGGCATGTTCCAGTTTGTTCCTGTAAAATTAAGCACAGCATTTATCAAGTGTAACGAGAAAAGTATATTCTAAAAACATATATTTTTTTAGGAGAAGCATCAGGTCTTCTCAAGTCACAGGCTTTAATTCTGAGTCAAGTCCCAAGTCATTGAGCTTCAAGTCCAAGTCGAGTCCCAAGTCCATTTTATCAAGTCAAATCTCAAGTCCTAAAAATAGTGACTCAATTCTGGCTTGGGTCCAAGTCATGACTTGCAAGTCCTACCTCTGGAATGTTCCACAGTAGAGATTAAATCTATCTATCATGTGGGAGACAACTATACATTACAGGTCAGATCTATGGAGAAGCATCCCTATTTGCAGTGAGAAGCAACAGAAACACCCATAATGAACAAATGCTAGATGAATGTTTAATGTCATACCATGGAACATTTCAGGCAAAGCAATAACATCTCCATGGAGACAAGCAGGTAGCACACCTTCCACCGGAAAAGTAGCGCAGTGCACCACTTTTCTACTTTTACTTTGTAACTTTCCACCACTGCCTGCAGTCCATCCACCTGCCCACACCTCCTCCCCTCGTCCCCGCCCACCTCACCTCTAGATCCGACCTCTGAACTCACAAACTCCACAGCCTTCTTGATGCTCGCGCTGTCTGCAACGTTCAGCGGCACCGTCTTGAGTCTGGAGGAGGTGACGGCTGACAAATCCACCGCACCCTTCTCCGTGAAACAGGCGGCGATCACAGGGATGCCCTTAGCGTCCAGCTGCCGGGCCAGGAGGTTCCCAAAGCCACTGTCGCAGCCCGTGATCAGCACATGTCTCTGGGTGAGCTGATCCACTTTAAAGGAGTCGCGGATGAAGCGCAAGACTAAGAAGGTGATGGTCAGGAAGGTAAGGGAGGACAGTAGCAGGTGAGACTGGATTATCTGAATGAAAATATATAAGAATGATTCAAATCAATACACTGGAATACAATGAGATAAAGAGTATTTAACAGAAAATTAGCTGTAACTATGTGAAACTCTGTAGGTCATGTGACTAGGACGAGGCTGGTCCTATATTATGCAAAATTGTTAAAATGCTGTCACCTGATCAAAAACATACCTGGAGTTGTGTTTTATTTCATTTGCATGTTTTGAATAATCTTTTATTATTTGTCTGTCTACATTGCCTAAGCTCAAAATGCTCCGTTCCACATTGTGATGTCATGAAGTGGTAGTTTTATCTTTTATCTTTTGTCCAGTAGAGATCAGTAATTACATAATTTTATGAAATTTTCATGTTAAATAGTTTTAGGGCAGAGAGATTAAGAACTGATTCAAATTTCCCTGAAATTGGAGTTCATTTGTGCAAATGGGAAAAATTTGTAAAAATTTAAAATTTCTGAAATTCTGGACAGTTTTTGTTGCTTCACTGCTCAGAGGCAGTAAGATGTGCATGAAAAAATGTGATAACTTTTGATGTTCCACCCCTTGAGATAATGTGTACCAAAAAAAGAACCCTCTGGCCTTGTGCTCCTCACACAAGTCTATTGTTTATATCAATTCTAGTTTGCTATTTTACTGATTATTAACCCAGCCCAGTGTTGACCTGTTCTCGGACGAGATGTCTTATGTGTATCATCCAGGCGCCTTATGCCTCCCCGTGGGGTGCACTGTTATGACACACTTTGGGGACAGATGACACTCTGCCAGGCTCAGGTAGTTTTGTGATTGTGTGCACAATTGCTTCAATAAATCAGACTCCTTGGTTCAAGACAAGTTTTGGCTCTTTTTACTCTTTAATGTCTGCAGTCTAGAAATCCCACAACAAGGCTATATGTTGTATGATATTGTTGGTATTGATAGATATTGATATTATGAGAGGTCATATTTTTGACAATCATCAGCATGAGAGGGGAGTGAAGTGTGAGGAGAGACATTCAAGAAAAAAATATATACTGAGATTTTATAAATAAACATTTTAAACCTTTTCTTCTATGAAGGCTACAGGCCAAATGCTGTATGTATTTGTCACAGTGATTGAACTCCAGCCATCATGTCTCTTCTTATCTTTGTATGTAAATATTAGACTAGAGGAGCCATTGCGATCTTAATTACAATCTTTCTTTGTATTATACTTAAAATATATTTAAATCTAATAAAATATATTTAAATATATATTTTAATATAAGGTAAGAGGAACTGTAAACTGTATAAATTTGTTTTAACCAAATGTCCATTAAAGTCCATTAAGTCAACTGATCTGATTATAGCAAACATGAACAATTTGTTCCTGACCAGGTTAAATTTAGGAAGGAACAGGAAATACTAACTTTTTTTTTTTTTTTAAACACTCACCTCTAAAAAATCCATTTAAAAACCTGGTGAAGAAAAAACAAAGCAATTACAATTTATAATTGTACAAATGTGTCAAATGTGTACAAATGTTAGAACATCCAGCAGGGGGCATCATGACAAATGAAAGTGCCAACAACAAAGCTTGTAAAACAAAACAAACTTGTTTGTTTATTGTTTCTTAAGAGCTGTCCAAACTTATTTTGCTTGATATCAGTGGTGGAGCGTAACAAAGTACAAGTACTTAAGGAATATACATTTTTATTATGGTCTGAGACTTATTGAAAAGGCTGAGGGGTTTTAATTTGATCAAGTTCATAATTCAAAAAGTAAAAACTACAAACTAAATTGTTCCTGTTGAACAAAGTCACTACATTTGGAGACTTATTAGACTTCAAAATCTGCACAGCATACCTCAGAAGTGAAATACCTGAGCAGATTTTTCCATGTGATACTTTAATTTATTTCGCTCTGGTATACTTTTACTTAAGTACTTCTTCCACCACTGCTTAATATGAATACAGAATTGTCACTTACTGCTTTTGATGTATTTTGATCTGCATGCAATGAGTACAAATCTGCGCTTCCGTGGTCTGGAGACGGCGGCTGTTCGTAGACTCGGCTCGTCTTTAGTTGATCTGGTGCCAAGGTCCACCACGACAGACAGTTGTGTAATTGCAAAAAAAAAAAAAAAAAAAAAAAAAAAAACACACACGACTACACAGACGACTACACACACGTCCTCTGATAAGTGCAGGAGCCTTTTCCTGGTTTGAACTGAGTGTGAATGAGGTGAGTAAATGAAATGAAATAAAACAAATGCAATCAAGGAAGCAGTAAACATGTCACATCTTGCAACGAAGTTAAGACATGCCCTGAGAATTAAATCAAACCACAGCGATAAGTATGGTGCTTTATGTTATATTTTATTGCAAAAGATTCTCAAACAGGGCTATAAAATGAAAAGTTCACAGAGCGATTGCCTTTTGAAAAATTATACAAATGTAATAAAACATGTAATAACATTTTGTTACTGATACTCTGTATTATACAGTTCACCAAGTACACCGGGTCCCAGACTGGTGGTAAACAAACTTCTGCCTCAAACGTCCAGAGTGTCCTGCCTCTCTATACAACTCTAGCACACATTAGCAGAGGTGTGACCAAGTCGTTCTTTTGCAAGTCTCAAGTCTGTCACCTCAAGTCCGAGTCAAGTCCCAGGTCAAATACAGGCAAGTCCAAGTCGAGTCTCGAGTCACTGGCCCATAAATCCAAGTCAAGTCCAAGTCGTCTGCTTTGAGTTTCAAGTCATTTCCAAGTCTTTAAACCAAAATACCAAATATAGCTTAGATCTTTGCAATTTATATGCATTTTAAACTGAATTGTACTTAAAAAAATCACAGAATTTTTATATATGAGTATTTATAGAGTACATAAGAGCTGTAGAAATGTAATTTTTTCATTTTTGACAAGATCTTGTGTGAATCAATACAGTCAGAATAGAAAGAATTCAGATTTAAAAGTGCTTCTCAAGTCTTCTCAAGTCACAGGCCTAAGTCGTAAGTCATTGACCTTCAAGTCCAAGTCGAGTCCAAAGTCTTAGTCCATTTTATCAAGTCAAGTCTCAAATCCTAAAAATAGTGACTCAAGTCTGACTCAAGTCCAAGTCACGACTTGCAAGTCCCCACCTCTGCTCATTAGGACAACACTTTCCCTAACAGTAGACATGGTACAAATATTCAAATCTGGCGTCACAACTATTATATGTTTAAAATAATTGCGATTTAAAATAATATCATGGTAATTATTAAAGTGTCTGACAGTTTAAAAATGTTATGCATATGATGAGTGAGTGGTGGTGAGTCAGAACTAAACACGGGGAGTCAGTGTTTCAAATTCATGGAGCTAAAACCTGCAACAGTCTCCCTGAAGATGTGAGACAGTCCTCCACTTTGATGCTGCTAAAATCCAGGCTCAAAACAGTTCTGCTTATCTAAATAAATAGATTAATTAATTATTCATTGCATTTATATAGTGCCTTTAAATACAGCCAAAGCACTTTTACAGCATTATTGTTACTCACTCTACAATCTGTAGTGGTAAGCTACTATTATAGCCACACCTGCCCTGGAGCAGACTGACAGAGGTGAGGCTGCCAATCTGCGCCATCGGCCCTTCTGACCACCACAAAGACTCACGCACTCTCCACTTTCTTACAAGGCAATGCAGGTGCAGCTGTGCATATGACTGAAAGATTTTCATTCTGCACTCTTCTCTCTTATTTAATGCCTCTCTTTTTTAATTTTATGATGATTATTTATATGTACTTTTTATTTGTATTGTGATTTTAACATACTTCTTATTCTGTAAAGCACTTTCAATTACTTTGTGAATATTATTTTCCTATACAAGTAAACCTGCCTTGCCTTTTACTGTGTTTACTTATGTTTGAATCATATATTCATTCTTATATTCCATTTTATCTTTTGGATGATTCTCAGATTTGAACTTAATTTGGTGCATTAATGCCTGTTGTAAATATAAATTATAGTTTTACACTAATCAAGAAGGAAGAAAAGTTGAAAAGTATGTTAAAAACTACAGAAAGTAGCGTTAAATTTTCATCACATTGGAAGAATTCTGTCCAAAAGTTCAGGTCTATTTACTTTATTTTACTTACAAAACATTTTTCTGCTACTTTTAAGCATTATTTCAACAAAATTAAGGTGTTTTCTTACATTTTATTCATCAAATAACAATCTCTGCGTACAAAAGGAGAATTTTGACCCATGGTACAATATGGTTACAAAATAACAGTTATGAAATTCCCTAGCTTTTTCATGATTTCCAAACACTTTGAACTTCAAAAACTGGAAAAAGAAAAGGTAATTTAAGATTACTAAAGATTAAACTTAACTGTGTTTTAGTGAGTGTAGTTCAACCTTAAGCACTTTGGGGCAGTAATGTTTTTAAATGTGCTAGATAAACAAACATTGATCTTGACCCTTGACCTAATCTAAATATGATCCTTTATTGCTGTATACCTCTTGAGAAATATATTAAGTTTTAAAATTTGTCAGGCCAAAGAATACACGTAATCAACCTTTGTATACAGCGGCAGCATGTGCATTCTTGCAGTGAGTGACAAAAAGGCGTGGTCCATAATTATGTGTCAAGAAGTAAGTTTGGCAAGTAAGTACGCCAAAATAGGTGTGGCGTTTTATTGTAAAGTATGATTTTACGTGTTTTATTGCACAGACGAGATTTTGAGCTTGATGCGGTTTCTGCTGAACCACCAGTCTGTGAGGCAGGAGGGCATGTAGGACAGAGGCAGCCACAGCATCTTGGTGTCATAGCCAGGGGAGTAGCGCTTGCGAGGGTGGACAGCCGAGATGGCGTGCTCCATACAGCTGACCACTTTCATCAGGTCTGGGTCAAGGATCTGAGCAAGTCGTTTATTCATTAGTGCAAGTGCTGTATGGAAACAAATAAACACATTTACAGCAGGCGTCAACAACCTCCGGGCAGCGGGTCATTTGGTACCAGGCCACGAAAGCTCAAACCCCCCCCTCCCATATGCATAAAACAGGACTAAACCGGGTCTAAACCGGGTCTAAACCAGGACTAAACCCAGGACTAAAACCAGGTCTAAGCCAGGTCTAAACCAGCACTAAAACAGGTCTAAAACAGGATTAAACCAAGATTAAACCAGGACTAAACCAGGACTAAACCAGCACTAAAACCAGCACTAAAACCAGTACTAAAACCAGCACTAAAACCAGCACTAAAACCAGGACTAAAACCAGGACTAAAACCAGAACTAAAACCAGAACTAAACCAAATTTAAAACTGCATTAAAACAGGATTAAACCAGGAGTAAACCAAGTCTAAACCAGGTCTAAACCAGGACTAAATCAGGTCTAAGTCAGGTCTAAACCATGATTAAAACAGGATTTAACCAGAACTAAACCAGGACTCAAACAGGATTTAACCAGCACTAAACCAGGACTACACCAGGACTAAACCAGGTCTAAACCACGTCTAAGTCAGGTCTAAGTCGGGTCTAAACCATGATTAAAACAGGATTTAACCAGAACTAAACCAGAACTAAACCAGGACTCAAACAGGATTTAACAAGCATGTTACGGCCCCAGGCCTTAGTTGTAATATTTCTGCAGAGTTCTCTTGATTCCTGCTGCAGGAGTCCTGGTCTGTGATTGGTGGGGCAAGTCGACGCCCACCTCACCTGCAGCCACCTCCCCCTATTTAAGGAGATTGCCAGCACCTGTTTGGGGCTGCTGGCCTTGGTGGCCAGTATGCCATTTTGTTTTGTGTTTGTGTGTTTAGTCTAGTTCTGTTTTGTGCCTTTTTTGATTTGGTCACTCGATTCTGTTTGTGGGCTTATGTGGTTTAATTTGGGGAACTTGTGTTTTAGTTTAGTGTGTGTCCCTAAGTTTTACCACTCGTTTTTGTGTAAGCCTGCGTGACCCCTTTTCTGGCACAAAACTCTGTTTATTCTGTTGTTCTGTTTCTTAGTTTAGGTTGTTTTCTGTATATTTTTAGTGTTTTGTTAATTTACCTTTACATTCCTGTTAATTAAACACTACTTAATTTATTCCATTTTACATCTTGGTTTTATTTTTGTTACTTCCCTCACCCTAAACGAGCTGGGTCGTAACAAAGCACTAAACCAGGACTAAACCAGGACTAAACCAGGACTAAACCAGGACTAAACCAGGACTAAACCAGGACTAAACCAGGTCGCACCACTGCAGTTCCTGGTCCGTGAAATATTGTCAGACATAAAAACAATCCATGGCTCTAAAAAGGTTGAGGACCACTGATTTACAGGAAGCGTATAATCCATGCACATTTACTCCTTTGTTTTAAATTTAAATGTGCATTGAGTAACTTTTCTGGTGAGGGGTCCGTCAAATTCTTTTCTCCGTGGAGATGTTAGTGCTTTGTCTGGAATGTTTCACAGTATGGCATTAAACATTTCTATCTTCATGGAGACTAAACCAGATCAAGTTACAGGTCAGATCTGTGACGAGGCAACTCCGCTCACAGTCAGAAGTCATCGGCATGTTCTGTAGTTGTCGGTGTTTTTCAGCTTTAAAACCACTAATTGAATAAATGTAAGGTAGAGCTGTTTAACATCATACTGGGGAACATTCCAGGCAGAGCAATTACATATCCATAGAAACAAGCAGGTGACGGACTCTCAACCAAAACGTTACATAGCACATGTTTAAATGTCTCTCTATTTTTAAGGATTTGAGAAGTATTGTGATTGGACGTGTAGCTGACACTTTTATCCCACCATGTCTCCTACATGAATATAATGCACCATGTTATTTTCATTCATTACTGAACATGTATTTGTTTCAAGCAGCTAATCAAGTGGGACTAATTAGAACACTGAAAGCAGAGTTAAATACTGATGACAGATTTAACGTACCCTCAACCAAAAAAGTTACACAATGCACCTTTAACATTAATAGACACTAAAGCAGTCATTTCTGATGGTAAACACAAACATTACCACAGCATTCTGTCTAAATAAAGCCTTGAATATTTGGCATGACTTACCTTTATCCTTGAAATCATGTCCATAGTCGTCCTTAACATCTTGGGGCAGTTTGTTCCAAAGCTTGGTCAAGCTAGCTTCCATGAGGTCTTCGTTTGCGGCATTAGTTCGGAAGAATCCTGGTTCCAAACAGCACACAGTCACCCCAAATGGAGACATGTTTACTCTGCAAGACAAAATTAATTAGTCTTCAGTTTTGTTAACAGTCAAAGAGCAGAGTATAGTCAGTGACCTTTGGTAGCTGTCCTTTTCTGAAGAGAAAGCCTAATTTATATACACACACATGCACATGCACGTGCACACACATACACAAGTGCACACATGCACACACACTAACAAACCTGCAGAGTGGTTCTGGTCACTGTTGGTGCCAATTATTGACCTTTACAAGGCTGAAAGAAAACAGCACAGAATGATCCGCTACGTATTTATCATCTTGGAAAAATATCAAAATGTGTGTTTTTTTTTTTTTTTTTTTCAAAATTTGGTCCTTTTATGATAAGAAAAGTAGTTTAAAGCGATAAAATTATAAAAAAACTGTTTACATCAAAATGTAGTGCAGAAGTGTCTGAAAAAAATGAGCCCCCCAAAAAATGTTATATTTAACAAAAAATATTCCTGGTCCCCTCCCTGGTCGTATGTGCACATATCAGAGAATGGCTTAATTGATCAGTTCAGACTCATCACATGACCTTAAGTAACTCTTAAATGTTTATCTAACCTCCGGTCTTGAGTAGCCTACAAATATTAATTAAACACAGTTTGCTTTGGTGAATAGTGATGTTATTTCCAGATATGGGTCAATGATATGGACAAGAATTTGCAAACCTTCAGAACAATTGTTTAATTAATAATTAATAAAAAATAATTAACTTAGATAACTTAGATAAAGCCAAATGCTCACAAAGGCCACATGAGTCCTGCTTTAACTTCAAACTCTTAATTCCAATCTTTAATATCAATTACTCCTCCTACTTACTAAAAATACTACACTACTGATCTAAAATGTAGCTGTTAACTTGAAATCTACCACGTTTGAGCATTTTGAGCTTCGGCAATCTAAACAATCTAATAATAAAAGGTGTGTGTGAAACAGAACACAACTCCAGGTTTTTGAGGAGTTAACAACTTTAGAACACGGCTTAAAGCTCACAAGAGTCAAGAGTTGTGCAATATGGACCTTACAGGACCTTAACCCCATAATAAATCACTACATTTAGCTTCATGCACTAATATTCTCACCTCAGACTGTCAGTGAAAGCCTCCACCCCGTATTTGGAGATGCTGTAAGGACCCCCGAACGGACTGATGCGCCCAAAGACACTGGACACGTTCACCACTCGACCTTTGGCCTTCTTTATCAGAGGCAGGATGCTCAGAGTAACACTAATGACCCCGTCCAGGTTAACAGCCAGCATGCCCCTGTAGTCTTCTATAGTTAACCAGTCAGTGGGCGCTGATGGATGAGTGACCCCCGCATTATTCACTACAGCCCAGAGTCCTGTAAAGAAATGGCAGATTACAATGTTGTAGTGTAGCATGTTGGTGGTTTGTATCATTCACACATGTTCAAATAATCCTGCATTATTAGTCTCATCTCCAAAACTCAAAATGCTCTGTTCCACCTTTTGATGTAATGTAGTGGTAGTTTAATTTAACAGCTACCTTTTACCTTAAGTTCAGTAGAGATTGGCAGTTCCATCCAAATACTGCTAGAGAACATTCTGTAGTTGCCAATGTCAACTGGACAAAAGGTACAAGGTAGCTGATGGTTGGAACAAGTGCATACACAGATATAGTAGTTTAACCTACCCTTATTTCCCACCAGACTCTTGATGTTGTCCGCTGCCTTGGCCACACTTGCAGCATCAGTGACGTCCAGCTGGAGAGTGGTCATTCGATCAGAGGTGATCTTCCTCAGCTCATCCTCTCCCTTCTCCGTGTAGCAGCCAGCAATAACGCGGTATCCCAGTGTGTCCAGGTGACGAGCCAGGAGGTTCCCAAAGCCACTGTCACAGCCCGTGATGTACACAAACCTGTCTCCTTTATTTGGGACTCTCTTCAGCTCCTTCAGCCAGCGGTAAATCAGGAACAGGGCCACCAGTCCAACAATGTACAGAAACATCTTTCTGACGCACAAAGAGATTGTCTTGAATTACAATGTGTTCGCTCAATTTTCAACACAAAAATATGAACTCCTATGGAGCCAGCCTGGCAAAAGAGTATTAAGCCAATGTTACAAGCATTATTGCAGCAATCAAGCTATGTGAGTCTACTGAGGCCCAAAACAGGGATTTGCTCTTTTTTTGTGTGTGTGTGTGTGTGTGTGTCCTTATCACTCAAAATCCTCTCAGTGGAGGCACTCTAAATGTTAATACTTGGCTCTTCTGTTTACGCTATTATGTAAATGTTTGAAAATTGAAAAAGTGGTCTAATTAGATTCAGAGCTATTGAGGCACACTGGTCTTTTATTGATACCCACACTGTATAATCTAAAACGTATTTCAGACCTGAATTTTTACATTGAATTAATACTTTTCACATAACTTAAACTGGGATTCAACAGATCTATTCAAGAAAAACAGCCTTCCTAATTTATTTATGTGAGTTGATGTAAAATACTAAAAATAGGAAAATGATCACTTGACATGATGATGTCAATGATCATTTTCCTATTTTTAGCATTTAGCAAATAAGTAATCCAAATGGAATTTGGGTCCGATAATGAAGATATTACTTGTCAGTGTAGCTGTGTCATTTGTGATCCTTGTTGGTTTAATAAAATGGAAATAGATTATTGCTAAGCATGGCTGAGACAAAGTTGGCATCTAGCCAGGTTTCCAACACTACAATAACACTAAATTTATTAAATTGTCTAAGATACTCTTTGATGTCGTTGTAATTTTATAAGTACTCCTGCTTTTCATCATTGTCTCATCAATAATGTATTCAGAGGCAACTAACTCTAACTGTAGCCTAGCCTATAGGATATAGCCGATGTATTATTATAGAAATTGCAGGGAATCCCAGAGACATAACAGGGGAGACCCAGGGTTTGCCCCTGACAACAATTTTAGTTTAAACAACTTCTTCACATGCCTCAACCCATTATTACTATCTCTAAACCAACAAAACCAACTTGGTTTGTGTTTGCCCCACATGTAGGTGACACACTGATCTATAGCGCAGCTAATCCAGTTTTCCTCCAGTGGGAGTCTACAGACTGTGATATTGAGATGTACTCACGTTGAGCGGACAGCGCTGCGGGTTGGAGAAGCTCGGTGCGGACAGAAGACAGTGTGCGCCTCACACTCACGCACAGCTGTGTCTGAAGTCCTGGATGAGCAGCGCTTCCACGAACATTATAAACTGTAATCACTGCGGCACAGGAGCGCCCTCTGCTGAATGAGTCTTATATGACCAGGATACATAAGTTCACTACTGGGCAATTTTTTACAGCGTATGAACGCGTATTGTGTATTACAGGCGGGTAGTAATTACACACGGGTGGGTCAGGACTAAACCAGGTCTAAACCAGGACTAATCTTGGATTTAAGAGAGAAAACGCCGAGCAGTTTGTCCGCAAAGCGCGATCGGGCAATTGCCGCGTTTAACTCCGTGAGATGCGGAGCTGAGCCGGTCCTTTCTCTTGCAGTCACCTCCAAGCCCGTCCTGACGGTTAGTGGGGCGGATATGTGACAAACATGTTCACTACTGGCAGAAAGCATAAAAATTGGTATATAGGGGTTTTAAGGTATGCTGATTCCAATAAAACTGGAAGCCACACTCGCAAACCAACGGTTCTGCTCAAAATCCAAGATGGCGTCCAAGATGGCCGCTGGGGTGTACAGACAGCATAACTTTTGAACCGTTCTGCCTAGAACATCATGCAGTACCACTTTTTATAGTAAATGAGACACAAGGAATCTATTTCTAAAGTTATTTTGATGATTAGAAGTTTATGAACTAAGTTATTTTGGATAATCAGGAAAATATAAACAAATCATTGTGTACACATGACAAGGTATAGCTATCAACGACTCATTCACGTAATTTTTTATTGTGAAAAAACAAATTGTTCTCTTTATATATTTTTTAATATCTCAATGTCTTTGGACACACTGACCACCACAAAAACACAGTTGGGTGCATCTCAAGCTGGCTTTGAAACATTTGCATCGTCCATGGCAGTTCTTTTTACAGTTACATTTCACAAGTTCGCGGACACATTTTGATGCCTCTGGCATTGACGTCCATTTTGGAGACCACTGGTCATCTGATGATTTTTCCCAACCCCAATCTGATGGGCATGGCAGAGTTGGAGCAGCTGTATGTGCCTGACCCCAAATATGACCAGCTTGATAAGCTGCTCTTTGGACATGGAAATTCAAAGCATCCAGAGTTGGTGGGATGTTCTCCAATTGACGGTTTCCATAGGAAAACAATTGTTTTCGTGCTTCATTGACTCTGCTAAGTTGCGATGTTCGACTGTAGAGAACAACAACGAATCGCTCAATTTCATCCATATCTTTTTTTAAAATTTGGTCAGGTGCTTGTGATAAACAATGGAATATCATATCCAAGTGAGGCATGAGGCGCCACACCTCCCATGCAGTTTTCTTGCCTATCCCACACATCGCCGAGACATTATCACAGCCAGATATAGCATGGAGAAACAAGAGCCCCTTTGAGCGTATATCACCTAATTGATTTGCAATTTCATGCACGGCAATGAACCGGAACTTTGTTCCATGTCCAAAGGCAAGCCAGACCTCACAGTCAGGAAGACTACTTGCTGTGGCTATTGCCAGGACAAGGACATCCGTATCTGTAGCATGGATCATTATCTTTCTGTGACCATGTTGGTATGTGTGTGCCATGTGCAACATCATTCTGTAGTCAGCTTCCTCGTGTGTACACGGCTGGAGTTGTGACAAATCAACTTGACAAGGTGAGAGCACTTTATCTTCATAAGTTGTGACAAGTATCTTGGCTTCAGGAACCAAGGTGGAGTTGAGTGCAGCAGACAAGAACACAAACAAGCCTTTCTTGTTTGAATCAGTCCTCAATAAATTTGACCAGTTAGCTGGTAAACGTGTGTTATCAGCTACCCGAAGGGTGTCACCTTCACCACGACACTGACGAGCATATGCCTTGAGACTGTTGGGATGGTAGCAGTCCCACACTACATCCAGTCGCTTCACAGATTGTAATTGTCGCAGAACATGAGGAATAAACACTTGGCCAGCATAATCCTTAAAAGTCTTTACCAGAACAGTTGCTTTCTTAGGGTCCAGAACATGGATAAGTGCAGCTCCATCTATTATTCTTGCATTAACCTCAGGACTTTGCTGTGGACGTTCAACCAGAGCTTCAAGACAAGTGGTCAAATCAGATTTGGTTCCTTGGCGCATCATGTTGTTCTCTGCCAATGCTGGTGGCCATGCATGGTTCTCATGTTCGAAGAATGCATCTAGGTCTCCTTCCCTGGCCTGACATGATATATACATTCTTGAAAACAAATCCACATCACTTTTCATGTTTGCAAGCTTCATTTTGGATTTGGGTGTGGCTTTCTTTGATCCAGATTTAAACAGAGTCAAGTTGTTTCTTGCAATGGAGTCATAGAAAGATTTGCCATCATCTCCAAAACGTTCCTCCATAAATTGTTGGTAATGCTGCTTTCCAATGTCCTCAGCTGTCCTCACAGCATTTATCACATCACTGGACAGGACCACCTTTGTGTCTAATGTTATCAGCTCTGTACTTGTCTCCTGAAAGGGGTTTCCTGCATCCTGTATCACATCCACTAGGTGTTTTACATCTGATTGAAATGCCTTTTGTATGCTGGGAATTTGTTCATGATGGCGGCTGTCATTTCGAACCAACTTGTCTTGTTGAGCACCTTCCTGTAGCATACGTGCAGTTTCAGGACCAGCAACCATCCATCGTCGCAATGCTTGTTCATTCTCTGTGATCCCGATGACACCCCCATCACCTTTTACCATAGCATTCAGCTGTTCGTGAATCTGGTCATGTGCAAGTGCAGAAAATCTGTGTGAAGATTTCTGTGTTACAAAAGCGTCAGTTGTAAATTCTTGTCATTGCTATTTATAATGTTAAATCATTTATATGACTTCTAATCATCAAAATAACTTTAGAAATGGATTCCTCGTCTCTGATTTACTATAAAAAGTGGAATTGCATGATGTTCTGGGCCCAAAAGTGAAAAAGATATGTTGCCTTATGTCCCGGCGACCATCTTGGACGCCATCTTGGATTTTGAGCAGAACCGGTGGTCTTTGAGCATGGCTTCCGGTTTTATTGGATTCAGCATACCTTAAACCCCCTATACACAAAGTTTCATGCTTTCTGCCAGAAGTGAACAACTTGGACTTTTTTTTTGTCACATATCCGCCCCACTAGGTGAGTCCTGTTTCAGTTCTGGTTTAGTCCTAGTTCAGTCGTGGATTAGTCCTCCTCTTCAGTCCTGGAATCAGTCCTGGTTTAGTCTAGGTTCAGTCCATGGTGTAGGCAGCGCAAAAATTTGATATAATCTCGGGTTAAGGGGCAGGTGCGGTCCTGTACTGCGCGGGTGCGGTGTTGTACTGGGGGTCTCCAAAAATGAACCCGTGCGGGACTCTGCGCTGTTGGGCTCCATTCCGGAATAAATTAATCTTCAATTTGTTACATAAAGAAGGAGGAAAATAACACAAGGACGACAGCAGCAATAAGTTTTAAGAAGGAAGTAAAAAGGGTTGCACCTGTCCTGTCTAAGAAAAGTGTATAAAGTGTGTGCTGAGGGGTTTTACAGCCTTAACACAGATACACAGAATAATTGTAAAATATAAAGCAGACTACTTCGTGGATTTCACCTATCACGGGTTATTTTTAGAACGTAACCCCCACGATAAACGAGGGACCACTGTACTCTCACCTCCCAACCTGTGCACATGGACTCCCACTTGTCCCGACCGGGATGGAAAACGGAAATTTCTTAAATGCGCATTTGTGCTTCGGTATGTTGCAGGCTGACCAACTGTTTGTGTTTGCTCGCTCCTTCTGAGTCACAGACGCTACGAGAGACTCTCAGTTTAATGCCCCCAATGAACGGTACTGAAAACCCGGACATTTGCATCACTTTATTTAAAAAAAACCCGGACGCCCCGGACAGGACGCAAAATACGGACATGTCCGGGGAAAAACGGACGTTTGGTCACCCTACTGGTGTTACATAATAAAATATTATTAAAAAGGCTAGTGATAAACAGTTGTTGGTCTTCTTATGACGTGCATTTTAAAAAGGCTTAAGTTTAGTGCACTCATTCTTGACATTCTGTAAAGCCACAGCTGCCCTGGGCAGCGGGCACGCCTGTGCGCATTCTGAATACCTTGAATGTTGAATGTTGGAAAATCCTAAACAACATGAGAAGATGACAGAAGCGAGTCACTCTCTAAGTGCACAGGAGCTCAGCTTGTGTACACATCTTTGCAAAATAACTACTGATAGCTACTCAGATTAGCAAGACACACGAGCCAGGAGACATGTTCAATATTTTAGTTGGTAACCACGAAGCCCAGCGGCTCTGCTGTGCAGCAGTGACATGAGGCTCCGCCTTTATCACAGCGCGTAACCTTGCGCACAATATAGTGCCCAACACATGTAGCACATACAGCACACAACTCTGAGGACAGTTTGGAAACTGAATGAAACACTGCGGACATCAGATGGGAGAGGAGAGAGATAAGAGAGACTCCAAAGCCCCATACCTCAGGTGTAAGTGCGCAGACTGAGTGGAGGGTCTGTGTGTACCTTTCTAAATCCTACTGGCCCCCCGCCCCTGGGGTCACCGTCAAAGGGTCTATCACTAAGATAGATCAGATTTGAAGGTGATCATTATAGAGGAGCTACACATGTTACAGAAACAAAATAGAGGCTATATGTAAAATAATATTTAATAATATCCACCACAGCCAAAGCCATTTGTACTTTTACTTCACTAAATCTCAGAGCTTGTATCTGTTTTTTCTACTTCCCTACACTTTTGAACTGGACTGAAAAGTAAAAGTACTTTATGGTTTGAGACCTGCTGAAATGGATGAGACTTCCTGACCCTGAGCAAACCAAATACACAAAAATTAAGAAATCTATTAAATCAGTTAAATTTATGCTTTAATGTTCTAAAAAATCTCTTTTATTTTGTACTTTTAAAGTGCAGTTTTAAATTTTTATAATTTTAAGTAGATTTTTAATGTATACTTTTACTAGAGTAATCTTTTGCCCCAGTGTCTGTACTTTTGCTTTAGTAACAAAATTCATGAAAGTAGGCCATGACAAATACTAAGTACGCTATTTCTGTCCCATGTGTTTCAGATTGAGCAGTGACCTGGGTAATTTATGATGATTCAACACTTTCTGGTGGAAATGTGCCAGAGCATGGGTTGTAAAGGACGTGTGCGTAACCTAACCTATTTGGTAATTTGACCTGACCTATGGGCTGTGCAGGTGATGCAGGTGACGTTTAGGTCTGTGCCCTACAGCCTTCACACAGTGTCACTATAGCTTTAATGGATATTTAATGGGCATTTCAATTAGTTTCTCTATGATATTCGTATTAAAATACAATTACACAATACTGTGTCCCCTTTTCCTGTAGGCCTGTGGTTAATGATCTGATCATTATTGGTTTGCATCATTACATGAGTCTTTCAAAACAAACTGTGCAGCCTGCTTTAGCGT